ACTTGCAAATTTGTCGAATTTTTATTGATGGGACGCGTCGTCTAATTTTTTACGAAAAACATCGAGAGAATATCGTTTCCCCTCTCACGGATACCCCGTAGCTACAGAACGGACAGACGTACTGTATGCTGCGTTGCTACATCTTTCCAGTATTTCTCTACGGCTCTGAGAGTGGGATACTCAATCAGACATTGGAAAACCGCATTAACGTTTTTGAGATGTACTTGTATCGTCGTATGCTGCGTATATCCTGGATGGATAGAGTGACAAATGAGGAGGTACTCAGGCAGATGGGCAAAGTTAAAGAGCTCCTAGCAACAGTGAAGGAAAGGAAGTTACAGTACGTCGGTCACATCATGAGAGGTGATCGATACGAGGTACTCAGACTGGTCATCGAAGGCAAAATTGAGGGCAGGAGATCAGTGGGAAGAAGGCAAAACTCCTGGCTTAAAGATCTGCGTCGTTGGTTCGGAAGAACTTCGATCGAAATTTTCAAAGGTTTTTTTCACGCACCATCATAGCCAGTTGGATCGCCAACCTCCGAAGGGAGACGGCGGCCTAAGAAGAAGAACGAGTTATATTGTCACATACATATATATTTTCTCAAGTAAAACTTCTTTACACGCGATGGGAGTTGAAGGATGGAAATTGAAGGCCTTGACACACTAGACGCGAGAGGAAAAGTGGTAACGATCGGAGGTTACGACGGAGCGTCGTAACTCGGGCCCTGTGTGAGCCAGGGAGCTGAAACTCGGAATGTAGATGGCGCTCGAAGAGCCACATCTTTTCATGATATTTTGACGACGTTTCGTGCACTACGAAACCCCATCATCAATGAATCAAATCAAAAAATCGTCCGATTTCAATGAAATTTGGTATGTCGATAGATTGGACCAAGCCCAACTTAACCGATTCGTGTCACTGTGACAATTAGCTTTGACGTAAGAAACGTCATAAGTTTATGTCGTCCGATCGCGACCAAATTTGGTGGGTAGGCTATGTGAGCGACGTTGCTCACGGTCCCACACAGGGGCGACAAAGTTGGATGCGACGTTTCGTTAATATCTTCATCAGTGTGAGACTAACAATTTGATTTCGGCATATTTGGGGACGGGCTACAGGAGACGCACTAGATATTTCGAACCGATTCCTCTAAATAGACGAGGATAGGATAGGATTTTTCTTAGGACAGACTCCACCAAAAATGGACGAAAGGATCTTGCAGTCGCATAGAACATATTGTACAATCACGTCTTCCCGATTGTATCCTCACGAAAAAAGAGGCCTGTAAATTAACTTTATTTTGTGTTGGGGTTCATTAGCTGACATTGTTGACCGGGTTAGAATTTCAGTTACAATTCAAAGACCGCTTCTGGGCATTACCAATAAAATCGTTTTTGATTCTCAATAAACTGTAAAAAATATTCTTCAGCCCATCCGGAACTTCTTGAAAGTTTTGTATATAAGAACCCATACGTTCGACACTTATTTAAAATACAAGAAAGCTGTACCAGTATTTTTTAATCGTAATAGTCTAAAAGTGCGTATACATTAGTGTGCGATCTGCTCGTTCACTGGAGGTCGTACGTTGCTCTTGTTATTTTAACGAACCTCCCACGATTCATAGGAAACCCGTGAATATTCATTTAGCCGTTAATCATGTGATGAGTAGTGCGGCTCTGTTAATAGCAACAAGCTTGGAAAAAAAAAGAAAAAAAACGACGTTGGTGGCACGCCGACTTTTCAAAAAAATGTTATAAAACGGAGCTAAGCTGGAGAAGTATCAGTAAGTTAATGGTTACTATAAAAATTTCAATAGTATGTCACCAACTGACTTCGAGAACCTCTCGCATAAGATTGGTCCTTATATTTCAAAAGAGGATACTAATTTCTGCAATGCACTTTTGGACCAAGACAGGTGGGTATCTAGAGGTGGTATTCTAGTTTCTTGGGAGGAACTGAGAGGAACTAGTTCCTTAGTGCTAGTTCTTCCCTGAGGAACTAGTACTTTGAGAAGCCGGTAACTAGTTCCTTTCGTTCCGGGGTCTAAATAGTTCATTGGAGCTAGTTCGTTCACGAACTATATACTCTGTTTTTTTTTCTCAGGTAAGATTTCGACAGACGATGACAGAAGAAAAGCAGATGACGTCCCATACCAATCTATTTATTTTACTAAAAAAAGTTTCTAATATTTTTTAAGTTAACTATGGATGGGTTTAAATATAAATCCGTCATGCGTCATCTCTTGTTGTTTCTAACCAGTTTTATTGGTTTATTTCAAAAATGACAGATCATATTTCAATTTTATTGGTTTGATGGAACGATGAACGACAAACGGACGCCGATGCGTATGAACTCGCCTTTAGATTTTTGAGGCTTGTCAAAGTCTTGCCAAATTATAGGTTATCATTTTGTGTCAACTTATGTCAAATATCTGCGTTTTGGAAGATGATGCATTTTGATTCGTGTTATTAGGTGTGTTTTGTGTCTTTTGAAGTCAAGTGGAGGGAAAATTAACTGTAGACCCAGAAGCACAGTTTATAGTTAATACTTGCTGCCCAGGCAGAAAGTCTTATACACCAATAAAGTTTGTATACCATCTCGTCGTAGATAAGTGAGTATCTCGTATATGGTACAAGGATCGTACTAAACATATACTAAAAACTGGAGTTTTTATATAGTAAAATATCGACATCACACGATAGGTAAATAATGGATTTTAGTACTGCAGAAAAATAATGTCAAAAGGTACTGGTTTAAAAAAATTAAGATTAAAGTTAATTAATCAATCTTTAAGGTATAAAATTTGGTAAGTGTTGTAAATAAAATAGTTTGTTTTATTTATTCCTGTGGAATATTACAAATTTGTATTTGTACATAAGTTATATTGATAAATATAATAATAAATGCGGGAAGTTTCTTCAAGCTTGAAAGTAAAAAATAGTTTTTTTATATTTTTTTAGTATGTGGTGTTTTGTTATTGTTTGTTTTGTACATACCGTTTTTTTAAATAAAATAACTCGATTACTTTTTTTTCAGTTTTATACAGTTTTTTTCACAATATTTTGAAGTAATCACTTGTCAGTCAAATTTTAAATATATTAATTTCCTGCACCGCGTTCCAGTTGTACCAACTTATTTCTTTGTAAAATAAAATAAACTACACACACCGGAAAAATCTAGGGATATCATTTTATTAAAGTTAAAAATAAATGTTTTGAATAAACAACCACATATTTGTAGGCCGATTCTTTCTACTTCTTTCTTACAGTTATTTCTAAATTTGGGATATTTGCAGAAGTGTTTGTGCATTTTTGTCAAATGTATAAAAAGCACCTAGTATCAATTGTTCGAATTTAACCTGTACTGGCTATGTTTTTATGATAACTGGTCAGAATCCATTCAAATAACTCTGTTTAGTATTAAACGACATTATGGAGCGTAGACATCTTAACAGTGACGAAATGCTAAGGGCCATGGGTATGCTCGAAGCTGGAATGCGCCAAATCGACGTAGCTAGAGCATTAAATACAACGCAAAGTGTAATATCGCGATTAAGTGCACGCTACCGTGAAAGTGGTGATGTTGCTGAAAGGCACACAGGGCGACATCGCATTACTACCCCTCAGCAAGATCATTTTTTACAATTAAATGCTCAACGCCGACCGACTCTTACAGCACCAGAGCTTAGGAAACACATAATGTAACCGTTATTCCTGACACTGTTCGCAATAGATTAAGAGAGGTCAACTAAAGAAGCAGACGCCCCTGGAGAGCTCAACCCTTAACGAGAGGAAATCGAGAGGTACGATATTTGTGGGCTCAAGATCATGTTCAGTGGTCGAATGAACAATGGGCCAATGTTCTCTTCACGGATGAGTCACGCTTTGGAATTCATCCGGATTCGAGAAGGCTTAGGGTATGGAGAGAACCGGGAAATCTTATTCGGTTGGATCATGTTCAGGAAGTGCACCCTTATCAAGGTGGAACAGTTATGGTCTGGGAAGGAGTCCAGTTAGGCCGAAAAACCGATCTGGTTTTTCTTGAAAGGTTTCTAACGGGAATCCCATATCGTGATTTAAATCTTGAGCCTGTCGTGTTACCATATGCCAATGGTTTTGGGAAAAAATTCATTCTCATGCATGACAATCCACGGCCTCATACAGCCAGAATGGTAAGTGAGTTTATCAATGCTCATCAATTAAACATCTTACACTGGCCGGCACAATCTCCTGACCTCAACCCCATCGAGCACGTATGGGACGCGATCCAAAGAATAATTTTGAGAACGGGTATGCCTCGTGAAACTCGTAGGAATCTGGTTCGGGCCGTGAATGCAGCGTGGCAGGCTGTACCTCAAGAAGAGATCGACAACCTGATCAGGAGCATGGAGAGACGATGTAGGGCTGTAATGAACAGTAGAGGAGGCCATACCCTTTATTAAGTAAAAATGGTTTTATCATTTTTTTTTAAATTCACAGTTTAGAATAAAAAAAAATGTGTGTATTTTTTTGAGTTCAATAAAAATCAAGGTAAATTTGAAAAATTCGGTAAATTTCGCATTTTTATTTCCAATACGTCCTGTAAACTATTTGTTTATTTTAATTTTATTATATCAGAAATGCAAATAATAAAATTACTGACGATGGCTGGATAAAATTGTAATATCCCTAGACTTTTCCGGTGTGTGTATTTGAAATTAAAATGACAGAAACATCTATCACTGTCAAGGATCTTGTCGTTGGGCAGACTATAAATGTATAACATGGCTCCCACAATAGGGATTGGCCTTGATAGGCATCTATGAGCTTAATTAAATCGCGTAACTTTAAAACCACTATTAACATAAACGTAGGGAGGTGCACGATTGTCGCGTTCGCGGCACAGCGCGTTAATGTATACGCACTTTAATACAATTAGGGATTAGTATGTACATAGGAAAACGTTATAAAGCACACTGTTAACGTTAAGACATAAAGATTTTCGAAAAAAGGACTTACCAGGAGATACATAGCCAACTGTTGCAAGTCCCAACTTAAACCTATAGAGGCTGCGTCGCGTGAATCGAACTGTTGTGACACTTGGGCCAAGGCGGCTAACGGCGAGGACAGGCTCGCGGAGTCTACAGACGGCTGCTGCTGCTGCTGTTGTTGCTGCTGCGGCAAGGTGCACGAAAAATACTAATCTACCCACAAACAGCCACGACGCTCATGCAACGGATGTGCACAAGAGAAGATGGTATGTAGGGGGGTAGATAGATGAACTGATGATGACCATACGATATTATTTGATATACGAGGCATGTTTTTTAAGTAAGTACCGTTTTGCGATTCCGCCGGCGCAGCGCTACGGTCGGCGTTCCGCGCATGCGCGCTGGTTACCTACATCTCTTGTCTATGCACAGACGCCAGTACAGTCTGATTCTTCATTGTATACGTTGTTTATTGAGTGTTTAAGATGCCTCCGACAATCGTGAGCCCCGCCGATTGTGAAGTACGGGCTGTCATACGATTTCTTAGTGCTAAAGGCGTAAAACCGATCGATATTCATCGTGAGATCTGTGAAGTTTACGGACAAACCATTATGAGTGATGGAATGGTAAGGAAAAGGGTGAGAGCATTTAAAGATGGCCGCACAAATGTGCATGATGAAGAACGGAGTGGGCGTCCTTCGGTCGTTAATGAAGATTCGGTGCAGAAAGTGGACAAAGAGGTGAAAGAAAACAGACGCTTTACAATTTCATCATTGTGCGACTACTTTCCTCAATGTTCTCGTAGTGTTTTGTATCGCATTGTGACCGAGAACTTGAATTACCGGAAATTGTGTTCACGTTGGGTTCCGAAAATGTTGATGGATTTGCACAAAACCCAACGTTTAGGCAGTGCATTGACTTTCCTTGAGCAGTACCACAATGAAGGTGAAGATTTTTTAGACAAAATTGTTACTGGTGACGAAACATGGGTGGCCTACGAAACACCAGAATCGAAACAACAGTCCATGGAATGGCGACATTCATCATCACCCAAAACAGTGAAGTTTAAGCAAACAATTTCTGCCCGGAGAATCATGTGCAGTTTTTTGGGACAGAAAAGGAGTATTGCTAGTGGAGTTTCTGCCTCGTAATGAGACAATCAAGGCAGCATCTTATTGTGAGACATTGAACAATCTGCGCCGTGCAATCCAAAACAAAAGACGTGGCAAGTTGAGTAAGGGTATTGTTTTGCTGCATGATAATGCCCGTCCACATGTGGCTAATCGGACCAAAGATCTCATCAAATCTTTTAAATGGGAAACTCTGATCATCCTCCATACAGCCCTGATCTGGCGCCCAGTGACTACCATTTATTCCTGCACTTGAAGAAACACCTGGGCGGTCAGCGTCTTCAAGACGATAACGAAGTCAAAACAGTTGTGATACAGTGGTTAACCAGTCAGGCGGTAGAATTTTATGAGGAGGGTATTGAAAAACTGGTGCCACGTTATGACAAGTGCCTCAATATTCACGGAAATTATGTAGAAAAGTAGATTAAGATACAGGTTTTCATGTAAAAATAAAATTATTGCGATATCTTTGCACGTTTTTTTTTAATTCCAAAACGGTACTTACTTAAAAAACATGCCTCGTATCTTGATATTGTCTTATTTAAAATTTGGATATTAGTGTTCATTAGTCTGTTGTTTCCTATATAAAGAGGTTCGAAAATATTAGGAAAATAGAGGTAAAACAATCATTTTCTAAAATACCTAAAGGGTTGTTTTCTGCTTTTTTTATAACACATAGAAATACAATATCAAGAGCCATCAAAGAATATCAGAATATTGCAAAATTTGTCTAATCAAACCAAAACCATTGACGTAGGTGTTCCAAAACTAATTTTAGACAAATTTTACAAATCCACAGACAATAAAACGATAAAATGAGAATTCGTTATATAAAAATAGATATAAAACGAGTAAACAATAAATATCTTGTCTAAATTAGGACACAATTAATATTTGAAAATCCTACAAAATATATATTTAACACAACTCAAGCAAAGCCTCTAAACAGTCTATCTGAGCCATATTGAGCGGAAAACAACAAGTTTTTAAACTTTAAAAAGGTGAAAAAAACTTACCTTTTCTGGCTAATACATGGCAATTTTTTAACCGTATAAACGACCATTAATTAAAGAAATAATTATGTATAAAAACGTGCCCATGTATAATAAAGAAGGAATATTTTGGCCCAATTTAATCAAGTGTAACAATATATGAGATAAAAATAAAAATGTAACGATCTGTTTTGTGAATTTGCATTGCCTTTATTTTATAAAAAAAATCTTTCGAAGTCTTTCTGATTCAAAAGTAGTCTTCTCAATCAATTTTTGGACGTGGTCTGTCAAAATTGACTTCTCTCTTGCTAGACAGGCTTCTTATTAAAAAAAAAGGTTTTTATTAAAAAATTAAACGTAGTTAGTTTTAACGTTGCATTTCGTCGCCCAACTTTGAACGCATTTCGATTTATTTCCAGTTGTCTCGACTTACTTGGGTTTGCCTCGATCTACATTCGATTCTTAAAAGCGCCTGAAAACTACTCGTGGGGAGGGCGAGGGGGATTTATTTTGGCGTTTTTTGTTGCCTCGTTCAATTTTGTTTTGTTTTGAGCCATTTCCATAACGTGGCGGTATCTGTGCCGGAGGCAAAGGATTTTTTTTTCATACTTGGACTTAGTATACTGACAGAACTAATCTATACTAATATATAAAATCCTTAAGTGACTGACATACTGATTAATCACGATCCTGCTCAAACCACTCAACGTAAGAAGCTCAATTTTGGCATACAGGTTGATTCTAGGGTGTAGAGGTTCGATAAGAAGGGATTTTTCGAAATTCCAGTTCCAAAAGGGTGAAACCACCCCTCAAATATTACAATATTTTTTATTTAAAAAACGGTCAAGTTTCCGAAAAAACGCTCAAACACGTATATTTTATTTTGATTTTTTTACATATTTTAAGATTTTTAAAAATGTATACAGGGTGTTTCGAAAAATCTGGTCATTGATTAATCACGATCCTGCTTAAAGAGCTTGACGTAAAAAGCTGATTTTTGGAAGACAGATTGACTTTAGGGTGTAGAGGTTCGATAAGAAGGGATTTTTCGAAACTCGAATTCTAAGGGGGTGAAACTATCCCTCAAATATTAAAATATTTTTTATTTAAAAACCGGTGAGTTTTTCGGAAAAACTCTTAAACACGTATATTTTATTTTGTCGTTTTATGTATTTTAAGATTTTTTATAAATTTATACAGGGTGTTCAATAAAATATGACCATTGAGTAATCACGATTCTGCTTAAACTGCTTGACGTTTAAAGCTGATTTTTGGCAAACGGATTGACTGTGGGGTGTAGAGGTTCGATAAGGAGGGGTTTCTCGAATCTCAAATTCCAAGAGGGTGAAAACGCCCATCGAATATTACAATATTTGTTATTTAAAAAACGGTTAGTCTTTCGGGAAAACGCTTGAACAAGCATAATTTATTTGTTTTCTTTACATATTTTGAAATTTTTTAAAAAATCATACGGGGTGTTCCAAAAAGTTAGGTAATTTCTTAACCACGATTCTGCTTAAACTGCTTGACATAAAAAGCTTATTTTAGGCAAACGGATTTTTCGAAAGTCAAATTCCAACGAGATGAAACTACCCCTCAAATATTACCAATATAATAATATTGCCATATTGTTTTTTCTCATGCTGACATAAATGTGAGAAAATTTTACCCAGTTTGTATGTTAATGGAAATTCTTGCTTTGCTTTATCATCACCATTACAAATGATTAATTCGACGCGAACGAAGTCGCCGGTACACGCTAGTTATACAGGGCGAGTTTCCTACGATGTTCTCTATGGGTATCTCGGAAACTACTGGAGATAGAGAGTCGGTTAAACGGGGAAAGAATTGCAGTTTTGTAGGGTCATAAATATGCGCCTTACAGATTTTTGAAAAAGTTCATGGCTTACTAGATATTTAGAAAAAAACAAATTTCGGCTATTTTAAAAATTGGCCCTAATTCCATTATAAGCTATTTTAGACAAAAAGTTTTCAGATAAAAGTTGTAGATAATCATATCCTTAATGAGATTGTGTCCTCCGTTTTTTTTCTAAAGCCTGTCATTTTTGACATTTGACACAAACATATGTTTTTTTAAATGGAAACCATAGTTGTTTTCTTCGAAAAATTATCGAGTTATAGCCAATACTTATAATTTTTAAATAATTTCACTTAGTTAGCCATGGAAACAATCGTCTTTGCTCTTATAAATGTGAAGCTGCAACATCCAAACTTTGTAAATTAAAGTAAACAAAAATTGTAAATATGAATTTTTCAAATGAAGAAAAGCATTTTTGCATTGGTACAACTTTTCTTGGCCATACATTTTCGAGGATACGTTGATCGGTGAATGTTATGTTTTTTTAGAGAACGATTTTCGAGACTTGTTAGAAAAGTTAAATTTAGTTATAGCCAATACTTATCTTTCTTGACTAATTTCACTTAGATTGCAAGGCATTCTTATTCTTTTGTGATTTATAACTTATAAAAAATCAGAATATATTACTAAACGGTTCTTTAGAATTTACATTACACAAACTAAAACTTAAAAAAATAATATCGCTGCAGTCACTGCATACACTTTAAGTTATTTTAGAAAATGTTCAAAAAATCCGCCATTGTTGTGAGTTACATCTTTTTAAAACTGAATTATTATATACCTATTCTCACAAAAGGACCGGTTGACTTAATTAAACTTCTCTCGTACCGCCACTTCGAGTGCCTCTCTTAATTCATAAATTCTTTTGTAAACCTTATTTTTAACCATACCGCATAAAAAAATATAAAATGGATAGGTCAGGTGATCGAGGAAGCCCATGCAATTAGTCCACCGCTTCCTATCCCTGAGTTTATATTATTATGAGATCAATAATTTTTAACATTTCTTTCATTAAAAGCATAATGAAAGTCATGTTGGAAACACTCTATTAATGCGCGAGTATCTACACGCTTTTCTTCATTTGAGAAATTCATATTTACAATTTTTGTTTATTTTAATTTACAAAGTTTGAATGTGACAGCTTCACATTTCTGAGAGTAACGGCGATTGAACTTGTTTCCATGGCTAACTAAGTGAAATTGTTTAAAAATGATAAAAATTGCCTATAACTCAGTAATTTTTCGAAGAAAACATATTATAGCTTATACCGCTAAAAAGCTTAAAAAATGCCGCTTTTTATGAAGTCATGGCCAACCATGGTTTCCATTTAAAAAAACATATGTTTGTGTGATATGTCAAAAATGACAGGCTTTAGAAAAAAACAGGACACGATCTCATTAAGGATGTGATTATCTACAACTTATATTTGAAAACTTTTTGTCTAAAATAGCTTATAATAGAATTAGGGACAATTTTTAAAATAGCCGATATTTGTTTTTTTCAAAATATCTAGTAAGCCATGAACTTTTTCATATATCTGAAAGGCGCATATTTATGACCCCACAAAACTGCAATTCTTTCCCCATTTAACCGACTCTCTATCTCCAGTAGTTTTCAAGATACCCATAGAGAACATCGTAGGAAACGTTGAAAACCCTGTATATATTCCAGATATCAGTCCGACTTTCTGTTTTAGTATTAGATAGGAACTGCGATACAAAGATGGCGGAACCAAACTATCTCTATTGTAGTTATTTCTCTATTAGATATGTGACAATGAAGACTAAATGATTCTTACAAAACAAAGGCAAAGTAACTTCTACTAAACAATTCATTATAAATTCCACATCGTCCAACAACTTCATAAATAAAACAAATATGTATTATACCTTTGCCTTAGTGGCCTGCAATTTCTGCTCCTCTTTACGATAGTTCCTCTGATACGACGTAATAACCCTTCGCAGCCTCGTGTTCAGGTCAGTTATGGTAGGCCAAGGTGTCTTATCGTCGCCAGTCTCGTCCTTCAAATCGTCGCCTTCCAGCTGCTGGCTTTCAGAACAAGCCGACGGACCCGGAGACGGCTCCGCGATCTCGGAATTGCCTTCCGAGGCGTCGCGGTTTTTGGACTTCAAGCTGGACTCCTCGTTGGTGTCGTCGTCGTCCATATCGTCGTCGTTGCTGTTGAAAAAACACTAAATATTACCGCCAAGAAGGTTACATGTAGGGATTGAACTATTAAAGAAAAGAACACTTAATTTCCCTTGGTCTAAATATAGATAAATGCTAAATCTGAATTTACATTTTGGTAATTATTGGGAAAACTGGAAATTGTCAGACTTTCACCAAAATTGGTATACACCCTATTTTGAGGTCGTAGATTACGAATCTGAACTTTTTTCTTGGCGGTCTCTTACCGTTTCTCAGAAAAACGGAAAATTATTTCAACATCGAATTTTTTTTTATTTCGGCTCTATAAAGTAATAATTTCACTATATTTTCATTATATTATAGTTTATCTAAAAGCCACACTTCATTGGGGATAGAAAAATGTCCAAAATTTTACTGAAAAACATTTTTCTTAACAAAATAACAAAGAAAATTGAGACCAGATGGAAGTTTGACATTTGATTTTTTCCTTCTTTCTCTCTCCTATGTAATGAGAGAGACAAATATATTCTAGACCTAATCTAGAAATTTGAAAATTTACAACGTTCTTCAATCTTTTGTTTTATTCTTGGCGGTCTCTTACCGTTTTTCAGAAAAACGGAAAATTATTTCAACATCGAATTTTTCTTAATTTCTCATATTTTTAAGGTTTTCTAGCACATGTTTTTTTTAGGTATTCAATAAACAATGATGTTATTGCTATTTTCTGTTACTTTTTTAATCAATTCTATGCATAATAGTAATAAATTTGTAAACAGTCTGAAAATGTTTGGTTATGTGTTTCTGGCATTTAAAGCAAAGTTGCCAATGCTAAACCTAAATTTAGTGTGTTTTTTCGCTCATTCTGGGATTACGAAAGGCGGTCGCCAGAAGAACGGCTCCCTCCCATAATTCCTATTTTACCAACGAGATCTGACTATTTATAACCACGAAGTTGCACGAAAGAGTTTTGATTGCATTGGTTACAATTTCCATGCGAAGGGTGTTAATCTTTTGTTGTTATATTATATCAAAAAAAGATTAACTCCCTCCGCAAAAAAGTTGTAACCAATGCAATCAAAACTCTTTCGTGCAACTTCGTGGTTATAAATATAACAAAAAAAAGATTAACCCCTCCGCATAGAAGTTGAAACCAATGGAATCAAAACTCTTCCGCGTAACTTTGTGTATATAGGTAGGCATATTTAATTATTGTCGATCTCATAATAGGTAATATTTAAAATCCCTAACCACCCGAAAAAATAGAAGATATGGCAACGTTGTAAATTTTCAAATTTCTAGATTAGGTCTAGAATATATTTGTCTCCCTCATTACATAGGAGAGAGAAAGAAGGATATATCAAATGTCAAACTTCCATCTGGTCTCACTTTTCTTTGTTATTTTGTTAAGAAAAATGTTTTTCAGTAAAATTTTGGACATTTTTCTATCGCCAATGAAGTGTGGCTTTTAGATAAACTATAATATAATGAAAATATAGTGAAATTATTACTTTATAGGGCCGAAATAAAGAAAAATTCAATGTTGAAATAATTTTCCGTTTTTCTGAAAAACGGTAAGAGACCGCCAAGAAAAAAGTTCAGATTCGTAATCTACGACCTCAAAATAGTGTGTATATCAATTTTGGTGAAAATCGGACGATTTCCAGTTTTCCCAATAATTACCTGTATTTTATTAAATATAAAAGGATAACTCTCATACAATACTTTTTAGTACCCTAAACCAGGGTCCTGGTTCTTAAAAGGTACTTATTACTTTGGGTGCTTTGGAATTGGTATAAAAATCAGTTCGTACAACTTTGCAACAAGTAATTATAAATTCAGTTAGTGTGTAGACAAAAAAAAATCGATAAAGACTGGAAGTTCAAACCGGTCTTGGAAACCATTTAACTAAATTACACATTATTGGAGCATTCTCATTGCTGAAATATCTATTATTGAAGTCAAATAGGAGATGGGGACTTAAACTTGAAAAAAATATATTCGATCAAGCGAGTATTGTATATTTTACTAATTTCATATTTTTACTCAAGCATTATTAAATGTAATAAATAAAATATGCATAATATCGCAAAAGTTCGTAACGTACTTACATTGCATATACGTTTTATAAAAAAAATCTAATAAAATATGACAAAATGCTCATTCGCCAAAACGCATTTCCTTGGGCGATACTTTATTCAAAAAGCGGAAGATCCACAATTTTTGGGAATAAAAATAGCAGAGATCTGCATGCAACTCAAATGAAACACAAAGCTTAAAAGTATTCCAGCAAAAGCGTAAAGAGGTCCTAAATAATCAAAAAAAGTATAAGAATTCTAGACCATATATACTGCATAGATACCGGTAAGATCTGTATAACTCTGTTGGCAACATGAGTATGATTTTATAAATTTGTATTATGATTTACTAACTTTTTTTTATTTTTTTTAGTATCGGCTCGTACACATCTTCTTTTCAACATGTGCTTTTCGGATGAATGTCCATTTTTCATCTAATGGATCACAATTGGTGCGAATTTTTATGTTTTTTTGTGAATACTGTTTTGTTTTCAATTTATAAACTGTTGTTTAGTATGTGGTGAGATGATCAGCGTAGGGCTGCAAAGGCTGAAGCGAAAAAAAAGTGGCTGGAATTACATTCCACAAGTAAATATCGATACACAACTTTTGTTATGTAGTCATAAAATGTACATTTTTTCATTATAGCAGTAAAAATAAGTAAAATGCTTTTAATATGTCTTGTACCACATCCAAACCAAACTATTTTTAATAATTCCAAGTAGTATTTTCAATATCCTGTATTATAATTAACGTTTGAAACTAAATAATGCTACTCAGACTGGATTTCTCCAGTGGCGTAGGGAATTATAATCAGAGAAATACAATTTCTCCAATAAACATTTTTTTTTATATTTATTTTACATGTAAAAAAATGAAAAATTCTGGTGATAAAAAATCTATATGTATAGTTGTTACATAAAACTTAAATTTACCTGCCAAGATTTGCTGGGGGTGGACAAACTTGTGATGGGCTACTTGTTACTATATTTTTTTAAATATCCTTTCAAAAAATTTGCTAATTTAGGTGTATAATAATAGTTTCAGTGAGTAATTAATAAAAATTTAAAAATAAATAAATAAAATAGCACAAATTTAACGCTTCTAGAATTGTTAATTTTTTTTGTGGAAAATTAGGATATTCTTATGATTAAAGGTAACGAATATAAAAAATTATATTATTCATTGAATCCGTAAACAACTGTGAAGGGGATTGGCTAGATTCATTATTATACCGTATGATAAAAAAAAGCGGCGTCCAGTTGGCTTGTAAATTACGATCGATGACATTTCCCATATAATTTTACATATAAAATGGCAGCGATCTTCATTTCATAGCCATCGCTGACGCCGTCTTCTTTCGATGTAGTTTTATATAGTTTTTATGTCATTTTATATATAGTATTATTTGGGGAATGTCATCGATCGTCATTTCCAAACAAACAGGACTCCGTTTTTTTCGATCATACGGTATGTATCTACATACACGTTTAAAACATATATATTTACATTATTTTTTATTTAATTATACATTACACATACGTTAATAAATAAGTAATTGTCTTGATGATCAGTCGACTGTGACTGTTAAATAGATTTTGCATTATCGACTTAGATATTCTTATATTATAAAGATGAGACTATAAAATACAAAATTGTATAGGCATTACTCAAAAATGAACGATATATTAATTTACGTTTTAATAAATATTTTGTATCGTCTAGGTACAAGCTAATTTCTGATGCTACGCCATTGGAGAATTTCAAGGGGTGACAAGTGGCCTCACTTTCATCTGCCGTGTTACCTGTCCCCTCTCTTTCCTTGTCTAAGATTTTAAGTCTTGTTTAACTTTTGATGTTATCAACTTTTTAATAGCATTTAAAAAAGGAAGATTTTAATTTTCTTTCCTCCGCTAAAAATCGGCTTTTCGTTTAAGAATCATGATCATATTATTTTTTCATGTCTTAGACTTCTAAGAATTAGAAAAAAAATCATCATTAATTAATTTTGAATTTTACTATAAAAATAAAAATAAAATTGAAAAAACAGTTTTTTTTGAAAATGTCGAAAACCGTTCCGAGTAAAAGAGCTAAAATTTAGGTGAATTATTTTGATTCGACACCAAATCGATCCCTTGAGTGCGAGTCAAAAAAGCCGCGGGGGCAGATTTCCCATATTAATCCGACTATACCCTTTGCCGCAAAGTACTATGAACAAAGATAAAAAATGGGAAATATCACACATATGAGTGAAATGGGTAAGAAGAAATTTTGTGACATGTTGGCAACAGAGTTGGAACGCTAAATGTTTATCTACGAAAGTATATATTATCTAGAATAAGGATAAAGAAGCTAATATGAAATGTAAAAAAAACATAAAAAATAAATGTTATTAATATGAACCATCCCACACTAGAATAAATAAATTTTAATGCGCAATACGCACAAATAGTCGATAAAAAGAGCCTAAATAAATCTAAAAATAAATTCATGTGTTAGTAACTCTAAATTAATCGAAATGTAATTAGCGTAAAATCAAATAAAAAACATCTCGCTGCTGCATCGAGTATAATATTTATTAAAATAGCTTTCTTAATTAAAAATGTATAAATAATAAAATAAGTATATAATATGGCGAATAAATACCGAGTAGGTAATTCATATTTGAGTGACAATGATGAATTAAAAAATAAGGCATATAAAAATCACTTTAACACTTTCTAGTAAGGATAACTGAACACGAGTATTTTGAGACTAAAACGGAATAAGAAATGTTTGGAAAAACACCGTTTGGCTAGAATCCAATTATTTGGACAAAATCGAAATAAAAATGAAACCCTGTTCTCCGGAAACTATGCATTTTAGGACATACATTTATACGAACTCTTTTACTTATTTTTATCTGCAGAATATGCTGCCGAAGTTTCCGTTAGTACAGGTCGGACCACCCTGTATATTAAAAATTTTCTATCTTTTTAAGGATAATAACGTCAAGCGTAAAATGGAGGCCTTAAAATTCAAGAAGGAATCTAAGGATTGTAGTAATCTAAACGGTATTTTATCCTATAGTCTGTGAAACGAATAACTTCGAATTTGACAGTTCCCGCGGGCTTTTCTAGTGTTAATTTTATTAGGTTAGCACCTTGCGGCCATGCTGACGTAATGCCGTCTCTAATAGAACAGCCTCGGAGCGAGATTTATGACGTCACGCTAGTTAGATACTACCGATTAATAAATATGTTGTAGAATATATGGAAAACATAATTAATTATTCCTCGTATTTTTGGTTTGTATTTTAAAAATGATATAGTTTACATGAAATATACATAATATACAGTTAATAAATACGCAGAAAGTAGTCTCGACTGACTAGTGAGAAAGAAAATTTAGGAACTAGTGGGGTTGCAGTCGGAAGGGTTTGACAAAGAATTAATACACTTTGTTAATTGTCAAGCTTTCGGAATTTATTCATTCCTTCCTCAGGACATTAACGTGGTACAATAATAAATAATAATAAAATATAAAAAATAACCGGTGGTGGTTAATAAATACAATATACATATATACCTATATATAGTAATAAATACTTTGGCAAATAAACTATTAACCATACAAATGCAGCAAATATTTTACAATAGGTATACAAATAATGAATAGGTACATAAGATAATGGGTAAAATGTAAAATATATTTTAAATTTTGGGCTTTGAAAATCGATCTAATTTAACAAAAAACATTCCATATCTACTAATAGTGATGTATTATTATTTGCATTCACAAAATTTATATGTATATTTTGCAGGTATCAATGTTCGAAAAATTATATTTGCAAATAATACAATGCAAAATAAAACACTAAATCACCACAATACACCAAAACACTTTTACTTTTACATGGACCCGCGTTTCGCTAACCATGTTAGCATCATCAGCAGATGATTATAAACTGATTATAAACTTCTGTTTATAATATGTGTAGAGGTGTATTGTGGTGATTTAGTGTTTTAGTTTGCTGTGTAACACCAAAGGTTCCAAATAAATAATACAATATCATAAAAAAGGCGTCAGCGATGGCTATGAAATAAAGATCGCTGTCATTTTATATGTAAAATTATTCTAAAATTTTTGATTTTCTTGGGATTTAGGTTCGGGAAAAACGCTGATTAAATTTTTATTTGGTTTTTCATTATTTTTTTCGGTTTAAAAAAAACGTTTTAGTATAACCAAAAATACGAGGAATAATTATGTTTTCCATGTATTCTACAACGTATTTATTAATCTGCAGTATCTAACTAGCGTGACGTCATAAATCTGGCTCCGAGGCTATATATTTATTTAGAAATGTATATATTTAGAAATGTCAACAGCTGATGACATTTTACTTTTAACAATTATGACATTTCGTGTTGATTTTTGCAAGAAGAGGAAGAACTGTCGCTTGTTTTATTATTTTCTTTTTCTATTTCACGAAAGTAAAAAGAGTTACCTATCTGATTCGTTCCGGCACTCAATTTAAAGAACATCAGTAACTTTTTTGATAGAGGGTTTTTATATTTACCATGTTGGTAAAAAATAATGGTCAAAATTCAAAGTTATTCATTTTATAGACTATATTTTATAAACTTTATGAAAGATCTTTTGAATTAACTCATCATGACAGCTTAGTCTCTTGAAAATGATATTTGAAAACAAGTATTATATTCTAAGAAAAGCATCAGCACTCGACGCAGCAACGTATGCATCCTTCTAAGGGCTGCGTCGAAGGGCACGCTCTAGGCCTACTACGTGACGCCAGTGGCACTACTACTACAGCCTCTGGGGGTACTTACGCTGGCGCCAGCGGCGTGGGCGGCTGTTGGACTGCGGCCTGCATCTGGTGGAGCTCGCGGTCGGTGGGCGGGCCGCACCTGGCCAGGAAACAGAGAGCCCCGTCCTGGCGCATCGCCGTGTAATTCTCGTAGCCGTGTTTCCAAGTCCCGATCAGTAATGATTTGTCGCACTCGGAATCCCACCACGCGGCAGGCAATTGCTCCGTTACCGGGGGGTATATCGGCAAGGCACTGTGAACGTATACACGGAATCGCCAATTGTTAATTTTGACTGGCTAGTTTTTTTTTGTAATTTTAAACAAATTTTGTTTAGGTTTTTTGTTGTCGCCGCCCCCTCGAGGGTCGGCCGATGTACATGTGGCACAACTTCAAATGAACTTTCAGGGGTTTCATATACGGTTTTGAAAGTTAGGTGGTCCAGATTATTATAAAACGTATTTCTTTTGACTAAGTTTCTGAGCCATTAATATTGGCTATACTTCTGCATGATTTTAGGGCAAAAATCTCAAAATGCCGGGTGCGTCTCAAAAGTGGCTCACCCCTATTTTATCACATAAAAAACGAGATTTGGTGTCTTAGTATATGACATAAATTAAGATTGATTGATGTATTCAATTGTTTTCGGTCAGTTCCTGTTTCACCGGAAATGACTACAACTTTTGATTTTTAAACGGCATCCTCGGTATTTTTTTACTTTATTCGATAGCAAATGACATATCATATGTCAACTTTTGACATTTTCGCAAATGGTTTATTTATAATAACTTGCGATTTGTAACGAAAATTTTACTCGAAATAACAAGTGTGTGGTATCAAATTATTCGTAAAAAATGCTTTTTCCAAATATGTTAATGAATCACCTTCGTTCCATTTAAAAAAAAAATTGAGATATGATTAAAAATACGATTTAAGCATTTTCTAACTGGTCAAGACAAGACACTAAAAGCATTAGACGATCAAATCTATTTTTCCAAGGCTCCTTGATTAAGAATTAGCGTTTTTAACATAGCCATGGCACTCTAGATTGAATTTTAAAATACGATTTTTTATTAAGCGAGAATGTCAAAAGTTGACATATGATATGTCATTCTATTCAGAATAAAGTAAAAAAATACCGTGCCGAGTAAAAAAATAGGGTGCCATTTAAAAATCAAAAGTTGTAGTCATTTCCGGTGAAACAGGAAGTGACCGAAAACAATTGAACACGTCAATCAATCCTAATTTATGTCATACACTAACAAACCAAATCTGTTTTTTTTATCTCAAAAAATAAAAAAATTATAGGGATGAGCCACTTTTGAGACGCACCCGGTATAGCAGGTTCCTACAAGTTTTCCTTAAATATTAAGAAAAATATAGACGCAACAATATCGTTTTTCAATAATTTAGTTATTAAAAAAATGTCTGAAAAGGATCAAAATAAAATTTGTTTATATATTGTTAAATTTTATTTAATTTTAAGAAAAGCGACATACTCCAAACATAAGATATATTTTTTTACATTTTTTCAAGAAAATCAAAGTCAAAAATCACTAAAAAATGTCTCAATGAATTTGTTATTAGAGATCAGCGATTTTAGAGATAAATATTTTAATTCTTTAAGTTAAAATATGCCCAACGAAAAGATACATATCAGTGACAGTGGTCTGTCATTTTACTTCACTTTTTTTTGTCATTCTATAAACGGCGTCTATCAATATATTTCTGACTCGTTTATGACTTTATTTGTTCTAGTAGCCTGCAACGACCCAGAAATTCATAAAATCAACAAACATTATCTATTTTACATTACTTCTAGACTTTATAGATATTTTAGATATTCGTTCACAAAATAGGTTGGAAAGTTATCTTTATTAAAATATTCTAATATATCCAAAACAAAATAAAACCAGTATGATTTAAAACATTCATTAGGTACATCCTATTTTCACAAGTCAACTGTTAATGAAAATTCAGAAGCAACATTTATTTAGCAAACCTTAAAGTCAAAAGAAATCCATCACTTTGACCACATTAGAATATAAGAAAAAAAATCTAACAAATTATAACAAAATATTTTTATTCATGTTTAAAATATATTTATTGGTACTTTTTGAATTATTTAATAAAAAAAAAAGAATATTTATCCTTCACAAATTATATACTCTGTGTAGTTTGGGCGGGACCTCTTGCATGTACTTGAGATGTGCATAATCAGGTTTTCACAAGTACACTGCACTTTTACGTGAGGAGTCACTAGGCAAATATACAAGACAGGTACAATTATTAGTGCTAAGATTTCTTTTTGGTAGTCAAAATAAATCAATTACCTATAACAATTAATTGAAAATTTTGATTTGGTTTAGAGTAGATTTTTGAATATTAAAAAGGAACTACATTGGTAGATACGCTAAACGTATAAGCCCATTTGAAGTTTGCGCGACTGTACATCGTTAAATAGCAGAGTTTCTCAAAAATAATAATTTGGTATCAAGTGCCGTACCGCTAAGGTTTGACTACACTTACATATGAGAATGAACTTTCTTTTTTCATCTTAAATCTTCTTAAAACTATCGAACACTATGTGTAGATACCGTACAGACTGCCTTAATTATTTTCAATAAAAAATAATAAAATAAATAGGATTGTGCGAAGAAGTCCAATATCGTCGTCACTGTCGAAGATTGGAAACAAGTTTTATACAGACGTTCCATGGTTTATAAATAAGTTCCTAAAAGATATTGTTATATACGGGGTGTCTAAAAATATTATGGTAAAAATTTTAAGATATTTTAAAATGCACCCCCCATTTTTAGCCGACCATACCGTATGGTAGGCTATTAAGATCGGCAAAAAAATATTTTTTTTAATTTCACTCAAAATGAGTTATTTGGATCATAAATGACCTAAATACAAAATATTTTCATGGTGTCTGTCTGTCCGTCCCTCTGTAACACGATAACTCAAAAACCGCTAAACCGATTTTAAACAAATTTGGCACAAAAATAATGTGGCACCCGAGAATCTGGCCATTAGTTTTTGGTGGGGGTTGGTAAGGGGGTATGGGAGGGGGTTAAAAATTTAAAAAAATCGTAACTCCAAAATTACAGTAGCTAGCGAAACGCGGTTTTCGATTTAAGATTAGGAATAATATTTGCAACAAAATTTGTAATAACATCAAAATCAGTCAAAGTCGCAGTTTCTGAGATAAAAAAAATTGGAAAAATTCCTTTACTTTGAAACAAAAAGAACTGCCTACAAACTTTTTATTAACATATTTTAGTATGGGCGGCTATACGTGCCTCCCAATTTTTCTGTACAGATTTGGATTCAGCACAAAATTCTGCATATAGTACGCTATTTTTATTGACAGTACTTTATCATGACTTTCTTTTGAGACATCCTGTATACAACAGAATATTTCTAGGATATGCACCATTATAAACCGTGCAACATTTGTAATAAACTTTTTTTTATATCTTTGTCAACAACGACGATATTGAACTTCCTCGCACTAATGGGCCACCCTGTACATTAACCTTGATATTATACAGGGTGTCCCAGAAATATGGGCAAGTATTTTAAGTGGTATTATAGTTCAACCCCAGAAACACGCCTATGAGGTTTCTTTGGCAAAAAAAATTTGAAATTTTTTTAGTTTTTAGTTAAAAAACATAATTTCTTGATAATATGGCAACATAGGTATTAGATTAAATTTACAAGAAAGAAAATAGAAAAGATCCAGTAGTTCTCAAAATTTTAGCAAAAAATCACTTTTTGGAAATTTTCAAAGTAAAGTAACTGCTCTATTTTGCACTTATTTGAAAAACGATAAAGAGAAAACATTTCTGGGACACCCTGTATTATTAAAGTAAGAAATAGTATACCAATACAACAAACGTGCCAAAAGACATCTAATAAAAAAAACTGAAAAAACTTGTGTTATTCGGCATTTAAGTAGGAGCCCTATAATTATTACAGATCAAATTAAATATAAAATATCAAGAGAGCATTTTTTGGAGCTTTCTCTATACCCGACTGGTCCTAAATCCGTAGTCTATATTTTAATGAGCAAAGATTAGTTTTTACGCATCCCAAATCCCAATTTCTGACATTTTCATTTCACAGCAATCCAGATAAAATTAGTCAAGAAATTATTAGGATAATATTTGGTTGCATGAAAAACGTGCAAATCTTCGAAATCTTTTTATAAATGTTTGAACTGTATAATTTCATTTAGTTTGCGAATAAGGTAGGTCGAATAAGATAGTTAAAAAATAAAGTACACAAAATAAATAACAATTTTAAATATTTTAATATCAAATAAACATAATAAAAATGAAATTGTAATTAAGGCAACCTGTATAGTTAATAATGTTTGAAAATTAATTAACGAAATCAATAGAAAAACGTATTTAACTATTGGCTAAGGTATAGTCCTAAGTAACACCTTGTACTGGGTGTCCCACTAAAAATGGCTCTCGGCTGTTTCTTGGAAAATATTAATCGTAGAGACTGCGAGAAAAATTATTTGAGGCCATGAGAAATTCCTGAAGTTCATAGAACGACCGCTAGAGGGCGCAACTGCTATGGCGAATAAGAAAACAGTTTTTTAGAAAATTTTGTTTAGCTATAGCATAATAATCTTCATAAAATTTCGGATTTTTTGTCTGAATCATTTTGCCCTATCTGCTAAAATAAAGTGGTGGGGGAAGGTTAAACTGTTTTTACTTAAATGTTAGTAACTGAAGACTGGGTAATCGGGATCCAACGAACTAGGTCTCATTTAAAAGAGCGTTCCTTACTCTCTATTCTGCCATATAAACAATAATAATAATATGCAGTTAACATACCGTGCTGGCAACTGTTACTTTTGGGTCGGTATTTACATGTGTAGAAGTAAATCGCATAGGGATCTTAATAAGTCGGAGTGAGAGAAATGCGACGGTGTGCTGTTGCGGCGTTGCCGGTACGCCTTTCCCTATCAAGTAAAGTGAAATCACGATCGCAAACCGCTTATTTTTAAAAGATTTTTTTTTTCGAAAAGATAGATTTCGATATTTCGAAATGTACTTCTTAATATATAAGAAGAGAAGAAATTATAGATTTTCAGATATTTTCGATAGATTTAGAGATATCGATTTTTGAATTCAGAGTTCTGATAGCGCGACCACTGTCGAACACCAACTCAATTCCACTTATTTTTACCAAAAATGCAAGTGTTTCTAACTTGCACTTAAAATTTTTCAAGCTATAGGGAAAATTACAACGACTCGTTAATAAATAAACAAGTAGACAACGTTTATTCTTCTTTACTATCATCTAAAATTACACATAATTTTTTTTGAAAAAATAAAAAAAAAACAGCAATGTTTGTTAAATTATAAAACAGCGACCACTAAAGTCTACTGTCTAGCGCATATATAGTAAACGCCACGAATGTTTGGGAGTGATTCATCGCTTGATGAACTTAGAATCGACACGCTCGCTATCATTTTTACATTAAAAACGTAATTTTTTACCGCAGACGTAGGTTTTTAAAGGCCCGGTCTAATCATCTGCCTGCGCTCCTCCTACTTATTCTAAAATGTTAGCGTGATTGACAAAGACGATACTATATCGCGTTTCTTTGATTGATTCGTTTTTGTGCGTCAGTCCATTGGTGTGCTTGCAGTGCGACCAATGGGGCATTCCAGTTTATATTTATAACCAAATATATGTTTTGACAAGATTTTGACAGTTACAACAACAAATTACAACAGATTATACAGGGTGTTTCAAAACAAATGCGAAAAACTTCAGGGGGTGATTCCTTGTTCAAAATAAAGAGTAGTTTGCTTTATAAACGTTGGGTCAAAGATCAACCATTAGGGAGATATCGCGGTACAAAGATGGCGGAAAAATAATGTTTTTATTCTTTATCTTGAAAACGAAAAACGATAGACTAATGCAATTTTATGGAAGCATTACTGTTATGAAAACATACTTTCTGGTAATTTTCTCACTTTTTTAAAACGAGTGGAAGGGGTTGAAATAAACTACCTCTATCATTCTTGTTAACGAAATTAAAAAAAAAAGCTTATCAAACACATGCAAAAAAATTAATTTGGATAGTTTAGTTTGTTTAGAAACTTTTTTATCTCTTGTGTTTTTTTGATAAAACTCACCGATTTGAAATTAAAAAATAAAATGTAAAGCATTACATATCAGGACAAAAAACATTTTTAGATAAAGAATCTAGTGGGCTGCTCTAATTTTTTTAGGAAAAAATCTAGTCGGCCGCTGTCACTTTTTAGGATGTTTCTAATATTATTTTATTGACATTACTCTACTGCAATACGTTATTATCTAGATTCTTATTATTATCGTTATTATTACTAGATTCTTTATCTAAAAATGTTTTTGATCCTGGTATGTAATGCTTTACATGTTATTTTTTAATTTCAAATCGGCGAGTTTTATCAAAGAAACACAAGAGATAAAAAAGTTTCTAAATAAACCAAGCTATCCAAATCAATTTTTTTTGCATGTGTTTGATAAGATTTTTCTTTAAATTTCGTTAACAAGAATGATAAGGGTAGTTTATTTCAACCCCTTCCACTCATTTTAAAAAAGTGAAAAAATTACCAGAAAGTGTGTTTTCGTAACAGTAATGCTCCCATAAAATGTCATTAGACTATCTCTTTTCGTTTTCAAGATAAAAAATAAAAACATTATTTTTCCGCCATCTTTGTACCGCGATATCTCCCTAATGGCTGACATTTGACCCAACGTTTATGAAGCAAATTACCCTTTATTTTGAACAAGGGATCGCCCCCTGAAGTTTTTCGCATTTGTTTTGAAACACCCTGTATATTGATTATTATATGACTTGAAACACCACGGCACTGGAATTAAGTTCTATGTGACCTTGAAGAGATTAGTTCACATGGTAGCGACCGATGAATCACTCCCAAACATTCGTGGCGTTGACTATAATTAATTATTATTTATCAGGAATCGTATAGAAAAAGGAACGCTCTTTTTAACAAGACCTAGTTCGTTGGATTCCGATTATCCAGTATGGAGTAATTAATATTATTTGAATATTATTCTAATACAAATATAACCTTTCCCCACAACTTTATATTAGCAGAGAGGGCAAAATAGAGCTAAAACCTTTTTTTTTGGGTCTGACCTGGACTTTTCCAAGCTATGCTGAAGAATATGACGCTATATTTGTACCCCTTACCTAGGAAAAATTTTGTTAAAATCCCATTTTCTTATTCACCATAGCAACAGCGCCCTTAGCGGCCTTTCTAAGAACTCAAAAATAATTTCCGGTGATTTCTCATGGCCTTTTTAGAATATATTTTGAGAAGAAGCCCAGTGATTCTTAGTGGCACATCCGGTAGAGTAAATTTAGTTTCAATGTGTTGATATTGATATAAACTGTTTTTTTTTGTTAAATAGTTTTTTATTGACAGTTTAAAGTACTGTTTCACACGGAACGAACCGCCAAAGGGACGATCAGTAACATGTGAAACAGCACTTATTTTATTGTAAAACATTTGAATATGACATAAACGTTTTTCCAAAAACATTCAAACAACGCGAACGCCACCGACAAAAATTATTATTTTTGAAAAACTTCATTCTCATATATAAAAAGTGATAATAGGGGATAGTTGGGAACCAATACTAATAAGATTAGTGTTAAAACAGTTATGTTAAATATAAGCCAGAAGCTGTGATCAAAAATAATGACAAAAAGTATAAATCTATTATGCGTAAGCACTGGCATGACCTCAAAAAAGCATCATGCAAGAATATTGAAAAAACTGAAGCTGGTATCCCAACAATAATAAGAAATAAAATTTGGGCTTACGAGTTAAATTGGAGTTCTTACCTTAGTTTTAACATTTTTTTTCTAATACCTTTAGACAGATATTGGTGAAATTTAACTAGTGCAGTGTACAGTTTCGCTGTTATTTTTTGACAAAATTCTCAAAATATCGTCGCTCAAATCAAAAAATCTAAATATCTGTGTGTAAAATGATTTAGAATCCACACGAACAAACGATCATTTTATTTAAAAAAATATGATCTTAAAATTTTCAATTCTGATAATTACTTGTTATCTAGAAAATTAAAAAGTGACGATCCCTAAGGGTAAAATAAAATAACCCCAAAAGGGTTAAACAATACAGGGTTGTTCACCACATACGACACGGAGTATTGTAGCTAAACGATTAGATTTTTACAAATTGTAAGTTTTCGGTTCTTTGAAGAACTATTAGAGGTACAATTTAAAAATATTTTTAAACATTTTAAGGCTTCATTTCTCCTAGGGTAAAGTTTTTAATACTAAATATTTACTGAAGTTTATTTATTGATAAGTTATTGTGTTGCGATAATAAAAATAGTACTACCTCATACAGAGTGAAAAAAAATATTATAAATAATTTCTATAATAGCTTTAATAATAAGACAATAACTTGTTTAATTTAAATGGAATACCCTATATATTTTAGGAGAATCAGATGTACAATTTAATTGTCTATCAAATTGTATTATACCATTTTTTACCTATTTCTTCAATTTTTCGTAGAAAATGCTAATCGTTTAGCTACAATACTCCGTGTAGTATGTGGTGAACAACCCTGTATATTCTTATGATTCTAGTGCTGGACTATGTCCGTATATTTTATATGAAAAAAAATGGTGTAAAAATTGCAAATGAAAACTGAGATGAAATATGTTATAATAGGTCAATAGGTCCTCGAAATGCCAAGAGCTGTTTGCTACGCAAATTAGTTTAAAAGTAAATAACCACTGGATCAACTCGTCTCCCTGGATTCTAAACCTAGGAGAATTTAACAAAAACAAACAGATATTATGATGTTAAAAGTTGCTTGTTGACATTAACATTCTAAGACATTTTGCAGGGATAATTAATTTAATTAAAAATAATGATCTGATCGAAATTAAGAGTAATTCCTGTACAATGCACATATTAAATATACTCGCAAGGACATCCTTACCTTTGGATGAACCGACTTATATACAACAATAAAATTCGTAAATGGTTAACATTTGTCTCACGTTAAATGATTAAACTGAACACACCTAATTCTCAAAACTGAATAAGCGAAAATAAAGCTTACCTAGCTTGAACGCCATCTGTGATGTGCTGGACCAAGTCTCCGATTATTTCGTGTTTAATGTAGTACAACATCCTGACACGAAGGAGAACCCTGCATGGACAAAAATAACGTAAATCCCACAGAAATAATCCAAAATTGATTAAAAGAATATTATTTGGTGAGTTCAGAGATTTGAGAAAAGTTGTTCTCATAGAATACCTACGTATTCTCTAAATTAGCATGAAGTTCATCATATAAGCACAGATTAGGTATACTATACGTATACAGATAAAAATCTTGTCCCTAATTCGTGGTACGAAAATTATCTTTTGTGAAAGCATTTCGAAATTGACAGTTTTTCATATTTATTTGAGATTAGAAATGACATTCTTTTAGGCTCTAGTATCTAAAAGTGACACTTGTTTAGGTACTAGTGCCTAAAAGTAAAAAAATTTTTTACGCAAAAAAAAATATTTTTTACGTGTAAAAAACTATTTGTTACACGTAAATAACTATTTTTTTACGCGTCAAAAACTTATTGTTTCTGGTAAAAACTTTTTTACGCAAAAAAAAATATTTTTTACGTATAAAAAACTATTTGTTACACGTAAAAAACCATTTTTTTACGCGTCAAAAACTTATTGTTTCTGGTAAAAAACCTTTTTTACGCAAAAAATATTTTACGTGTAAAAAACTATTTGTTACGTGTAAAAACTATTTTTTTACGCGTCAAAAACTTATTGTTTCTGGTAAAAAAACTTTTTACGCAAAAAAAAATATTTTTTACGTATAAAAAACTATTTGTTGTTGTTGGTAAAAAAACTTTTAAAAATACGCATAAAAAACTATTTTTAGGCGTAAGAAAATATTCCTTTAATTTATTACTTTTTCAACATTTCAAACTACATTTTTTCACACATCTCCTTCAAATTTTTGAATTTAATATAATCTTCCTAAACAGTAGATGTTTTCTATAAAAATATTTTTCGATAATATCCTAAAATAAAAAAAATGCATACTATTTAATTTAATTTTTATTGCATTATTAAATATTACGTCCGCCTATGACGGGGTCTCATAGAAAACGCTAAAGACGCTTCAGAAAACAAATTGATTTGTTTTCATTTGCGTTTTTTGCGAGACACGCCGAACGCTAGACACTTTTGGTGGGGCCACTCCTATATAATCCTGTTATTTTGTTTTAGACGCAAAAGACGCTTCACGCTAAAAACGCAAAAAACGCTTTCTGTGTGGCCGTGCACTTAGAAACTGATTACCAGAACATTAAAAAAAAATTAAAAATAAATAATAATGGTATGAAAATCTCAAATTATCCGCTTTCACAAAAAATCTTGTACGAAATTCGTTGCGCAACTCTTACTTTTGGGTAGGTATTTACATGTGTGGAAGTGAATCGCATAGGGATCTTAGCAAGTCAGAGTGAGAGAAATGCGACGGTGTGTTGTAACGGCGTTGCCACCTTTTTCAGAGGTACAAGTACGCCTTTCCCTGTCTACTGGAGTGAAATCACTGTCGAAAGGCGCTTATTTTTCCGAAAGAAAACTACACAATAAAATACTGACTGTTCTAATTGTCATACTTACTTATTGGCGTGCCGTCCAAGGTGCTTCTTATAATTATTTTCCAAAAATATATCTCCGTCGTATTTTTCATTTTTGCTCCAGTGATTAGGATCGGTTAACGCAGCGTGCCTGGTATCCTTGCTGGGCTTCTTTTTGTGTTTATTCCTTATGCCCCTTGGCACGGGGTCTTTCAGGCCCTGGTGATTTCTGGAGATTTTTTGTTCGCCATATTCCGAGGGAGCTATCAAGTCCCAAATGAAATTGCGAATTTTCTCATCGCCTCGGTAAAATCTCAAACAGTATAACAGCTAGAAGACAAAGAAAATTGTTTTTTTATTTGTTAGTAAAAATTACATGCAGAAAGTAGACATTGAATAAAAAAACTAGGAAGGAAAGATCTAATTATGTTTTGGAGAGGGGGATAGAGGGAGGGAGTTAATACTTCAAAAAAATAGATTAGAATACGCCAAGTTTATGAATTTTACTTAATATTATGTTAAAACTTTTAGAAAGCTTAAGATTTTTTTTACTTACAATTACTCTGGCACAATCCTCGATATCGTTGTCCCTCCATCCTTTCCTCAACTGTGAATTTTGCAGGATCTCCAACCATCTTCCCCAACCAAAAGTCAACAGACCTCTTTCAACCATGAAGCACTCGCGTCTCGACCAGCTCCCATACACCATTTCACCCTTTTCACCTTCTCTAGGATAGTAATCGTCACCTCTGAGCTTCTTTTTCTTCAATTTATTCCTTCTACTACCCCTTAGTCCCGATCCGGAACCCTCGTTTTCTGGATCCGAGTCCGAGGAACTTTCAAGCTCGGACATATCCAAAGCACTCTCGTCATGTCCGTATCTTTTGATTTGGGTTCTTTTTCTGGGTTCTGAAACTACAAGATCTTCGCTTTCGTCTTTTTCTGTAGTGTCGATTTCAGCTCGCTTAGCCCATTTATTCCAGAAATCCGGATCGTCCAAATCAATATCAGATCTACTAGCGCTAGACGCAAAACTAGCTTTAGAGAAGGTAGAACCTTTCTCAGATTCCATGGTGATGACCTGGGTCCTCCTCGCTAAGATAACATCGATATCTTCCTCACAAAACTTGTCGCCGTCGTTTTCTTCATCCAAAAGAGCACCGTAGGCCCCCTTTTTCAACAGGTCTTCGATCTCCTTCTTACTCAGTTGCCTGTGGCCCGAACCTTTATCTCCTTGTCCAGTGTTCATGCTTTGTAATATAGCTTTGTCTAGACCGAGCTTCAGCGAGGCTTTATCGAACATCTCTCTTTCATAAGTGTTTCTGCATAGCAACCGGTAGATTTTGACCATTTTCTGTTGACCAATTCTGTGGCAGCGCGCTTGGGCCTGCAGGTCGTTCTGAGGGTTCCAATCGCTGTCGTAAATGATAACTGTATCGGCTGCTGTTAGATTAATGCCCAGACCACCAGCTTTGGTGCATAGAAGAAAAACAAATCTGTCAGAGTCTGGTTTGGAAAAACGATCGATAGCTGCTTGACGTAAATTCCCTCTAATCCGTCCATCGATTCTTTCGTACGGATATTTTCTGAACATTAAATAGTCCTCCAGAATATCCAAACATTTCACCATCTGGCTGAATACCAGTACTCGATGTCCGTTTGCTTTCAACTTCGGTAGAAGCTTGTCAATCAAAACCATTTTTCCGCTGGAATTGATGAGGGCCTTGTAATAAGCATCGGGATCTTCGCCATTCTGTTGTTTGAAATCGTACTGAATTTGATCTTCCGCTCCGTTTAACAAGTACGGATGAATACAGCATTTTCGTAACTCCATCATAGTATTCATAAGATTAGGTATGTTAGCATAGGTTGTTCCTTTCGTAAGAAATGAGAAATTTCTCTCCAAAATTCCTCTGTAGTACTTCTTCTGTATGTTAGTCAACTCCACTTCAACCACAGTTTCTTCTTTGGGCGCCAAAGATTTCTCTACGTCTTCTTTTAACCTCCTCAGCATCATCGGTTTTAATAAACATTGCAATTTTTGTACTTCCTGTTCGGTTTTAAGGGACCCAAATTCCTTGATGAATGCGTCCGAGTTTGAAAACTGCGTCGGTTCTAAAAAATTCAATAACGAAAACAGTTCATTAACGTTGTTTTGTAGCGGAGTACCAGAAAGAAGGACTCGATGTTCCAAACTTAATTGTCTCAAGCCTTCTAACAATTTACAGTTTCTATTCTTCAGTCTGTGAGCTTCGTCGATAACACACAATCGCCAATTGAAGCCTTTCAAATCTGCAAAGTCAGTCACGATAATTTCGAAAGTAGTAATTAAAATATTGAACTTCGTTATGTCTTTTATAAACTGTCCTTTTTCGTTTTTGAAGTACATTTCGTACTCCTGAATCATGTTTCTGCTAGATGCCGAACCGTGATACACTATTACGTTCATGTCTGTCCAACTTTCGATTTCTCTTTGCCAATTGGGAATAGTCGACAAAGGAGCAATGACAAGGAAAGGTCCTCTAATCCCATACTCCCAAACCGAGTGTATAAACGTTAAACTTTGAATAGTTTTACCCAATCCCATCTCATCGGCTAAAATACAATTCCGACCATTGTACCACGAGAATAACAACCAATTTAGTCCTTCTAACTGGTATTCTCTTAAACTATTACCTCCTTTGTAAATAGGAGAGACGTCTAATTTTTCCCAGGCATCTGGACTAGGTCTCTTTTTAGGTTTCCACTTATCTTTCGGCGGAATTTTAGCGAATTTCTCGTATTGTTCTATTTTAATGGGATCAACGTCTTCTTCCAATTCCCACGTGCAATCCTCGTATTGCAACGCTCTCCATTTTACTAAGTAATGCCTAACCACTTCTCCCGAAGCTGGGTCCGTGTGCTCAGATACATCTAGAACCCTATCAACCTCTACATAGTCAGGATTGAACGGTTCCTCGTCAAGAGTTTCAAATATGTTTAGCTGTTGGGCTTGTTTCTGTTTGAAGCGTTTAATTTTATTAGCTATTCGTTTATCGCCTTTAAATAATTCGTCTTCCGTCTTCCATTCGCAATGTAGATAAGAAAAATTCCTGTATTTAACGAAATATTCTTCTAATTCAACAACTTCGATTTCATCTTTGAGCTGTTTCTTTTCGTCAGTCTGGTCTTTTTTCTTATCGTCTTCTTTTTCTTCGACTTTGTCATCATCATTTTCTGTCTCTTTCCCCTTTTCTTCTTCATTTACCGCTTCTGCTTTTATCTCTTCAATTTTTCGTTCTCTTTTTGTCATTCTTGATGCTAAAACGTACTGAACCACCATTGAATCTTCATCTGACGTATTAACATAAACGTAATTCATTCCTTTATTTGCGTCTGGTGATGCCGAAGAGGATTCTTCGACAACAGTCTCTTGTGTAGTACCGGTGCTAGCAGGTGGGGACGAAGCAGAACTGGCAGAAGTAGATATTACCGGTTTATCTGGCACCGGTGGTTTTCTACTTCTAGGTGTCGGAGGAGTATCATCGTCAGAAAATCGAAGCATCACGTCGTCTATGTACTTCTTTCTTTGAGTATTACGAGCTGAACGACGTTTGTTCGACGAGTCATCGTCTGGAGGAGGAGACGGAGGAGGAGTGGTAATTAAATCTTCTCCTTCACCATCAGACTCGATCTGAACACCCCTTCGTCTAGCGCTACGCTTCGAACTATTGCTGCTGCTTTTACTTTTAGCGGCTTTGGAACTTATAACCTTCCTAGGTGGTGGTCTAGCTTTCTTGGTTTTCTTCGGCATTTCACCGATTTCTTCTTCTATTTGGTTTTCATCAAATGCGTATTCGTCCTTTTTCTGATCCTCGCTAGACTCGGGCAACGGACCTTCTGAAGGAGTTTGAGAATCCGCCTGCATTTTTTCCGTTTCGTCTCTATCCATATCGACAGATGAGGATTCGGGCTCGATGTTATCTCTATCAACTTTAGCCTCTGCTTCCTCTGACGATTGCTTATCTGACAAGCCAGATAGATTTTGTAAACTTTCTGTCGATTTATTCATAGATTCATCTGTAGCGCTTCCCTCCGAACCTTCGGTAAGTTTTTTCTTTCTTACGTATTTTCTTTTGGGTCTAGCAGCGTCCTGAGCTTCCTTCGGTGCCTTCTTTTTCTTTTCTTTGGGAGGTTTTGGTTCTTTCGGTGGTTTAGCCTCCTTGGGAACTTTCGGTTTCTTCGGCTCTCGAGGTTTTCTTCCTTTCTTGTTGTCTTCGGAAATTTCATCCATTGCCATGTCTGTGAAATCGGACATCTCGCTGGATGGTATATTTAGTCCCGCGCCTGGGGTAACAAAATCTTCGGACACCGGTAGCTGTTGAGGTTGGGTCTGTTGCGCGGGTATTACCGGTGACTGAGTAATATCAGCATCCGATGAAATAATTGCTTTCTCTCCTTTCTTTCCGCGAGGTTTTCGGGGCTTGTTAGATCCTTTACCTCGTCCTCTACCAGTAGTGCTAGTAACCTGAGGACTATCTATCATAGGCGAAGTAAATATTGGACTTTGTAAGATACACTGAGGACCACCGTTGCATTGCTCAGTAGCTTCGTGCTGGCTCAAAAGGTTTAACTTTTCTTGAAGGTTCAAAACCTTTTCCTGATTTTCTGTAGCTGGTGGCATACAGTAGAGTTCTTGTAATTGTTGTTGTAAAGCCGCCCGTTCCTGTTGATGGCTAATAGGAGGCTGATAACCTGACATTTCTGGATTGGGTATCATTCCCATATTTGGCATCATTCCAGGTATAATAGGCATTCCCGAGTGGTTCATTCCCTGAATCGGACCATGGCCCATTCCTGGTGCTACTTGTCTAGGTATCGGCATGCCATTCGGACCCATCATGGTCATCGAACTTTGATCATACATATTTGTATTTGAAGTGACTTGACCGTGCATTATGTTTGGAGGTAAATTTGTTTGATTTGGTATACTGGATAATGTTTGACTATTCACACCAACATTTGGAGTTGATATTCCCATTGGTGAAACATTATGAGTATTAACAGAAGGAACAGGAGGAATAGTTTGAGGAGCGCTAGTAATACCAAGAACTTCGGGTCCCTTGTCTAAGACGCTTGAACTACTCGAGCTTACAGGTATTCCTACTTCGCCAATAGCGTTCTGATTAGCATTAATGATATTGGAAATTGAATGATGTTCGGCAGAATTTGGTGGTAAAGCTGTATTTTGATTTTCTTGAATCTGAGCGCTAGGTAATTGCTGAGTTACACTGAGTAAAGTGTTATTACTTCCAAGTACTTGTTCATTAGCTGAAGTATTACTAAGATTAGATTGACTCTGATTAGAATTCTGATTAGATAGTGAATGAGTTTGACAAGGAGACGCTGGGGAATTCACTCCACCTTGATTACTACTATAAACGGACTTGTTATCTTGATTTGACAAGTTAGAGGATGCGGAAATTTGCTGGCGAAAACTGGGAGATTGCAGTTGAGGCGATTGAGGTATGCTAGATTCAGATTTATTAGATTCAGGTAAAGATTCTTGAGAGAGTGAATTTTCGTGGCTGAACACATTCGATTGAACTAAATCGTCAGATTTATTTCCCCCACCTTTAGGCGTCGAAGGCTGACTGTGATAACCGGTCATGCTCGAAACGCAGTTAAAATCAGTAAAATTATGTGTTGCATTGCTCTGACTCGAAATATGCTGATTTGATGTCGAGCTAGTATTACTAAGTTCATCTAATTGTTTGACAGAGTCGCAATTCGAAGGAAGACTAGATTCTTGAATATTGGCGATATTATCATCAGTCGTAGACGTTGGGGTAGGCGTGGGAGGGTGAGATAGAGTAGCAGGGGTAGAGATGGGCAAATTAATATCAGTATTAGTCGTACTACTAGGCATTTTATCCGGCATACTCGTAGTAGGAGATTGCACAGAAGTAAAGTCGTGCGTCATAGGCATACTTTGCGGCGTTTGAGGTGTAGTAGTATCTCTTTCCTTAATCGGAGTGGGTATTCTATTGTCCATATGCGGTTCCGAAATCGAAGTCGGTTTTTCTAACCTCATATCCTCGTTCATATACATCGACTCCGAGTTCATTGTTAAATTGGAGTTTGGAGGTAGTTGTGTCGGCATCAGCGTTTGAGTGGCGGGTATATTTTGATTAGCCGAAACTTGATCCATAACGGACATATTTCCGTTTAGATTTGTCAGGTGACCCTGAGATTGTCTTGGAGAGTGAGATGGAGGCCACTGTTCCGGCATCTGGCTTCTCATAACGTTACTCATCACAGGAGATAGGGGATGTTGAGAACCTGGAGGTGGCCCTAGAGAGTTTCGAGACTGGTAAGATGGATATTCAGACATGTTAGTACTAGACGGCGGCATAACCATTTGTTCTAAAGCTTGAAGGGTACTTTGTTGTGAATAAGGCGGCATTGTGCTCGCTATCGTAGTCTTCGGAGTGAGGCTTGTAGCCGGCCTAGGACTTAAATTCGTTTGTTGCATTTGAGTGTGTTGTTGATGGGGAGACATGTTGGGCTTAGCGGGCGACATTACAGGCCGGGGAGACATTTGAGGTGCTTGAGGTCTTGGCGACATTTGTGGTCGAGGTGACATCTGCGGCGATAACTGTGGGAAAGGTGCGCGATACTGTGGGCTTGAGTTCCCTATAGGACCTGTATGTTTAGGAGGGACGTATTGCTGCTGTGGTGGCGGCTGGACCTCCATTTGTCTTTGCATCGGTTGAAGAGATTGATGACTCTGATTATAATTTGGCATACTACCTGGGTGTTGCATTGGAGCCTGAGCGGGTGCCTGTTGATTAGATGCAGGCGGATGGCCCACCCCGTGAGACTGACCCATATGACCTGCAGAAGGCCCCGTGGGGTGAGGTATGGGTTGACCATGGCCCATCTGATTATACTGTTGGCTTTGCAAATCCATCTGATGATGTGGCTGAGGATATTGATGATGATGCGGCATTCTTTGATGCATATATCCGCCGTAACTTTGGCTAGAGGCTGGGCCGGAATAACCAGACCCTTGCGGATATCCGTGAGGAGTGTGTCTTTGGGATATTTGATAAGCGGATTGATGGGGCTGCTGCATCATAGGATGTTGGCTGGGAGGAAACTGTTGCTTTTGTTCTTGTTGATGAGGGTATCCCGCCATTGTCTGTTGTCTATACTGATTCATCTGAGAATATCTGAAAGAAAAAATGAGCTTTGAGTAGTACATATTTAATGTTTAGCGAATTCCGTTTGTAATGATTATGGTTGATAAATAGATGTGACAGGTAATGCAACCTACCGATGCATTCCAGGATATCCCGCGGCCGCAGCTGCCGCGTGCTGACCCCAACCAGGCTGCATTGCGCTCGTGTCGCCCATGGCCCCTACTTGCACGTCCGGCATGGAGTACATACTGTCGGCTGCCGCCTGGTAAGGGTACTGGCTGGCGGCTGGAGCGCCTGCGGGGGGTCGAGGCACCTGCCTAGTGTGGCTGTAGCCGCCGCCGGGGGGTCCCATAGGCGGTCGCCCGTCACCGCCAGCGCCGTACCCTTGTGCATACAGATTCTGTTGAGTATTTGGATCCATGTGGGAGAATGTGCTGCTGCTTGTGCCGAATGTCGCCAATTTTTGAAGAGGGTTCTCTTGCGAGTAAACTGGCTGCGTGTAAGCTGAAGGGGCATTTCTATCGCCAGTCACCGCCGGGTCGAGGTGTACGGAACCCAGTTCGGGTAAGCCTTCCAACATTCCACTGCCATCTTCCCCGAACAAGTCGTATGACTCCATCGCTTTATGCGGCACATATCGCTTCTTTACTGCTCATTTCATACAAGCATGGCTGAAATCATCAAAATAACTTTCTTTCAATAAAATGATATATGTATATCAAATAAATTGTGGGGGTAGGTCTAAAATTTTATAGTCTATTAAAAACTAGAATCTTATTGTTAAATTTTCATTTGTTCTTTCTCACGCAATGTATCAATATGTTATTGACCTTGTGAATATAGAGAAATTATTTTATGAAGAAAAATAAAGCAATATCTGCTGGCGAAACGAATGGATATGTTACTAGTGATTTTATTTGTGAGGAAAATTGCTTCTTGTCCTCAAAAGCTTATGCTCAAAGATATCCAAATAGGAGTCTTCCTGATAAGCGTTCCTTTGAAAAACTACCTATTATTCGTTATTAGTCTTATTTCAAAGAGCTGGTAGTGTGGTTTGTAAAAAACCTACTAAGCAGAAACCTGTCGTTGGGAGTGAAGAAAATTAATTTGCGGCAATTGGCTCTTTTATAGAAAATCCATATATCTACAAGTCATCATAAAATAAATCACTTAAATACTTCTTCGTTTTTCTCGATAGAATAATAAATAAATATTTAATAAATACTATTTATTAAACTATTGTAGGTAAATTAAATAAAAATACACTGCTATAAATTTAAATAAAGTCCATAAACTAATTTCGTTTTTCAGAAAATAGCTACTAACTATCACTAGAAACTTGCCATGACGACATGATTAAATATCTCAAAAACCAAAGCTTGTAAAAATATTTAACAGTTATAACAAATGCCTTACTTTGTGTCCAAGGATCCAAATACGAAATAAAATACCGGGTGTTCCATAAGAAAAAATATAACTTGGGTTTGGATCTTAAGAACCCAAACGCAGTGACGGTCAGGCCGCAGCGGCCAGCCAACGACCACCAATCAAATTATACAACGCGCACTAACGTCCACGTCCAAGCGGTCGCAGTTTGGTTTCTGCCACACGTAATACCATTAAATCAAATAATACATGGCCGTTGGCTGGTCGTTGCGACCTGACCGTCGCGTCACACGGTGGGGTATTAGCATGAAAAAGGTGATCGAAATTCGAAAAATCAAATGTGTTTAAGATTTCCCAAAAAAAGATAAATGATAAGTTAAATCAGCTCTGCCATGAATGGCGTTGCTATGGGTGTGTTTAGTTTGGTAAATAAAAATAAATTGTTGTTGTTCTTGTGCTCTTTTTACGTTTATATTATTCTTTTGATTGAAAATGGCTCAGCAAGCTGCAGGTATGTATTCTACAAAAACGTATTATTTATTTTGATATTCTCTATACTAACGATTTTTTTTTTGCAACTAAAAGTTAGGCGTTCAGAAAATTTGATTAAATTTGTGACATTTTTATTATACTTAGAGATTTAGTTGCGCATTTCGAAGAATTCAGCATATTGTCTATATACGTGTTACTTAGTAAACATTGGGCTTTCATACAGTAAAATAAAATACTGCGACTTTTTGCGATTTTGCTGATAAAATGAGAAAAACATTCTTGGTTTCCTCTAATTTGCCAATCAGTGATATACTAATGCGAGGTGTAAACCGCGATGGCATTGTTGTGTACAAAGCGATCGCATTAGTGCCATTAGCAGTATAGCACAATTTGGCATTAGTAGCGACATTAGTGGTATGGGCATTGCTCGCGGATCAGTCGTAGCATTAGTAGTAGTAGTTGCGATATTACTACTGGCACTGACCGTGGAAACACTGGAACAGTGATTTTTCTTTCTTTTTTTAGAATCGACGAATTATCCTTTATTTTGTTCATATTATTTCCTCTTTAATTGAAAATAGCAATAATTTATATAAGGTCTACATAAAAAAATTTCGATCAACTATCAGTGTCAAATACCCCACTGTGCGTCAGTGCGTTTGGGCTCTTAGTTCTGACATACCCTGTACATTTCAAAATAATTTTAAATTATGTACATTGCCTTTCCACATATACCCATAAAATATTTTGTTTCTACGTCTTTCCGTATTAGTATAACCAACCGAGGCGAATGAGGTGCGTCACCCTGTATATGTGTATATTAAGGTAGTATAACGTAATGCGGAATAGGAAGGGGGTGGTAAGGTTTACATATTTTGGGTACACTGCGTTAATAATACGGATTTTCTATCATTAATCAATTTAATATACCTAATATTATATGATTAAACAAAGAACCGCGCCAGAGTTGACTTGGAAATGAATATCGCTGTTATTTCATATGTATCATACGAAATATTCAGTACCTGTAAAATAATTTTTATTTTTGATGTTTATTCCATGTTTAACACGAATAAATTTCCAATACATAAACGCGTATTTTTCATCTAAAAATATTTTCCTCAAACGTATTACAGATATTACACATTTTAATATGGCAACACTGTGGCTTTCAGTTCCACACGGCCTTGTCATGAATTTGTCCATTGGATTGCGAATCTTTCCAATTCTTTCCATTAACCCAACCTTATTAAATTTTATTGAAACGCCAAATTGATATTTTACACTGCAAAATAAATTGTACAAAATAAGGACACCCTCAAAAGGAAAATTCCACTCCTCCAACTCCCAGTGGATGACATACCAAGAATGTGCAACTTTGAGAAACACCTCACGGGAGTATTGAGCAATAACAACGATTGTAAGAGAGAAACGTTTGCACAAAAGGTAAATTATACGGTAAAAGGTAAATACCATGACGTTTTATATTGATGCTTCCAAAACCAAACCAAAGCAATAATGGATAAAAACTAATTTGACAATTACCAGAAGTAAAACCGCTATAAGAAATCTAATGAGCAATGTTAACTTCAATCTACTTCGAAACGTTATCTACCATCTAATATAAGTAATACAACATTTAATTTCTTATCTGTACTGTGACGATTAAACATTTTTTATATTGAGAATATTTTATTGTTGATGTCACATTTTAAATAAATTATCCTAAATTACAAGTGATAGCATAGATAAAAAAATAATGATTCGAGAAAATAAATTACTAATGGAATTTTTGGAAATAAGAGATACATATCTTTCACTTATTAAGATTTTTTAAGTAATTGTCAAGCCTAGGGCTTTCAAACCGGGATTCCGAAAACCCGGGATCCCGGTGTATGTTTATCCCCGAAATTCTGGGATACCGAAAATCTCGAAAAATCTAAATGCCCAATCTAAAATAATTCGACTTTATACACTTTAATCTTTCAAATTAAAAATATAATATATACTTTCTTAAAAATTATATTTCCGTGTTTGCTATATTTTATTTTGTTTTGCAACAAGAATTGAATTTTTTACTTACTAAAAATATGAATGTTACTTCGTTTTGTCTATTTTAATAAAGCTCTTTTCTCATTTTCTTTTTGATATATTTACATACCTGCATTTTTATTAAGTATTTCTTTAGATTATATTTCTCATTGTGATAGTCAATCAGTGATCAAATCCCGGGATTATAGATTCTAATCCAGGAGCCCATTTGACAGGTTGAATACTAGTTCGCAGCCATACTTGGCAGCCAGGGTTTTTTGTGTCATTATATTTTGCTTGTTTATTCCAGAGGCATATTTGGGTGCATTTTATTTTATATTAATCAAGCAAAATTAAGAAAATCACTGTTTCAATTCTATATTTGTATATTAATAAAAGGAATAGCGGTTTCTGAGTTCTTAAAATTTTCTCCAACTCAAATACCGCATACCTTTACGAGGTCAAGAAAAATAAATATGAACAATAATTTGACTGAATATTTATTATAAATTACAGTTGAGGGTTGGAACCTTTGGTGTTACACAGCAAAATAAAAACACTAAATCACCACAATACACCAAAACACTTTTACACTGGACGCACGTTTCGCTAACCATGTTAGCATCATCAGCAGATGATTATAAACTCAGTTTATAATCATCTGTGTCATCAGTTTATAATCAACTCAGTTTATAATCATCTGCTGATGATGCTAACATGGTTAGCGAAATGTGCGTCCAGTGTAAAAGTAAAAGTGTTTTGGTGTATTGTGGTGATTTAGTGTTTTTATTTTGCTGATTTATTATACATTAAAATTTTATTATTAATTAAAATAAATTTCGAATTCCCAGTTCTTTTCAGACATCAAAGAACCGGGACTCGAAATTATTAATTCCCGGTTCTTTCGGAACTCGATAATAATTCAAAACATATTTTTGTTACGTGCGAAAGACTTTTCATACTTTCTAGCGGTCGAAATGAAACTCTTACTAAATAAGTAGCGATGCTATCTCTTACTGTTCTTTCTTCTGAAATTATTTTGAAGTTTCTATAATGTTTATTAGCAAATATTGAAGTTTAAATATGTTCTTTTATTATTTAGTATAATATTGATTAGATATATTTTTTGTATTACGTTTTTATAGACATTTGCATCTAAAATTGAAAATGTTGAAGGTTTTTTTCTAATTTAGTTAAGTTGGTTGATGTTTGATGTCATTTTTAAGCTACCTATGCGTTTTCTTTTTTTTTTCACTTGTGTTCATGTTTACTTTCTCATGACTTAATAATTTGATATTATTTTCATATATTTCTTTTGAGAACCATCCCTTGCTAGCTAATTGACGAACTCCACAATCGTTGAACGAAAATATTTTAGTTTGGTTCTGGAAACTCTAATTAATACTACCAGTTAGAAAGGGTTCAGATCTTTTTGGCCATCACAGAACCGGGCCTCGGTAACAATAATTAAAAAATTACTTTTTTAATTATTGTTACCGAGGTTTTAAAATATTTTTGTTACGTGAGAAAGTTCTTTGATACTTTCTAACGGTCGAAATCAAACTCTTCTCAATAAGTAATTATTGTTCTTATTGTCCTTGCTTCTTTTCTCTTTTAAAGTTCCTATAATATTTATTATGTTATGTTTTAATAGATATTTGCATTTTTAATTCAATCATTTGGGGCTTTTGTCTCAAATTCAGTCAGTTGGTTTATGTTGTTTGATGTGGAATTTAAGTTACCTAAACTTTTTTCGTTACTTGTGTTCATATTAATTTCTTCATGACTGATTACTTAATAATTTGATATTATTTTCATTAAAAATCTCATTTTTTATCCATTTTACTTTGGGAAACCATCCCTTGCTTTCTGATTGATGAACTGCGCCACCACTGAACAAAAATTACCCAATACCGACAAAAACGGGAAATCTCGGTTCCTAAGAGGCGCGGTACCGAAATTCCCGGTTCCGAAAAACAGCTCCTGTTCCGAAAACCCTACTGTTTGGAACGTTGTATTCCGTTTTTTTTCTAAGTTATGATTTTCTGGGTAAAATAAGTGTGGGTTTCCGTTTATTGCATGGTTAAAGTGTCGTCTGTCGTTGATTTTACACAATTTTATTGGTTTATTTTAAAAATTACAGCTCATACCTTTGAATAAAAAGACTAAGGAAGGAGCATAATACTATCCATGTATTCATGCATGGTGGGCGGAAAAGGCACCATAAAAGCTCTCTAGGGTGGGGATCCTTGACAGTTCTGTTTGACGATTCATTTGACACATTTGAATTTGATTTGAAACTTTGTGGATTTGTCAGTCTTTATGGAGCTTATTTTATGTTATTTATTATTTATTCTACTACTGATAGTTGTATAAAGGTAGTAAATCTAGATGGAAATTGTGGCAGAACTTAAATTAACACTATCGCGATTTATCGAAAAAGACTCTAAAATAGTTGGTTGTGTAGCGTGCGGTAGATCTCGGCAAAAATTGAGTGAAATAATGGAACAACTTTTCGCTAGTAAGTAACTATATAATATACATACGTGTAGTAAATCGATCATTTATGAAATTCACTTAAATTAACTAAATTATATATTTTTCTTGCATTTTAGCTTTTATTTATTACTTGTCAAAGATTAGATGTCAAAGAATTTAGATACGTTAATTTGACTTACCTGCTTCAGTAGCGTATCGGATGTTTGTGTTAATAAATACTTATTATAACTTATCTATTTTTATTAGAATCATATATTTTTATAACAATTTTAATAACTACCAACATTTATTCACAACGTAAAATACAAACCAAAAATACGAAGAATAGTTATGCTTTCCATGTATTCTACAACATATTTATTAATCCGTAGTATCTAACTAGCGTGACGTCATAAATCCCGCTCAGAGGCTGTTCTATTAGAGACGGCATTGCGTCAGCATGGCTGCAAGTTGCTAACCTAATAAAATAAACACTAAAAAAGCCCGCGGGAACTGTCAAATTCAAAGTTATTCATTTCACAGACTATACTATATGATTGTAGTGACGGAACGACGGATGACATTTTACAGATGCATATAAATATATACTCACCATTAAAAATAACTTAATAATTTATAATAAATCTAGAATAACTGATATTTGCACCAACCAATTCCGTATGTGACCAATATTTGTTAAGAATCTATTCTTATTCATTGTAGTTGTAGTTTAACCAACCTGCTTAACCTGGTTTTTAGAACAGAATACAGTCTATTACAACAGGATAATACAAATTTTTAAACATAAAAAATTATACCGGGTGCGTCTCAAAAGTGGCTCACCCCTATAACTTTTTTATTTTTTTTATTTTATAGATTTTGTATGTTAGTATATGACATAAATTAGGATTGATTGATGTATTCAATTCATTTCGGTCACTTCCTGTTTCACCGGAAATGACTACAAATTTTGATTTTTAAATGGCACCCTCACTATTTTTTTACTTTATTCGATAGAAAATGATTCTGAATAGCATGACATATCATCAACTTTTGACATTTTCGCTCAAAAAAATCGTCTTTTAAATTTCAATTCCAAAATTCCAAGGAGCCTTGGAAAAATAGATTTGATCGTCTAATGTTTTTAGTGTCTTGTCCTGGCCTGGTTAAATGATGCCCAAATCGTATTTTTAATCATATCTCATTTTTTTCAAATGGAACGAGGGTGGCTCATTAGCATATTTGGAAAAAGCATTTTTTTACAAATAATTTGGCATCACACACTTGGTATTTCGAGTCAAATTGTTATGAACCGCACGTTACAATATTAAATAAACCATATGCGAATATGTCATTCTATTGAGAGTGTCATTTTCTATCGAATAAAGTAAAAAAATACCGAGGGTACCATTTAAAAATCAAAATCTGTAGCCATTTCCGGTGAAACAGGAAATGACCAAAAACAACTGAATACGTCAATCGATTCTAATTTATGTCGTATACTAACATACCAAATCTGTTTTTTTTAATCTCAAAAAATAAAAAAATTATAGTGTGAGCTACTTTTGAGACGCACCCGGTATAGACCTACTAGAACTACAGCTCTGAGAACCATGGCTCCTTAAAAACTAAATATTGTAAGTGTCCATAGACCAATATTACGAAATGTTTCGGTTTAAACTAAATAAATAATGAACATAATCTTGCATTTTTCATAAAATATTAATTAATAATAAATATACAAAATATCAGCAACAGATATTTATTTAAAATTAACGGTAGGTAGTTTTCCTTAAAGTGTCTGCAATGTCAATCATACAAACCTGTGAAATAAAACAAATAAAGAATGAAAACCACTCTTTTCGTCGAAAATGTTAGAACCAAAGGGGAAAAGCTATACGCTTATGTGTTTAAATTACCATTAGCTGTACAGCTTTTCACCCTAGGGCCAAACCATATCACTTATTACATTTCCACTGCAACAAAAACCATATATCCAAACATTAGAGTACCATTTTTTAAAAATTCTAGATTTCCATAAATATCTTACCCATTATAATATTCAAATTAACAAATGTACCGTACCAATTTAAATTGTTCCTAATAATATTTACATAAATACACTATAAACTTACAGTAATTTTACATGTGAATTGTTAAAGTTAAATTACATGTAATAGTTCCATTATAAAAAAAAATAATTAAATTACATTGGCCAGTTTAAAAAAAAACACATTAATATTTATCTATATAAGTATGTACGATTTGTTGTAAAATAACGTTAAGGTAATAGAGCTAATTTGCAATTAAAATCAATAAAGCGACCTAAAAATAATCTAAATTTGAAGTACCTAAATAATCATCTGGTCAAATTGTCCAGGCTTTTGGAAATACGAAAATATAATCGCTTTGCATAGCTTTATACCTACCTGTTCACTGAAAAATAAAACATCTTTGCAGGTAACGCGCATAAAAGATAAAATTAAAGCAATTATTCAGGTATTGAAGAATTTACTTATCCGTATTTACGGGTATGGACGACAAGAAAATGGAATTTCGTAATACCTTTTCTAACATTACGAATATTTCATCGACGAAGATCTTGTCCCATGGCGGATTAATCGTAATCGTGAATCCACCGAACGATAAAAATGCTAGAAAGACTCCTTATCAATAATTGAAACCGGCATAGAGAACAATGAACTTATACGACGACCGCCATTCGTAATGTCCAGCGCTTGTGCCGCGGTTTAAAATCAAAATTAGCGACATTGCAATCACATCGGAGGTCAAATTTTACGATTTATAGTATTTATGGGAATAAACTGGAACTGGATGAAAGAACCCGCCTCGCTTTTTAACTTTATTGATAATTTCGTTTCTATAAAGGCACCCAGTAATTACGGCAAAACTAGTAATGAGCTGGGAGAAACAATTTAATTGGTTAGAATAATACGATTCGGTATTTAGTTGTCGAAATACAACCAATCAGATGATATCTTTTATCGAAATGTTGACTTCTCACAAACCAATGACGCTATGAAAATTGAAAAATTAGGAAAAGGAAAGAAAAACGTTCTATATCATTATCAAAACGCGATATTCGCAAATAAAGATAAACGCGAGCTGGATTCACCCGAGCATTTTCACACAATCCCCAGCAAAACAAATGATAGGCTACTTACCATGAGCACATCCGATCTGTGTACGAGGTCTGAATTCGATATACGATTTTCTGCACTTTTCGACACTATGCACTCTTCTAAACTATCTCAATACGAACATCACATCTGTTTCAGTAGATTTTTACTTATTGTTATAATATACTAGCGATTATTTACATGAATTCGTTTAATAAAATTTTGTGTACAAACTGCACTAGAAATGTTGACTCCATCTTGCCATTTTCGAAGGCTTGTGATGTATAGTGGCGCCACCTACTATTCGCCCGGCCTGTTTGAAATTACCTGCTCCTGCGCCTGTGACAATTCCTAATTTAAAATTAATATTCAGGTCTCCTCCGATTAAATTATTAGGTATAATATTTAATATTCACAATAAAAATACAAATAAACGTGAATATTAATGACCAAAGAAAGTCAAATTATAAAAAAGTCTTCTAAATTATATTTATCTACCTTATAAAATTAAAAATAGTTTAAGTAGGTATATAGAGTAATTTTTATTAAAACAATTTATTAGATTAACGCATATATTGAGGAATAAACAAAAAAAAAAGAATACATTTCAACTTATATTTTTATCAGAATTTTCTGTAACAGATTTTGATTTCTTTGCCGCAGGTTCATCAACTTCCATATCCGCATCGTCACTGTCGTCGATGTTCAATATTTCTTCTGCTGATTCTTCAGATACAACATTTTCAATTAGCATAACAGCCTTACCATGTCTGCGTCCAACTTTATTAAACAAAATTATTATTGTTATTAAAATAAATTTGTATTTGTTTTTGTATGTTTTTACAGTTTTACATTTGACCAGGATTTTTTTTGAGCTATTGGAAAAATGAAGAACAAGATATAAAATATTCTAATAAAGGTATCATTAAAAAGAGACATTAAAAAAAGTAACGCGTGATCGAAAAAAAAACGGCGTCAAGTTGGCTTGAAAATGACGATCGATGACATTCCCTATACAGGGTGGTCCGAACTGTATTCCGGAAACTTCTGAAGATAAAAATAAGTAAAAAAGTTCGTATAAATGTATATACGTCCTAAAATTCTTAGTTTCGGAGATACAGGGTGTAGAAGTTTCATTTTTATTTCGATTTTTTCCAAATAATTTCTGAAGTCGTCCATATTTGGATGAAAATTGGTGTCTGGGAGTTTTTTGACATGAGAAATTTGATTTTGATGTCAATATGACTCCTACTTGTAGAGGGCGCCACGTACATATATTTTAACTGGTTGTAGTTAACTGATGGTTTGTCAGTACCTGTATAAAACTACTGAGTAAAAAATATAGATTTACGACGTTTTTCACGTCTCTTGGTTTTCGCTACGAGTAATGGTTCTCGAGATTTTTGGAACCGAAATTATCAATACCTGTCATCATTGACATAAATTAAACATGTTGACTAAATAGTTATTAGACTGAAACCATAAATTTGAAATGTTTTTGTGCCAAAAGTTCAACAGAAACTGTTTTATCGACAATTTTTTGCCCATACAAGATAGATAGATAGATAGATATTTATTGGTAATAATACAAATAATGCTCTTACACGTCAAAAAATTAAAATAAATACAGGTTTAATCACCCATGCTCATTGCAACAAAAATATATAGATTGACAACCAACAGGTAAATGAAAAAATGACAACATATGAAAATTTGACAACTAATAGAAAACATTAAGCTTAAAATGATCCAGAATAAATTTTCTAATAGATATTAATATATTTTAGTATGGGCGGCTATACTTACGTGCCTCCGGCGCCATTTTTTTTTTATCTCAAAAACTGCGACTTTGACTGATTTTGATGTTATTACAAATTCTGTCTGTCTACAATTCCTAATCTTAAATTGAAAACAGCGTTTCGCTAGCTACTGTAATTTTGGAGTTACGACTTTTTAAATTTTTTAAGAAAATGACACTCTGAATAGAATGACATATAACATGTCAACTGTTGACTCGAAATACCAAGCGTGTGGTATCAAATTATTCCTAAAAAAATGCTTTTTCGAAATATGCTAATGAGTCACCCTCGTTCCATTTGAAAAAATTGAGATATGATTAAAATTACGATTTGAGCATCTTTTAACCGATCAGGACAGGACACTAAAAACATTAGACGATCAAATCTATTTTTCCCAGGCTTCTTGACTAAAAATTAGTGTTTTTAAGCAATGGCACCATAGATTGAAATTTAAAATCCAATTTGTTTTCGAGCGAATACGTCAAAAGTTGACATACGATATGTCATTCGATACAGAGTGTCATTTTCTATCGAATAAAATAAAACAATACCGAGGTTACCATTTAAAAATCAAAAGTTGTAGTCATTTCCGGTGAAACATGAAGTGACCAAAAACAATAATTGAATACAATACGACTTTTTAAAATTTTTAATTTTGTGCATAAACCACGAACGATGACTATGAATTTAAAAAAAACAAAAAAGCACGAAATATAAATTTAAAAAACGTAAAACACAAATAAGTGAATTATTCTATTCCGGAATATTAGGCGCCAAGCTGGTTCCATCTTCATAGGGTATTATAGTAGTAGTACAGTACGTCTGTCCGTTCTGTAGCTACGGGGTATCCGTGAAAGGGGAAACGATATTCTCTCGATGTTTTTCGTAAAAAATTAGACGACGCGTCCCATCAATAAAAATTCGACAAATTTGCAAGCAGCCAATAAAATGAGTGGGCGGAGCGATTTGCGGTGACGTACTCGTCAAGTCGACGTATAAAATATATTGCTGTTTATTTAAATGTTTTTTGTCCGCATTCCTTTCGTAGACACAGATCCAGCAGATGAACTGTAGTACTGTCTTCGTCAGTTTCTATTTCCAAATCAGATATATTTGATGTATCATCTGGTTCTGATTCTGAAGGATGGACCTCTACCTCCACGAGTTCTAGTGGTTCTGGAGGAATTTCATGTTGTTGAATATCATCTGCTCCATATCCACTTTTTGTTTTTGTAGTAATAATTTATTGTTATGAGCTACGAACATTATTTTACCGGCATTTATATTTCAACTGAGTATTTTTACACATTGCTTGCCACCAACTTAGACAGTCTACATTTTTAACTGACATCCAAACGTAGTCGAGAGCCCATAAACCCGATTTGGCGCAATGATTTGTTACATCTGTAAAAATGGCGTATTATTGACAAACTGAGGATGATTGTTGTTGATATTGTTGATAAATTCCATAGCGGCTATGTGTTCTTCATTGTTAAGGTGCTCTCCCAGGAAACAGGGATCCAAGAGAATCGCGGCAAAATGCATTGGTTCAAGAGCCAGAGGTTTTTTATTTTGTCAGGCGGACAAGCATTCTTTTTCTTCTGACTTAAGAATCGGCATACTTGATACACTTTCGTTAAATTTTTGCTCAGTGTCTTGAATTTTGAAAAGAAATTTCTTGCAAAATTCGGATTTTTGCGAATATTCGCGATTTTGGGACCGAATATTTCGGAAATTTCTGAAATTTCCTGCAAAATTCGAATGGAAATATTCGCTGCCAACATCACTACATCTACTCAATATGTTTATTTTTGTCAATAATGCAATTTTTTCCAAGAGACATTTTTTACGTAAAAAATCATCTCAGTAGTTTTATACAAGCACGAACGAAAAGTTACTGCTCTTCAAAATGATTAAAACACATGTAGGTGGCGCCTCCTACAAATAGGAGTCATATTAACATCAAGATCACTCTCAGACACCAATTTTCATCCAAATATTGACGTTATTTTAGAAATTATTTGAAAAAAATCGAAATAAAACTGAAACTTCTACACCCTGTAGCTCCGAAACTAGGCATTTTAGTACATTTATACGAACTTTTTTAATTATTTTTATCTGCAGAATATGCTGCCGAAGTTTCCGGAATACATTTCCGACCACCCTGTATAAAAAATACAGTGGAGGCTTATCCTAAAGAGCACAGAGGCACGTCCCACGTTTTATTTAAATCAGATTTTTTTGATTTTGATTCAAAACAATATTTAAATCGGATTTCCAAATGACTTGGACTTATTTCCATTTAAAGTTTATGCCTAATGGCTAAATGTTTATAACTCTGCCCGATACCTATAACGTAACGGCTCGTGCCATTTTTCCACATTGGTCACCAATATAGTCCGCAAAAAAAGTCGCTCGCTTCAGATCAAAAGGATTTTTTTCAAACCTCTCAAAAATATTAATTTTTTTATATTGACGCCTAGGCATAAAAGAAAAGCACTATTACGCCCTTTGAATAAGAAGACTAAGGAAGGAGCATATCAAAAATCTTAGGCCCACCGCTTAAATTCCGGTTTGTCAGTGCCGTTCTAATTTTATTTAAAAATGTAAAACTGTGATGTAGGGTAGACGTGGGGTAGACTCAATAATTTTTTTTATTTTACGTTGTGAATAAATGTTGGTAGTTATATAAATTGTTATAAAAACATATTATTATAATAAAAATAGATAAGTTTTAATAATTATGTATTAACACAAACATCTATATATACGCTACTGAAGCAGGTAAGTCAAATTGACGTATCTAAATTCTTTGACACCTAATCTTTGAGGGTGCAGCCACACTATCCTAAAAACGGCGTATCGGCGTAACGGCGTAACGACCTTGAATCGATTTCCAGTAATTCTATTGGCTGAAATATTTGACAGATGAATTTGACAGATAAAATTTCTGACAGATGAATTTTTCAGCCAACAGAATTACTGGAAATCCATTCAAGGTCATTACGCCGTTACGCCGATACGCCGTTTTTAAGATAGTATGGATGCACCCTGACAAGTAGTGAATAAAAGCAAAAATGCGAGAAAAAATATATAATTAGTTAATTTAAGTGAATTTCATAAATGATCGGTTTACTACACGTATGTATATTATATAGTCACTTACTAGCGAAAAGTTGTTCCATTATTTCACTCGATTTTTGCCGAGATCTACCACACGCTACACGACCAAATATTTTAGAGTCTTTTTCGATAAATCGCGATAGTGTCACTGTTAATTTAAGTTCTGCCACAATTTCTATCTAGATTTACTACCTTTATACAACTATCAATAGTAGAATAAATAATAAATAACATAAAATCAGCTGCGTAAAGACTGACAAATCCACAAAATTTCAAATCAAATTCAAATGTGTCAAATGAATCGTCAAACAGAACTGTCAAGGATCCCCACCCTAGAGTCCTTTTTCCGCCCACCATGCATGAATACATGGATAGCATTATGCTCCTTCCTTATATAGTCTTCTTATTCAAAGGTTACGCCTAAGCACAAAAGTACAAAAATATATTATTAAACTGATATTAAGTGTCAAATTCAACGAGATTTATAAATTTTTTTTCAGAAGATTATTTAAGTCAAATTCAACGAGTGTACAAATTGTTGCTCGATTACTGTTTCTATTATTTGCAATGTCTGAAATTGATTAAAAAATTATTTGTAATGTTTTGAAAAAATAGTGTGTTCTATTCGGAGTAAAAATATATTTAGGTGCCTCCCTATAACATTGGAATAGCTTTACGATGGTCCTTCAAAGGTACAGCATCGTCAAAAAAAAGTATAATTTTTACTCCTAATAAAACAATACACCATATTGTACGGAAATAGTCTTAAGTCGAAAATGAAATTAGTATTATCTAATGTCAAAAAGTGTAAAGTACTTACTGCAGATCAAAAATGTCGGTAGGAATTTGGAAACATACAACCGTTTCAAAAAAGAATATAAAACAATATATTTTCTGACAATAGATTCTCGGTAATAAAGATATAGTCTCTATATCAGAAGAACCTATAGTTCTGCACTAGACTGCGAATAATATGTTCTCGAACAGCGAATTTTTGTCACTTATACATAAATTTTAAAATAAATCCTTGCGTTTAACGGTCTAATGGATTCACACGAAATTACTTCAAAAATCGGCCCAACATTTAAATTGATGAATATATTATATTTTTATATAGTTTTATAACATTTACAATTATTTTTCGATTTATTATCTGTTATATCTGTTATAGAAATATTTTTTATAATTTTCTAGGACACATTTTTATAACTTTTACAGTTATTTTTCGATTTGTTATAAAGTTTCAATACAATTATTTTTTTGATTTAAATCACATGATTAAAATAAAAAAAAATCACTTGATTTAAATCATGATTTAAATCATTGTGTATGTCAGAATTTAATAACAAATGAAGAGTTTTGGAGTAGAAAAAGTGAGTTTTTGCGCAGTCTATTCAAAACGTATAATTTTTTTACGAAATTTAAACAAAACACTTTTGAATAGAGGTAAATTGTGTCCAATGAACTTATTTTGATTCCAGAAATACGTAGTAGTTCTATGTCCATGGAATATTGGGACACCCTGTATATTATCTGGTTGGACAGACTAGATTAGTTCTTTTTTAAAAAATAAGTAAAAAAAAATACCTACCAGAGTTAACAATAACATTTCTAGGACAAAAAAGAACAGCATTTCTTGACTGCAATTCGTTTAAGCCATACAATAATCCCCTGAAAATCTATAGGAAAATATTTCGAATATCATAGGTCTGTCTGTCAATATTATAAAGTTATATTTTAATAATTTCAAATTCGTGTATGTTTACTATAGGCTTGATGCATTTCAGTTGATTTCAACAAATTCCGACCGCAGCGCACTCTACGGCAGAAATCAGAAATTATCAAAATATAGTTCACGCCGGCCGCCGTCATGTCGATCGCATTAAAATAATATTGAAATCGGGGTTTTGTCATAATATTTAAGTATTTTAGTTTTTTGCTAGTGCCGTTATTGAGACCATGTAATGCAATCCTACAAATGCGGGATCCCTCTGAGATTCCGCGGGATCAAAGTTGCGGGATTTACCGTGCGGGATCGACACATTACTATTGAGTAACCGAATCGATCTCAATCAAGACCAAACCGCTTCGTTCCGGACCGATGCGTCGACGCTCGGAACCCGGGGGATTCCCCTTATGGCTTGGCCATTAAAAATAATTGAAACAAACAGGTTAGTTGTTAGATTTCTTTCTGGCGTATGTGAAGTGAAGAAAAGCGTTTAACTAGTACTTGTGGACAATTTCATAATTATCGGGACAAGTAAAATTTTAGGGTAAATTCAACTTAGGGTAAGTTGAATATCTCTTGAACTAAAAAAGTTTTTTGGATGCAGTTTGGACCAGGTTTTAGATGCATCTATTGTGATTAAGATGCTATGTGGTTTTCGAAAATATATTTAGTGAATTCTCGTATACAGGGTGTTTTATAAGAGTGTGAAAATTTGGTTAAGAATCTTTTTTACCGCAAATTTACAATTTTTAAAAAATCGAAATTTTTACCAAGTACTAATCTGTATTGAAATTAGAAAAAACAATTTGATCGGTTTTTTTTTTGTTTAAAGGAAAATACGACGTTTTATCGAAAAATATGCATTTTTAGTCATACGTATGGTCCAAAATGGTACAAAAAGCTTTGTACATTCTGCATATGCCAAAACATTGTTCATATAACATCAGAATAATATTTTTATTTACAAAATAAGTAGTTAAAGTATAATAAAATTTAAGTTTATTTAATATTAAATATATTTTTTGGACACTCTGTATACATCGGTCCAAATTTCTGTACAGCTAGTTTAAGATACACGCTATATCAATATATTATGGGCCTATGCAAAATGTACAATGCCTTTTGTACCATTTAGGACCAAATGTATGACTATTGTTTACAGTCCCGCAATTTTCCGGATCCGCAGGATTGATTGCTTTAATCCCGCGGGTTTGCGGGATTGACATTTTGGTGCGGGATTGCATTCCCTGGCTGTAATATTTAGATTTTTTTTATTAAATAACATTTAAAATAAACACCTAAATATCAATTCTAAATCACCGGCATTAAACAATCAAATTGTATTAAATCCGGCCTGTGTACTAAAAGTTTTTTATGCCACTGGTTTATGAGTTATAAAGAAAATAAAATTTTACATGAGAATCTAAATTATTCACGGGGGTGACATTAGCTCGACATTAGCTGACAAATGAAATAATGTCTTCATATTTCCTTCTGCGCATACGCATCACAGTTCTAGGACGGTTCAGAATCAGTAATAACAGGAAAACGAAAAAAGCTTATAATTCCCTTACATGAATATGATCTAGTCTTTCCAACAAAAGAATGTACGACAGAGACAGTTATGTCAGTCATTGTTTTGTTTTTCTGTTATTGTTTGGAATATCACCTGTCAAAATCATACATTCTCTCAAAGGACAAACTATTTGGTAGTATTATGTAAATTTTTACAAGATTGAAAAGGATACAAATTAATAATGTCATACGGACTTCTTATTAAATTATGTTGTACTGCACCACTCGAAATAATAATATTTCTTGATTTTCCAAAAGTGTGAAAAAGGTGAGCCATTTGTATTAAATTTCTCCTCTTGGTTGAATCTTCTATAGCCGGACCATACAGTAATTCAAAATGATAGCCCTTATCTACTAGTTTACTATAAACTTTCCTACTTAATCTTATGGGTATCTTATTTTCAGGATCAAAAGATATTATATCTGCTTCGACATTGCTACATACAAACTAAAAAAAAATATATGTATTTTCATTACATTACACCTTTGTAGGATAATTTTATATATTCTATTATAAGGTACAATAATGCTGTCAATTTATTACCATAAAAGCTGTATGGGTCATTGGAACGAAACCAACAAGGCCGTACTTCTTATAATTAGGTGATTTTAACTAAAACCATACATAATAAAACAAATTAAAAATATTAATTTAAAAATATGCTCTTACAATTCTATGCAAATTTTCTTGAAATGTTACTTTTATTGTTAGTCTAGTTAAAAATGTAAAATCTGTGAGTCCTAAACGAGAAGCTGTTTTCTTTAAAACATCTACTTCTAAGGGATCGGGTACAACATCAAACAGGTCCCTGGATTCTCCTTTCTTCTTTTTCTTAGATTTTGGTTCTAAATTAGTGTCTTCAATTGTCTGACTAATGGCAATTGTACGATACCCAACTAAAGATGTTGAAATGAAAATTCCAATTTAAAAATATACTTTTCAAAATGACTTGCTTACATGAATATAAAATCTTGAGAAAGCTTTCATTGAATTCATTTTCAAAGCAGCTTTTGTGTATATTTAGGTCATAATATCCTTTAGTTTTCAAATTTTGCATGTTGTATATCTGACTAAAACACAATTGAGAAATTCGTATAAATAACACTTAAATTACACAAACAATGTACAATATGTAAAACAACAAAAAAGGTGGTTTTCGCTAGAATTAAGTTATTCGTATAAATGTACGATATCAATTAATTATTTAACAAAACTTTGGATTACAGAAAATATAATATCAAAAAAAAATTTAAAGGTATGGCGGCATTTCTTCCTCTTTTTTAAGATTTGTTGTATGGCCTGAGCTACTAGGACTATCCGGCTGTGTAAATATTATATATGTTATACAATATCATATGTCATATATCAAAATACCTAGATCATACATTTTTTAAATTAACCAAGCTAATTCAATGTTTATATTTTTTTAAATAATTTTGTTTAAAGCTGCTTTAAAATAAATTAAACTAAATTTGCCATGTTTTCTGTCTTACACATACCAAAAAACTCTGGACGTTTTGTTAGATTATTTAAAAAAAGAAATTATGATGTGTACAATTTCGTTAAGTGTAAATTTTCTAGAAGTTTAAGTAATTATAAAGAAAAATCTATAGATTTGTACCAAGACAATGAAGACCCTGAAACAGAAGTCGTTTTAGATTTGAAAAAAGAAAAGTATTTGAGCGATTTAGAAGAAACTAATGGCAATAAAAGTGAGAAATTGCTCGGATTAAATCTAGAACGTAAATATTAACAGACTTAACAGATCATTTTATTAAGACTCAGTGAATATATAGGTAATTCTAGGAGGAATTTATGGGGTTTATGACATTGAAGATCTGGTCGATACTTTACATAAGGAAAATGCTGAGGATCTTTTTGTAGCTGCAGTCCCAAAAGAAATAAATTATGTTGATTACATAGTTCTTGTATCTGGGAAATCGGTTAGGCATATGCAAGCTATTGCTCAATTTGTACGAAGAGTTTATAAGCATAAGAAACTTTCTACTGATATATTTCCAAGATTAGAAGGGGAAGATTCAAAAGACTGGATTGCCATTGACTTAGGTACTTTATAATATCAGTTTAATTGACATCTATGATTTACATTAAAAATTACAAGTTTGTTTACGTTAAGTGTATAAAATAAATTTTCCATTTTTTTAAACATAAGTAAATAATACAATTTTTTTGTATTTCAGGAAATATTGCTTTACATATATTTTCACACAAAGCAAGAAAGCTCTATGATTTAGACTTATTATGGTCAGTAGGGCCTAAATATGATGACGAGTACAATAAAAAGGAACCAGTATCAGAAATTTTAGAGAAGTATTCAACACATTTAGGTGGATTTCAACCTGCTTCATAAAAATAAGTTTAGGATAAATAGACTAATATGTATATTATAAAAAATAATTGTAAATAAATATCTAAGAAGTTACTTCTTAATGTTATTAAGAAAACATTTAAATCTCCCTCAATTTTTGATTTCCTTTCAAGGTTTTAGTCATTTGATATTCTGCTTTCATAAATAAAACAATCTTTTGAAAAACAACTATGCATTTTCGTTGTTATTAAAGTAATATTAATTTAGTTGTTTTATTAAAATATATCTGTAGTTTTTTATAGTTTAGTGACAGCAATCTATTTTTAGTAATTAAGTTTAGATCAATAATGAACGCTATTACGAATTTGATAAGAAAATGTCATTTGTCAGATGGAGTCAGCTGACTGTCTTATGATAAATTTCAATTTTTGATAAAATTTTCTGTCGTCTTGTGAGTTCGGTGGGTGAAGTGTTAAGTGTGAGATGTAAGTTTTTTCTCCAGTGCTTCTTCAATAATTAAAATTTCTTCGATCATTTACCAAATTTATTATATTACCATTAACGCACTACCAATATTTAATCCTCTCATTGAAGGAAAACTATTGATTCGTTCTACTTTTAAAAAATAGCTATTTTTTCGCTGTTTAAGTAAGTTTTTAACGTTTGACAATTAGCTCTTATGTTAGCTATATAACTTGGCTCAAAATAAATTCATTCATAATTCGAGTTTCTTTTTTCTGGTGCATACTAAAATAGCTTTAAATTTTATGTTTTCTCTCTAGGCGTAGTCCATTGCATTTGTAGTTCGGTTCATTATTTCACGTGAGCGGCTAACCCTGGTTCCATTGACGATATACGACGGATCTTGTCAAGTGACTGCTGCGCATACTTAAAATAATGGGCGGAATTACATTTTACTATATTCACGTGACTACTTATTAAATGCCCTTTTCTCTATTTATTTTTTAGAAATAATCACTAAAATGTCGAAACTACCCAAGCTTGGCGATGAGGAACGAGAAGGGCAGTATGGATACGTCCATATGGTTTCAGGTCCAGGTATTTATTCAATTTTGATTTGTAGTATTCCATAGTTTAATTATTGATATGAAAATCAAATTTAAAATATATTCATTAGGTTATTTGTAATACTGTATCATTAATTGCATTTTTTTTCAGTCGTTACTGCTGAAAAAATGAGCGGATCTGCTATGTACGAACTGGTCAGAGTAGGATACCATGAACTAGTAGGCGAAATTATTCGTCTTGAAGGTGATATGGCCACTATTCAGGTAATTTTAGCAGTTTTAATTTTTCTGGTGCATTACAAATTAAGTAAACATATAATATTAGATCACATGATTAAGCAAAGTTAATATGCTGTCTCTTTCGGCAATAATTATTTATTCATATTATTCAAAGTTTCTTAGTTATTAATTTGACTTTTCAAAAATGTGTCAGCAGTATAGGAGGGAATATTAATTTTAGGTTTACGAAGAAACATCGGGTGTTACTGTTGGTGACCCCGTATTGAGAACAGGCAAACCCTTGTCAGTGGAATTGGGTCCCGGTATTATGGGTTCAATTTTTGACGGTATTCAACGTCCCTTGAAAGACATTAATGACTTGACTCAGTCCATCTATATTCCTAAGGGTATCAACGTACCCTGTTTATCAAGAACAGCACAATGGGAATTTTCCCCAATCAATATTAAGGTAATAAAACATAATCTTTGATGAAAGTTGGTGAGGGATAATTTTTTAATTGAATTTTAGCTTGGCTCCCACTTAACTGGTGGCGATATATACGGAATAGTCCATGAAAATACACTGGTTAAACAGAAAATGCTTCTGCCACCTAAAGCAAAGGGTACAGTTCGATTCGTAGCTGAACCGGGCAATTATACAGTCGATGTGAGTATTTTGGATATAATTTTTAATTGATTAAAAAAAGGGTAATTATTGGGATAACTGGAAGTTGTCCGATTTTCACCAAAATTGGTATACACTCTATTTTGAGGTCGTAGATTACGAATCTGAACTTTTTTTCTGGCGGTCTCTTACCGTTTTTAAGAAAAACGAAAAATTATTTCAACATCGAATTTTTCTTAATTTCTCATATTTTTAAGGATTTCTAGCATATATTTTGTAAGGTATTCAATAAACAACGATGTTTTTGCTATTTTCTGTTACTTTTTTAACCAATTCTATGCATAATAGAGGAAAATTTGCTAAAATAAATTTGTAAACAATCTGAAAATGTTGGGTTATGTGTTTCTGGCATTTAAAGCAACGTTGCCAATGCTAAACCTCTGCAAAGAAGTTGAAACCAATGCAATCAAAACTTTTTCGTGCAACTTCGTGGTTATAAATGGTCTTTCTATAACTTCTTTGCTGAGGGGGTTAATCTTTTTTTGGTATAACAACAAAAGATTAACGTAAGTTCCGCGTAACCTTGTGGATATACAGGGGTGGGCGAAAGTATGGAAACTTTTTTAATTTGTCATTTATGCTGAGAAATTAAAATATGAAATAAAACGACTTATATAATCGTGACCTACAAATAATTTCCTACAAAACCTAATACATTTAAATAAAAAATTACAGCTATCAAAAAATATATAAAAAATTATGAATATTTTCTTGGTCGAAAAGTATGGAAACTTAAGAAGAATGTTTATTAAAATTCAAGATAATATAAAAATTACTAATATTTAGTGGAATATCCCTTTGAATTAATTACTCCTCTACATCTTCGTGGCATCGAATCAATCAATCTCGTACAATCTTTACTGGAAATGGCCGCCCATTCAGTTTTTAGCACTTCCTATAATTCATTTTTATTTGAAATAGAATGGCTTCGAATTTTGCTATCCAAATGGTCCCATAAATTTTCTATGGGGTTAAGATCCGGAGACTGTGAGGGCCAATCCATTAGTGGAACATCATGTGCATTTAACCAATTTTGAACAAACCGAGATTTGTGCTTGGGATCATTGTCTTGCTGGAACAACCATCTGAGTGGCATTTTTTCATCAGTATGAGGCAGCATATTATTCTCCAATATGTCTTTGTACAAAAAACGGTCCATTATCCCATCAATTTTAACAAGAGGACCAACACCTGAGCGAGAAAAACACCCCCATACCATTATACTCCCACCCCCCATGTTTTACTGTGGGCATCTGGAATTTATGGCCGTACCGTGTACCTTTTGGTCTTCGGACATAACGTCTCCCGTCACTACCAAACAGTTGAAACTTGCTTTCGTCGCTAAACAGTACAGTATTCCATTTCTGATAAGACCAGGTGAGATGATCTTGAGCAAATTTAAAGCGGGCCATCCCATTTTTTCTTTGATATTAGTGGTTTCTTCACCGCAACTCTTCCAAAAGTCCCATGTCATCCAACCTTCTTCTCACCGTGCGTGCAGACACCGATATTCCCCTTTCACCCATTTCTCGAGAAATGTCTGTGGATGTTTTTCTTGGATCTCCCATTGATATTCTCTTCATTACTTTCATTGTCCTGTTGCACAACTTTCTTGGTCTTCCTGACTTAAAAGCGGTTGAAACGTTCCCTGTTTTACTAAATTTACGAATTATTTTCGAAACGGTGCCTTTTAAAACGTTTAAATTTTTACTTATTTGAATTTGTTTATAACCGCTCTTGTATAATTCAACTATTTTATTTTTTAAATCCGTAGAGAAATATTTAGACTTGGGCATGATGTTTATATTTATCTGAAGCAAATCGTACCGTTATCAACTTAAACTAAATAATTTTAATGTATTTATTTATGGTTTCCATACTTTTGGTTACAAGAAATCTATTGTTCCCCTACAAAAACCGCTAAACAGATTTTTTTCGCTGTGTAATTTTTGGAATACTTTTATTTGCTGATAAGCTGTTCATTTATATTCCTGAGAGTTTAAGCATAGCAATATTTTCTGTGACATTTTAAAAAGTAAAAAGTTTCCATACTTTTGGCCACCACTGTAGGTATATTTAACTATTGTCAGATCTCATAGTAGGTAATTTATTTAAAATGCCTAATCACCCGAAAAAATAGAAGATATGGCAACGTTGTAAATTTTCAAATTTCTAGATGAGGTCTAGAATATATTTGTCTCTCTCATTACATGGGAGAGAGAAAGAAGGATATATGCCAAACCAAACCAAACTTCCATCTGGTCTCAATTTTCTTTGGTATTTTGTTAAGAAAAGTGATATTCAGTAAAATTTTGGACATTTTTTTATTCTCAATCACAGAATATACTAACGAAAAAGAAGCCCAAGTTCCTTGTAATAAATCGATTCCATTTTCGTAACGCCATCTCTCGACAAAGCTGACATTTAAAGGTTAGCCAAAGGGGTGCGGGGCCGGGGGGAATTGTAAAATACACTTTTTTATTTTAATTATTTTTATTCGCTATTTGCAATTTTATTTTTAAAACATATTATCTGAAACAATCACATAATATGTCTTAAAAATAAAATTACAAACGGAAACAAAAGGAATTAAATAATCTGAAAATCTACAAAGTTTATTGATAAAAAAGTTAGGCTATGATGGCTATGCAAATTGATATATTAAGTATAACCTCTTTGGTATAACATTGTTAAACAAACATTAACAAATCATAGAATCAAAAAAAGTACTATTACAAAAAAACAGGTGATACAATACTTCAAAATTAATTTTAACATAATATCAAAACCGAAAAATCAAACTGCAAACACAACCACACTTATTACAACAGAAATTAACACACACTTCCGCGGCAAATGTCCAAGAAAGACTGATATCATTCTGATTGGTCCTGGTCCGGTCGTAGCTCACGTCGTATTGTCGGTAAGCAAAATCCCTGTCCAAAGATCTTGACGATCAGCGCCATCACCCGTCATAATTGGGAAACTTTTGCTGGAACCATTTTGAATATTTCACTTACATACCCTGTTCTCAATCAAGTGTGGCTTTTAGATAAACTATAATATAATGAAAATATAGTGAAATTATTACTTTATAGGGCCGAAATAAAGAAAAATTCAATGTTAAAATTATTTTCCGTTTTTCTGAAAAACGGTAAGAGACTGCCAAGGAAAAAGTTAAGATTCTTGTAAAAAAATAGGGTGTATACCATAGACTTAAAATAAAATATAGACTACACTATTTACATCTCAACGCGGACAAACAACCTTTTTTGTACACATGTTTACTTCTGGGTACAGTCGACCGAGCCTTCCTCATCCAGCCTATGTTGTCACGTCTTTAATATTATCAATATTTTTTTTCTTGTTGTACACATATATTGAGATATTAATACTACAGTTTAATAAAGTAGGTTTTAATATTCCAGAGATGTATTAAATAGTCCTTATACTACTAAATTATAAGTCGGATACTGTTTAAAAAGGATAAGTTCTTTACAATATGACAACACCGATTAGAGGCGAGGGAGCCTATTCATTCATTTATTACCTTGTAGTACGTGTCGCACGTGTGCGGTAAAGCTTTGTTGCCGCTATCTCCCCGGCTGTATTAACGCATTTTCTTAGCTTGTAGTGCTTAAGTGTTTATTTTATTGACTTTTTCTGTTCAAGAACTATAAAATATGGTTCGCCAGTGCCAAATTTGCAAGAAATTTGACTTAAATAATCCATTTAAGTCTTGAAACGACTTTTGACCGGTAGGCAACTCTCAATTTACCCATTGGGAGTCAGTGGCGTTGTTGTAGAAAGGCGCTTATTTAGATAATATTTTAGTAAAATGTAAAATCTGAATTTTTTCTCTTACATTACATTATTTACTTACTTACATTGTAACAAAATCATAATTATAACCCTGTTAATAATTAATAATGTTTTTATTAAAAATATATTCCGGTTTATTCTAAAATTATCTTCAGAATCTAAAATAACATACAAGAATTTTAAAATGATATTACATTATGAAACAATATTTTTTAATATACCGGGTCGTCTAAAGTGGCTCAACCCTATAACTTTTTATTTTTTCAGATAAAAAACAGATTTGTATGTTAGTAGGTATATGACATAAATTAGGATTTATTGACGTATTCAATTGTTTTTGGTCTCTTCCTGTTTCACCGAAATGATTACATCTTTTGATTTTTAAAGGCACCCTCTGTATATTGCTACTTTATTCGATAAAAAATGACACTCTGAATAGAATGACATATCATATGTCAACTTTTGAAATTGTCGCTTAAAAACATATCCTATTTTAAATTTCAATCCAGGGTGCCATGGTGTTGTTAAAAACACTAAGTTTTAATCAAGAAGCCTTGGAAAAATAGTTTTGATCGTCTAATAGGTTTCGTGTGTTGTCTAGGCCGGTTAAAAGATGTACAAATCGTATTTTTAATCATACATATGTCAATTTTTTCAAATGGAACAAGGGTGACTCATTAGCATATTTGGAAAAAGCATTTTTTTATGAATATATTGATACCACACACTTGGTATTTCGAGTCAAATTGTCGTTATGAACCGCGTGTTACAATTACAATTAAACCACATGCGAAAATGTCAAAAATTGACATATTATATGTCATTCTATTCAGAGTGTCATTTTCTATCGAATAAAGTAGAAATATACCGAGGGTGCCGTTTAAAAATTAAAAGTTATAGTCATTTCCGGTGAAACGGGAAGTGATCAAAAACAATTGAATGCGTCAATCAATCCTAATTTATGTCATATACTAACATGCTAAATCTTGTTTTTATATTTGAAAATATAAAAAAATTATGGGGATGAGCCACTTTTGGGACGCACCCGGTATAATAAAGACAGTACCGAGTTAAATAAATGTAGTTTTCATTTTATCCACTTCCTATCATCTTCCTTGCTTTAATGGAATTAACAGATTTATGTTTTCTCTAATTTACATAAGACATCACTTAACCAGAAAAAAAATTACAACAATCATATTTTTTTTTCTCTCCCTGTCGCCGATTCTATTATATCTGTGGAATAGATCCTGTTTTGATTAATATTAGGGGTTGTAAATGTTTGACTAAAATTAATAATTTATTATTAATTTCAAAAATTACATAATTTCGATTATAAAATTTCTTCTATAACGTGTATTTTATTATTTTTATCCTTTTTGGACTCTAAGACGTTTTTTCTAAACTTTTATTTAAAAAGCCTGTCCTAAATCTTAATAAAAAATAAAAAAGTTTAAATACGATATATTTTTAATTTAATTATAGCTTCATTAAAATAAAAAAATTACCCGGCTATGAGACGGAGAGTTCAAGTGTACTTGAGAAACGAAAGACAGTGTTGTGTTTCTCGGCAGAGTCGTCAGGGAACGACCGTTACGACAGAGACAACCTATCTATCGCTCGTGTCGCACTCGTTATAACCTTAAACAATAACACAACAATAACAAGATATTGTCTGACCGCATGTTCCAGCTATTTATGAATGAGATGCTCAGTCTATATTTTATTTTAAGTCTATGGTGTATACCAATTTTGGTGAAAATCGGACGATTTCCAGTTTTCCCAATAATTACCAAAAAATAAAACAATAATAATTGAAAATATCTTTTATTAGGACGTCGTTCTTGAAACAGAATTTGACGGGGAACGTACAAAATACACCATGTTGCAAGTATGGCCTGTGCGTCAGCCAAGACCTGTGAGCGAAAAATTACCAGCCAATCACCCGCTGCTTACTGGACAGCGTGTCCTAGATTCTCTGTTCCCGTAAGTCTAGTTCGAAACAAATAATACTTTTTCAACTATCTAAACGTTTCGTAATAATTTTAGTTGTGTACAAGGAGGAACTACTGCCATTCCTGGTGCTTTCGGTTGTGGAAAGACTGTAATTTCGCAGGCTTTGTCGAAATATTCTAACTCTGATGTCATTATCTACGTCGGTTGTGGAGAAAGAGGTAATTTTTTAAATATTTATTTGTAACTGTGATGTCCAATTATCGAATTATACAGGGTTCTACAAATTCGAGGTATGAGCATTGGTATCTCGGAAAACGAAGATGGTTAAATTGGGGCAAAGTTGCGCTTTGTGCTGTTCACCAAGATGCCATCAAAAAAGTTTTAAAAATTTCAAGGATTTTTTTTGGAAAAAACGGATTTTTTGTTGAATATCAATTTTATTTTTTCCTGTCGTTACTTTTCAGAAAATCAAAAAACTAATTGCACATTCTCATAGCCACTTTATTAGGGCTATCTCATAGTATTTTTAGATTTCCAAAAAAGCTGATAATTTCTGAGATACAGAGGCCAACTTATTTTTTTTAAATACGGACCTGCATTTTTTATTCCAGGTTTTGAAAGAACTCAGTCTCCTGAGTATAATGATATGCCATACTTTATACTTTTTTTTTGTTTTGGGTACCTTAACAATAACGAAACTATTTAATTATTATTTAAAATAATTTCAAGTCCGACTCTGTTTTTTTTTTAAATTATTTAATCTGATTATATTCATCGCAACAATATTGATCAGCGCTAATTAACATTGAATAAAGAAAATCAAGCCAATTGAAAGATTCAAATAATTACCTACCCAGAGCAGCAATTTAAAGATATTATTTCCAAATTTTTATTGTAAATTTGAAATTCTCAGTGTACAATCTAATAATATGTATAATATTAATCGTAGTTATTAGAAATAGATCAACTTCTACAATATTATATAATTATTAGGGCTGCACCGAATACCGAGTAGTTCGGTGCTCGGCCAGAATTTTAACCGAGTAATATGTACTCGGTGCTCGGCCTTACTCGGCCGAGTAAAGTATAGTAATAGAAACAATCCATTTATGCATGTCCAAAACAGATAGAAATGAGACTCACAGTGGCAAATAATAAAATAAACAAAAAGTTATTCATTCATAACTTTAATTAATGTCTTTTAGCAAAGTAATAATAATAAGTATAAGTAATAACACAAACACAGTGAAATAATAATTTAATACTTATAATCTAAAAGGAGTCAGCACTGTCACTCATTTTAATATAACTTTAAAGGGTATTATTAATTGTTTGAATTATTTTTCACTTTTAAATTAGTTACACATATAAGTTTTGCTTAAAACAAAATCAACGTCGCCCCCGCACCTTAAAAGAATCGATTCAGAATCCAGCACATTAGAAATATCAGTTTGCATGGGGAACCACAGAATAAAACAATATCTCCATAAGAAAAACAAACCAGGTCATTGGTTTGTAGTCGGGAATCCCAGCCACTCGCCAATCATAGGCAAAACAAACAAGATCATTGGTTTAAGGCCGGGGAATTGCGGGAATTTTAACTAGCTTTCTTTAATGTTAAATTATATATTTATATTTATATTATGTATAAAATATAATATTATGTTATATGGTGTATAGTATAATTAGTATATATTGATAAAGGTCGCATAACTGTTAAGACTACTCGGCCATTACCTTTAGCCTAGTACTCGGTCAAATTAAAAAACAGGGCTCGTTACAGCCCTAATAATTATTAATAGAAAATTATTAATTATAATTAATTAATTATTATTATTATTTAGAACAATACCAACTTCTACTGAATAGATTAAATATTTAAAAAAAAACAGAGCCGGAGTCTATTAAAGCGAGTTTGAAGGATTCAGTTGGCGCGGTTGCCGGTTAAACTCTATTTTCCTAATCACTGCTACTTGTTATAGGTAACGAAATGTCTGAAGTACTTCGGGACTTCCCCGAATTGACCGTTGAAATCGAAGGAGTGACAGAATCTATCATGAAACGTACAGCTCTAGTTGCCAACACCTCTAACATGCCTGTAGCTGCCAGAGAAGCTTCTATTTATACCGGTTAGTCACTTAAATATTAATATTTTCTGTTTGCTATATCTTTTTTCTATTTCTTTAGGTATTACTTTATCTGAATACTTCCGTGACATGGGTTACAACGTTTCCATGATGGCTGATTCCACTTCCCGTTGGGCCGAAGCCTTGAGAGAAATCTCAGGTATGTGGTGTCAAATTTCTCTCTGTAAAAGCTACAACAAAGCAGCAAAATTGTATATGATATTATTTGTTAATTATATTTAAATATAATTAACAAAAAAAATTTCTAAGTACAGTTGTGATGGAAAATCGGTAATAAAATGGCACCATACTGTTGTTGTTGAACATTTTGTGGTATAAGCCAGTTATTTAGATTCAGTACTACAGCAAAATAAAAACACTAAATCACCACAATACACCAAAACACTTTTACTTTTACACTGGACACGCGTTTCGCTAACCATGTTAGCATCATCAGCAGATGATTATAAACTAAAGTACAATCTACAAGTTGAGCGTTTATATACTCACCCAGTGGGCACCGAGTGGGCGTGGCAAAATCTAGCCAACCGAGTCAGAACCCACTGAGCGTAACAGTTAAATTTCCGCCACTAGAAAAGTAGGAACAAAGAACTTGAAGGAATTGGACCGTTGTCTCTGGTCATACTATCTTTACGTTTATTAATTCTGATGCTTTCATATGCATCTAATTGCCTGTAATTGGAGACTTGTTTAATTAATTTTAAATTATTAAGATCTATAGGATGTTCTTTATCAACAATATGTTCGGTATCGCAATATTTATCCGGTCTACCATATCTTATCTGAGCTAAATGTTCTTTAAATCTAGTTAATATTGATCTTCTAGTTTGCTCAACATATTTCTGATTACAATCTTTACAAGAAATTTCATAAATACCCGACCTTTTCAGTGGAGGTGTTTTATCCTTTGGATTACCTAATAATTGTTGTAATTTATTATTAGCACTATACACAAGTTTATAATTGACATTCTTAAAAATTCCTTTTAGACCACGGGATAACTCTCTATCAAACGGTATCGAAAAATATTTAGACGCATCTTTCTCCACTTGATAAGTCGAATTTTCAGAAATCATTAACCTATACCTACGTTTTCTAATTAATTTATCAACTACTGAAGGAGAATATCCATTACACTCAACTACATTCCTAATGTAATCTCTTTCTATTTCATATCTTTCGTTGGAAAGTGGGAAACTAAGTAATCTATGAACTAAGAAATTTAAACTAGCCATTTTATGTTCAACACTATGATGTGATTCATTAGGAATATATCTGCGTGTGGTCGTATTTTTCCTATAGATATCAAATTCTAATAATTCTAATAACTAATACATCTAGAAATGGTAATCTGTCGTTGTTCTCAATTTGATGCGTAAATTTAATGGAAGGAAAACGATTATTTAACTTAGAAATAAAATTATTTATGGTGTCTGAACGTGTGTCAAAAACAGCAAAAATATCCACATACCTAAACCATACTCTTGGAAAATACATACATCATCTGCTGATGATGCTAACATGGTTAGCGAAACGCGCGTCCAGTGTAAAAGTAAAAGTGTTTTGGTGTATTGTGGTGATTTAGTGTTTTTATTTTGCTGTGTAACGCCAAAGGTTCCAATCCTTAACTGTAATTTTCAGTACTACATTACAAGGTGACCCAGTATTCTAATAACGCCCCGTATTAAGGTTTTGCTTATTAGCAAAAAAAAATTTGTAAAAAAAAGATTGGATAGTATAAATATTGGACTACTGGAGATTTTCTACTTTCTCTACTTGAGATTTTCACTCCAATCTTTTTTTTTACAAAAAATTCGTGGCATTCTAACCAGTGTTACCAACTCCGGGATTTTATTCCAAAATTAAGGGAAAAAAATCTATATGGTTTTTTTAGGGGGTAAATTTTTTTGGGGATATTTTTAGGGATAAAATTTCAGTGGAATTTTACCGCTACTGACATTTTTCAAAATTAATAGGAAAGTATAAATAAAACCAAATAATATATTTATTTTAATCACTGAATCTTGGATAACAGTTGTGGGGATTTTAGTTGTTTGGATTTAAGAAGGTTTGATAGCTTTAAGGGGAAGTTTCGAACAGTTGGCTACACTGCTGTGGTCAGACGTTTCAAGGTCAACCACTTAAAACAACAAATTGTTTATTACTATTTATATTTTTAGGATTTGTTCGGGATATTTTTTTAGGTTTTCAGCGATATTTTGGGTTTTTTTTTGATTTTTAGGGAGATAAATTTTTGAGAGTTGGGAACACTGATGCTAACGCAGTTTTTTAATATATTTACATAATTATTAGACAGACACATTTTAGATATATAAACCTGGATTAAAACTAAATACTACTTTCTAAGTTTCATTTGAAATAGTGGACAAAAATATAACATCTAGTTTTAACTCACCCTGTATGTACTATACAGGGTGGTCCGAATTGTATTCCGGCAACTTCGGCAGCATATTCTGTAGATAAAAATAAGTAAAAGAGTTCGTATAAATGTATGTGTGTCCTAAATTGCTTGGTTTCGGAGATACAGGGTGTAGAAGTTTTATTTTTATTTCGATTTTTTCTAAATAATTTCTGAAATAACGTCAATATTTGGATGAAAATTGGTGTCTGGGAGTTTTTTGACATGATAAATTTGATTTTGATGTCAATATGACTCCTACTTGTAGAGGGCGCCACCTACATATTTTTTAACTAGTTTGTAGAGTAATAACTTTTTGTCTGTACCTGTATAAAACTATTGAGTAAAAAAATATACGTTTACGACGTTTTTTACGTAAAAAATCGCTACGAGTAATGGTTCTCGAGATATTTGGAATCAAAATTATCAATACATGTTATTATTGACATAAATTAAACTTGTTGACTAAATAATTTTACCAATATTTTTACCAGATACTAATTTTACCAATTTCCATCCAAATATTGAAATTACTTCAGAAATTAATTGGGAAAAATGAAAATAAAAATGAAATTTGTACACCCTGTATATCCGAGGCTAAGCATTTTAGGACATACATTTATACGAACTTTTTTCACTTATTTTTATCAGCAGAACAGCTGCTGAAGTTTCCGGATTACAGTTTCGACCACCCTGTACAATAGGGTGCTTTGGGTTTTCAAAAGAGAACTATTATAAAATACATACCTGCAATTAAAAGATATAAAGAATTTATGATCTCTGATAATTTTCAGAGAACTTTAAATGTCAGGGTGGTCGAAATTGGTCTGTTTTAGAGAAAACTTATTTCCTCACTAGATAGAGCAAAAGCGACATAGATGTCATGACCTTTATGTTGGTTTTGCTCTATCTAGTCAGGAAATAGTGTTGACCACCCTGTACAGATTTTTTTATAAAAATTGTTATATTTAAAAACTACTGGGTGGAGATTATGATATTATTGTATTTTTAGAATAGAAAGTGAAAAGTGTGCAGCATTCCATTTAAAGGAAAACTACTACTTTAATGTAAAAATACACTTGAATCGCCCTGTATATCTATAAAAATTAGTATTTTTAAAATGTACACTATAATTGACTACACGATTTAAAAAACGATTTTCTACTTTCTCTCTTTTATCTACCCAAAGTATTTTTATGGGCGAAAAGAAAAACGCTGTCATGGTACCCTAGAAATGACGATTGATGACATTTTTAAACGTCATTTCGAAGGTAACTTGACGCCATAAACAATACAAGATGGCTGATGCTATATTTGTTTTCCAGGTCGTTTGGCTGAAATGCCTGCCGATTCGGGTTACCCAGCTTACTTGGGTGCCCGTTTGGCCTCCTTCTACGAACGTGCCGGTCGCGTTAAGTGTCTGGGTAACCCGGACAGAGAAGGTTCCGTCTCCATCGTAGGTGCCGTATCGCCACCTGGTGGTGACTTCTCCGATCCCGTCACTTCAGCCACTTTGGGTATCGTACAGGTAAGGAAAACACACACAGCAGTGATGGGCGGTGGCCAAATACCCAAGGGGCCTTGGAAAAGTAGATTTGATCGTCTAATGTTTTTAGTTTCTTGTCCTGGCCAGTTAAAAGATGCCCAAATCGTATTTTTAATCATATCTCAATTTTTTCAAATGAAACGAGGGTGGCTCATTAGCATATTTGGAAAAAGCATTTTTTTACGAATAATTTGATACCAAACACTTGATATTTAAGTCAAATTTTCGTTATGAACCGCATGTTATAATTTCAATTAAACCATATGCGAAAATGTCAAAAATTGACATATGATATACCATTCTATTCAGAGTGTCATTTTCTATTGAATAAAGTAAAAAAATACCGAGAGTTCATTTTATTAATATTCTATGGACATACTGTATAAAGTCATTATAGGGAATATCATGGATGAAATATCATGGCCATCTTGACTTCGAGTTTTAGGTCATACATTATTTTCATGTTATAATTAAGAAGTTTTATGATCATACGTGATTTAACTTTGCTAATGATTCTAATGTAGTTTTCCATAAAAATTGTTTATCTGCCATTATAGAAAGCATCCATCATCATAAGGTTTGTTCTCACAGTGTGTTCCCAACATGTTTGTGACTTCTTCCAAACCGGTGTTAATGCGCAGGTCTCAAATAATGCAGTTTCTTGTCGATTTCAAACTGTCTGTGCGAATAGCGAATCCCCTACTCTTCTTTTTTGATCTAATAATACCACTAATGTTAACTCCTATGTAATACCGAATAAAGAAGAAAACAAATAGGGAACTAACAAAAAACATCTTTTAATGTTTTTGGTTTTGTTCTTTTTAATGTTTTAATGTTTTGTAATTTTGATTCTTGGGCCTGACCCGTTCCTCCATCAGCTCTTCTAGGTCTGTGTCTGTATCCGAAAATTCGGACGCCTCAGATTCTTCGAAAGATTCAAAATCGCTCATTTCTTTTCTTTATTTTTTGAAGAAAAAAACACTACACAAAAACAACACACGTTTTGTAGGTTAAGTTTACCAATTAATGACGTCGGGTCGCAATACGCATGCGCCGGACACTTTACTTGCAAAAGATTCGCGAACACTGTTATAGAGATATAACATTAATAGAGATAATATATGTTTTTTTAGGCTTCCTTAGCTGAGCCAGCACAAAGTATTTTTGAAAGAATGTTAAAAGGACCTACCACACAAAAATCCAATCCTCTGCTACTATCCTTTGCTTTAACATTGTCATTTTATTCGCCGAAAACTGTCAGCTAACAATCAGAATTTTCTGTGCGAGCAGCGTACTGTTGGTTGGAAACCAATCAAAAATTTCTGTGCGAAAGCGTTTTACCCTATTGCGCATGATTATTTGTTGGAAATATGTTTCTTACAGTTGTGAGAACAAACCTCATATTGTACGTTTTGCTATATTATTGTAAACATAAGTAACAAAAAACCTGGATGTGTATTTTTCTTCTTTAAAATAATCTTGACTGTGTGTTTATTGCAGGTGTTCTGGGGTTTGGATAAAAAATTGGCCCAACGTAAGCACTTCCCCTCAGTCAATTGGCTGATTTCCTACTCTAAATACATGCGTGCTCTTGACGATTTCTATGACAAAAACTTCGTCGAATTCGTACCACTTAGGACTAAAGCCAAGGAAATTCTACAGGTAAATATATCTTATACATTGATTTTTGCACTCCTATTGAATATATTTATTTACGGCTTTTATTGTTAGTCCGAAAATATTTTATTAATTCAATTAGGTTAAATAACAAAAATGATAACCAGGTCAAAAAGTTATATTGCAACCTGTTTATTTACATTTATTAAAAATATTTAATATTTTTATAATCTTAATTGTGTACTTTTCCGGTTTAATTTCTAAAATATTTTTGTTTTTTCGAATTATAGGAAGAAGAAGATTTATCTGAAATTGTACAGTTGGTAGGTAAAGCCTCATTGGCTGAAACCGACAAAATTACTCTTGAAGTGGCCAAGCTACTTAAAGAAGATTTCTTACAACAGAATTCATATTCTTCATACGACAGATTCTGCCCATTCTACAAAACAGTTGGTAAGTTTAAGTTTCCGTGTACGGTGTCTCCTTTGACGGTGGCGTTTTTAGTTGTAAAAAACTTTAATTTCGAAATATTTTGTGAAACATTTCGCAAAACATTTTTGGAAATAGTACAATAAATACCGTGTTGGCAACTCTTACTTTTGGATAGGTATTCACATGTGTGGAAGTAAATCGCGTAGGGATCTTATTAAGTGGGAGTGAGAGAAATGCGACGGTGTGTTGTTGCGGCGTTGCCACATTTCTCCGGTACGCTGTTCCCTATCAAAATCATGATTGCAAATCGCTTATTTTTAAAACTTTTTTTCGAAAAGATAACTAGATAAAATCATTAGATATGTTTCTGAGCATCTGAAATGGAATTATATGGTGTTCATATTTTTATAACGAGATAACGTCAGTAATCGCGATAATTTAAAAAACACATAACACGCCATAAATCAAGAACTACTTTAGATATTAACACTTTTTTTATTTTGAAATTTGGATCTTTTACAAGATATTTAAATAAAAATTCGATAGGCTTGTTTTTTTTTCTCCAACCCAAACCCATCCATTTACTTTTGGTGCGCATTGCAATTTTCAGCAACCGTGGAACTTTTTTATTTATAAAGATTTGCTCATACTGTCTGCGAAGAAAATATAGCAGAAATATTAAGAAAGTTTGTGAAAAAACTACCATCAATTATTTCTAATGGATTTCGAGATATCGATTTTTGAATTCAGAGTTCTAATAGCGCGACCACTGTCGAACACCAACTCAATTCCACTTATTTTTACCGAAAGTACAAGTGTTTCTAACTTGCACTTAAAAATTTACAAGCTATACGGAAAATTAAAACGACTTGTCAATAAATAAGCAAATAAAGTATCACGAGACGTAATTAAATCGTGAAGCTGAACGCGTGATGTACACCCTCCTTAGAATTTTAAGTACTGATTGGGTCGATCGGCTATATCCGTGACGAATCTGCTATACCCCTTTCCACTTCCACGTCTCTTAGCAATGTGCTCAGTTTCTCGGTTTATTTCATACGTTTGGCAACGTTTTTACTGTTCTCTCTTTGTTCTGTACATTATAATAAACGCATTGTACTCTTCTTACGTGCGGAAATCTCAACCCAAAACTAACCTTTGCCAGCCCTTAGTATAAAGATATCAATTTCTTAGTGGATTTACCAATTTCTTTCAATAAAATTCACGTACTCTTGAACGTATGTTCAGGGTGTCCCATTTTTGTGTGTTTTGCAGGGTTTCTCGTTTATGAGTAGAGCTACAAAGATGCGGTTTTCACATCATTGTGCTACTATTTTAAAATGTGAATTTTCCTTACACTTACCTGAAATTATATTACAAAAAATGTTTAAAAATAAAGAAAAACACTATAGCGAAAATCAAAATACAGGGTGGCGCCTCTCATACGCCGCGGAAGCTCCAAGGAAAACTGTAGTTTATATCGAAATGAAATTTTGGCAGCATATGTAGGTTAACTGAAAGCATTTTATAAAAATATATAGAATTATACAGGGTGTCCCCAAAAAAAGTTACACATCAAAGTTGGGTTTTTTCTAATAGAACACCCTATATATTAATGGCTTTTCTGATTCTATGAAAAAAATAAAGGTGAGTTTTATTAAAGAAGCATATACCTAAAATCTAAGAATTTTTACATATTTCACATTTTGTGAAAATGAAGAGTAAGTTTTAAATTTCGATAAGAGCTACCTAAATTTTAGTTGACCTTGTATAGCTTGATATTTAGTTTCATTGTTGTATGTGAAACCAAATTGAAATTTGACCCGAAAAGTTATACAGGGTGAGACAAAATTAATATGGAACATTAGCCACTTTTAAAAGCAAGTTACTCCTTTATTTTAAATGGAACACCCAGTATATCTTTCCGATGTTCAATGGGGAATTTATATATCTTCAAAATATTATTACGGTTGCCTACCCCTTAGACAAAGATTTTCCTAGATATTTTAATTTTTATGATTTTGCGTCAGTAGATCTTTATTATTTGAAAAAATCTAGGTGGCTGTGTGATATCCCTTTTGTTAATTTAACAAAAATTATTATTTGACACAAAATGATAACTAGTACTAGTTGTTAAAGTTGGACTAATTAGACAGTTATGTTGAAGTAACGTCAGACATATCACAGCCACCTAGATTTTATCAAATAATAGAGATCTAGTCAGATCAAATCATGTAAATGAAAATATTTAGGAAGATCTTTGTTTGAGGAGTAGGCAACCTTAATGAAGAGACATTATTTCTTCATTGAATATCGGAATAATATACTGGGTGTTCTATTTAAAATAAAAGAATAACATGCTTTTAAAGGTGAACAATGTTCAATATTAATTTTGTCTCGCGCTGTATAACTTTTTGGATCAAGTTTTAATTTGATTTAAAGTACTTATAGTTAATTCAACTACATATTAGATTATACCTGGTAAATTCCAATTTAGGTAGCTTTTATTGTAATTTAAAAATTGTTCTTTATTTCTAGAAAATGTTAAATATATGGCAAAAACCTTACATTTTAGTCATATAATTAAAGCCCTTATAAAACTTACCTTTATTTTTCTCCCAAAATCAAAATCAGTTTTAATCAATTAATATATAGGGTATTCCATTACAAAAAACACAACTTTGATATGAACCTTTTTTGGGGACACCTTTTCGAACTCTCTACAGGGTTGTTCACCACATACGACACGGAGTATTGTAGCTAAACGATGAGATTTTTACAAATTGTAGTTTGGGGTTCGTTGAAGGACTATTAGAGCTACAATTTAAAAATATTTTTACAAGGTACAGAGTGTCCCAAATAAATAAAAAATATCAAAGTTGTATTTTTTAAATGGAACACCCTGTATATTATTACATTTTTTAGTTTCTACGATTAAAAAAGGTAAATTTGATTAAGGTGTATTATACTTAAACCTTACCGTTTTTGAAATATTTTCAATTTTGTGAAATTGCAGTAAAATTTTAAAGCTTCATTTCTCCAAGGGTATCAATGTTTTTAATACTAAATATTTAATGAAGTTTATTTATTGATCAGTTATTGTGTTGCAATAATAAAAATAATACTACCTTATACAGAGTGTCTAAAATTTATTTTAAATAATTATTAGCTTAAAACGGCAATAACTTCTTTAATTTAAATGGAATGCCCTGTATATTTTAGGAGAATCAGATGCACAATTAAATTATCTATCAAATTGTATTATACCATTTTTACCTATCCCTTCATGTTTTCGTAGAAAATGCATTTTCTTATAATTTAGACCTCATTTATCAATATATCCATGGAATATTGACATTTTAGATTGTTTTAAAGCAACAAATGTACAAAATGTACAGACTAGTAATATTATCGTTTTTAGCAAAACGATAATATTACTAGCCCATTTGTATGCAAAAAGAAAACTATTTAAATCTTTATAAAAGAGCATACCATTAATTAAATATAACACCATTATTTCCGCCCATATACTAATTAATTACATACTTAATTGTGTTCGTTAATAAATTATTATAAATAAATGTGGATTTGAGTCAGAAATCAATATAATAATAAGTTATCAAATTGAAGTCTCTGTTGTTATAAATAAGCATTTATTAAAAAATGAAATATCATTTTTAAGGTGTTACTTTTTATCACACTGTCTAATGCCCATACAAAATTCAGTTTTTTAGTATTTGGAGCAATTATTATTAATCAACGCAAATAGTCTGTTAATGTAGTTTGAATACTGGAATCATATTAATTGATCCTCTTTAATAAATATTTAAACAATTTTTCTTATTTTTTAATGAAATAAACTAATTATATCGACAATATTAGTATCTGTACTCTTTAAAAATTTGGTACATCTTTAAAAATAATCTAAAATGTCAATAGTCCATGGGTATATTGATAAATAAGTTCTAAATTACAAGAAAATACATTTTCTACGGAAACTTAAAGAGATAGGTAAAAAATGGTATAATATAATTTGATAGACAATTAAATTGTGCATCTGATTCTCGTAAAATATACAGGGTGTTCCATTTAAATTAAACAAGTTATTGCCGTTTGAAGCTAATAATTATTTAAAATAAATTTTTAGACACTCTGTATAAGGTAGTATTATTTTTATTATTGCAACACAATAATTGATCAGTAAATAAACTTCAGTAAATATTTAGTATTAAAAACTTTGATACCCTTGGAGAAATGAAGCCTTAAAATTTTTACTGCAATTTCACAAAATTGAAAATATTTCAAAAACGGTAAGGTTTAAGTATAATAAAGCTTAATCAAATTTACCTTTATTTTAATCGTAGAAACTAAAAATGTAATAATATTCAGGGTGTTCCATTTAAAAAAATACAACTTTGATATTTTTTACTTATTTGGGACACTCTGTATCTTGTAAAATTATTTTTAAATTGTACCTCTAATAGTCCTTCATCGAACCCAAAACTTACAATTTATAAAAATCTCATCGTTTAGCTACAATACTCGTGCTCTGAATTAACTTACATATGCTCACAACATCTTTATTTTATACTATTTTACTACTTGTAGGTATGCTTAAAAACATGATTGGTTTGTACGACATGGCGAGACACGCCGTCGAAAGCACCGCGCAATCAGAGAACAAGATCACCTGGTCAGTCATCAGAGATTCCTTGAACAACATCCTTTACCAGTTGAGCAGTATGAAATTCAAGGACCCGGTCAAAGACGGCGAGGCCAAGATCAAAGCCGACTTCGACCAATTGTACGAAGATATCCAGCAAGCCTTTAGAAATCTGGAAGACTAAGAAGCGTCCGAAAAAGTTGAGATGATTTTCTTTCTCTGGGCCTTCTAAAATAACGCCTATATCCTCACTGTGTAGTTTTTTATTTAAATTGTATCATAAATGTTGATCGTAATTGTTGCATATAATAAGCCAATTCAAAGATATTATTGTACATTTCGTTGTTGATAGTTAAGTGATAAAGCTTACCATAGATTTTCGTATCAAGTTTGTAGGTAGCCAGGTGAGGGTAAAACTTAAAAAAAAACATTTATCTTACAATTTTTCCTCCATTCCAATTTATAGTTAGGAAAGTGTCTTTATTATCTTTGTTTTTATTTGTACACACGGTGCTTTATTAAGTTTAATCCAGTATTATCCTAAACGTTTTTTTTTGTTTTTTTTCAAATCAATTTTATTTTTTAAAAAGCGGCTGTATATTGTACATCATTTTACCATGTTTTTAAAAATGTAAAAATGTTTAATGCGAAATAACAATAATTTTATTTTAGATTGTTAAGTGTAGTGCAATTTTATTGTTCTATTTTGAACTAAATAAAAGCATTATTGTTCATGTAGTATTTTATTTAGTAAAAAGTTAAGAACTGCTATCAGAGCTGCAAGCTCACAGAAAACTTAAGTCTTTTTTTTACTTAAATCATTTTAATGACTGCTATCCTTATTTTCTTTTTTTAAAAATATTTAAATCTAAAAGATTTAAGTCATTAAAAAATATTTAAATCTTTTTTAATGACTTAAATCTTTTCTAAAAAGACTTAAATCTTTTAGATTTAAATCTTATGAGATCTAAGTCTTTTTAAAAAAAAAATTAAATCTTTTTTACTGACTTAAATCTTTTTTTAATGACTTTTAGAAGATTTAAATCTTTTATAAGATTTAAGTCTTTTTAGAAAAGATTTAAATCAGTAAAAATATTTAAATCTAAAAGATTTAAGTCAGTAAAAAAGATTTAAATCTTTTTTTAATGACTTTTAGAAGATTTAAATCTTTTATAAGATTTAAGTCTTTTTAGAAAAGATTTAAGTCAGTAAAAATATTTAAATCTAAAAGATTTAAGTCAGTAAAAAAGATTTAAATCTTTTTTTAATGACTTTTAGAAGATTTAAATCTTTTATAAGATTTAAGTCTTTAGAAAAGATTTAAGTCAGTAAAAATATTTAAATCTAAAAGATTTAAGTCAGTAAAGAAGATTTAAATCTTTTTTAATGACTTAAATCTTTGCTAAAAAGACTTAAATCTTTTAGATTTAAATCTTATGAGATCTAAGTCTTTTTAGAAAAGATTTAAGTCAGTAAAAAAGATTTAAATCTTTTTTAATGACTTTTAGAAGATTTAAATCTTTTGTAAGATTTAAGTCTTTTTAGAAAAGATTTAAGTCAGTAAAAATATTTAAATCTAAAAGATTTAAGTCAGTAAAAGATTTAAATCTTTTTTATTGACTTAAATCTTTTCTAAAAAGACTTAAATCTCATAAGATTCAAATCTAAAAGATTTAAGTCAGTAAAAAAGATTTAAATCTTTTTTTAATGCCTTTTAGAAGATTTAAATCTTTTATAAAATTTAAGTCTTTTTAGAAAAGATTTAAGTCAGTAAAAATATTTAAATCTAAAAGATTTAAGTCAGTAAAAAAATTTAAATCTTTTAATGACTTAAATCTTTTCTAAAAAGACTTAAATCTTTTAGATTTAAATCTTATGAGATTTAAGTCAGTAAAAAAGATTTAAATCTTTTTTTAATGACTTAAATCTTTTCTAAAAAGACTTAAATCTTTTAGATAATTTAAATATTTTATGAGATTTAAGTCTTTTTAGAAAAGATTTAAGTCAGTAAAAAAGATTTAATCTTTTTTTAACGACTTAAGTCATTTTACAAAAAACTTAAATCTTTTAAAAGATTTAAGTCTTTACAAAAATGACTTGACTTGAAAGAAAATGGCTTAAATAATTTGAACTTTATATTGAAATTGACTAAGACTTAAATCATTTTGATTTTTGAGGGTAAATAAAAAGTTATAATAAATAAAGGTTTTTAAGGGTTGATAATTTAAGGGTTGTCTTTTTAAAACTGACTTGTTGCAGCTCTGACTGCTATCCTTATTTTCTAAATTTTAATAACTATAACGTATTGGATTGTTATACGGGGTATGCCAAAAAGTTTCAACTCGTAACAAATAGGATATTTTTATTATTCCATTTCTTAACTACTTTGAACCGTTGAAATTTTTTAAATTATCCTCACAGTAATCAGCTAAAAAAAACCTAAAAATTATCGTGATAACAGAATTAATATCGAAAATTTCATACAGAGTGACTCCTTTAAAAATATTAAATTTGGATCCAACGGACATTCCGTATTGCACTATGTACTCTATATACTATACAGGGTGTCCCAGAAATAAGTGCAAGTATTTTACTGGTAGTATAGTTCAACCCCAGAAACACGCCTATGAGGTTTTTTTCGCGAAAAAAAAATTTAGTAAAATTAAAATTTTTTGGAAATTTTTTTAGTTTTTAGTAAAAAAAATAATTTCTTGATAATATGGCAATAATATGGTATTAGATTAAATTTACAAGAAAGAAAATCCAGAAAAGATCCAGTTGTTCTCAAAATTTTAGCAAAAAAATCATTTTTTTTACCACGCCTTAAAATACTTGCACTTATTTCTGGGACACCCTGTATAACGTAATTGGTTTGTAATGTGTCTCTGGTAATGTTTTGTTAAATTCGTAGCTATTCGGCGTATTCTTTGTACTACCCTGTATAGATTATACAAGGTCTGGCATTAGTGCGTCGGGCATGTGTAGCTCCTAGAATAAAAAACTTGGGAATTTTGTTTACATACTAACCTAAAGTATGTTCTAGGATGTATTTCAGGAAAATATTTTGACTTCCATCGGGTGGCTCAAAAAAGTGTGAGTGTTTCGGGATGATTTTTTTTAAATGGAACACCCTGTATATTATTTTTTCAATCGATGGAGAATTAAAAAATGAACATGTTTATAGAGTATTTCAAAATTATTAACGGTTTCGCAGATATAATATATCGGTATAATAATACTGCGTGTATCTGCGAAACCATTAAAAGTTTTGAAATACTTTAAATACAAAAAATTTTTATTTTTTAATTCTTCATCTAACAAAAAAATAATATACAAGTCAAAATAAAAAAATAAAAATAAAAAATAAAAAACAAAGAAAAATTATTTTATATTTTAGAATGTTTGGCGTAGAATTTTGAACATCCTGTATGATTTAAGATTGCGATATTTATAGCAAAGTAAGTTTAGACCATCTAAAGTAAATACCTAATATAGATTTGATTTCAGGACAGTTCTTGTATATTTTTAATACATTTTTTTAAGAAATACTAAAAAATATATCATTTTTATTTACTTATTAATATCTCTGAAACTGTTGAAAAATATTTACTCATATCTTAGGATTATGTAAAGTGATCTGAAAGGAATCTAAAAATGAAATAATATACAGGGCGTTCCATTTAAAAAAACAAAGAAAAATTATTTTATATTTTAGAATGTTTGGCGTAGAATTTTGAACATCCTGTATGATTTAAGATTGCGATATTTATAGCAAAGTAAGTTTAGACCATCTAAAGTAAATACCTAATATAGATTTGATTTCAGGACAGGTCTTGTATATTTTTAATACATTTTTTTAAGAAATACTAAAAAATATATAATTTTTATTTACTTATTAATATCTCTGAAACTGTTGAAAAATATTTACTCATATCTTAGGATTATGTAAAGTGATCTGAAAGGAATCTAAAAATGAAATAATATACAGGGTGTTCCATTTAAAAAAAACATCTCAATTCACTAACACTTTTTTGAGCCACCCTATAGAAGTTAAAATATTTTCCTGAAATAAATTATACTTTAGGTTTACACTTAAACAAAATTCCCAAGTTTTTTATTCTAGGAGCTACAGATGCCCGACGCACTATTGCTGGACCCTGTATTTACTGAATGTCAAAGTCAGATTAGATTATTTCAGCATGAAGAAATAATACAATTTCAGAATGTTTCAGTAAACGATTCTATCAATATACTTTATAAATGAGTTATTAGATCGAAATATCGTAATATGTGGTTATTTAGATAGAGTCAATTAAAATTTTGCAATTCCCCCCAAGGAGGCATTTACGTAATAATATAATCTAAAATATATTATACAATTAACTTTTACGTAATTTTAGTACAGTAATAGTTATGAATCGTACTGATAAAATTGAAATAGCGGAAGCACTGGCATTACTTGATAACTTGAGCGCCAAATCTTCTGATAGTGGGTTAAGCGAAGATACTTGCTGGGAATTGTTTGGTGGTCCTTGTCCTGAAGCACTAAGGAAGGTCAAAATTAAAAATGACGAGGATTCCAACGAAGAGCAAAAAAATAAGCACGCCTCTCTTAATTTTGAATCAAGAAATAATGAAGATGTTGATAAACCCTTGGAAGAAAAGAAATCAAACGGTGATCAAAATAAAACAGATGCGAATTTAAAAAATCAACATGTTGATAATGATAATACAAGGACTAATCGTCTAAATAATGAAGAACAAATCGATAATTCAAAAATAGAGAAAATTGATAATAAAACCAATGCGAATTTAAAAAATGAACATGATGATAATGATAATACAAAGACTAATCATCTAAATAATGAACAATTCGATCATTCAAAAATAGAGAAAATTGATAAAACTGATAAAAATGAACATGATGGTAATGATAATACAAAGACTAATCATCTAAATAATGAAGAACAAATCGATCATTCAAAAATAGAGAAAATTGACAATAGTGAAATTATTACTCCATTACTACATTCCGCAACTCAAGAAAAAGAAAGCCTAACAAAATTTTCCTCAAATCTTAAACGTCCTTCAACAAATTCGATATTAAATAACGGAAATACAAATCAAAACGAAGTTATTAGTCAGCAATTTGTAGACGCTGCTTCTCAAGGTTCAGAAAGTCATATTTCGAAAAATTCAGCATTGAACGATGTGTTTCTCTCAAAACTATATGAAGATCATAGTACTCAAGTTATAAATTTGCCCACATTTGATAAAAAATCTGGCAATCACAGTGCTGTGTCGGAAAAGTCCCAACAAACATATCGTCTTAGTAACTCCATTACTGATAATCAGTCATCTGTATCTACAGACGATTTAATATCTTCATCGGAAAGCCATTCAAGAAAATCTGAATCATCTGAAGGTTACGACGATTCTGAAGAATGTAGATGTATCTGTAGCGATTGTGTAGGGAATAAAACGTACCAGAAGACGCGTACTTGTCAACGTTGTACATGTTGTTCGAAGCAGAACGAGATTAAAAAACTTCCGGATATATTTATTAGCTATCCTAATGATAAACCTTTGTTGAAGAATAAAACTGTTCAAACATCAAAAATGTTGCTGGAGAAACACATTCGCCAGATTCGTGCAAACAATAAAATTCGAAATTATAAAAGCTATTATTTTAGCGAAACAGAGGAAACGCCTGTTACTGAAAATAATTGGATATGTCCAAAGCCCAAAATTAAGTATCCAAAATCTTTTAAAAGCAGTAACTCAGCTATTATATGCCCATCAAACACCAACGAAACGTCTACAAGTCCGGGATGTTTTGAACTACTTAAAGCCGATCTTATGCAAAGAGGCAAAGTGAAAGAAGTGGTTCAAAAGTTGGAAAAAAGTAAAAAATTAAATGGAAGATGTCAGAGTTCTAATCCAGATCATTCAGTATTTTATCCAGTTAATAAGTTCCGTTACAATCATACAAATTATGAAAGCAATAAGTCTGGAAGATATCACGAAGCGTGTAGTGGAAGATACTATAAACCAAGAAATTTTAATTGTAATTATTGATACAGTTTTATATTAAATATAAACGATATGTATCAAATAATGACAAAAATAATTGTGTTTTAATTAGAGATGTTCTCAAGAATCGATATATTTTAGGGGCAGTATACAGGGTGTCATTGAAATGGCGTAAAAAAAATCGGGGGGGGTGATAGTACTCCTAAAAATAGTAAAAAAAGTTCCTATAAGTATAGGGTGGAAAATGCAGGGGCACTGAAAAGGTGAATTTAAAAAACGGTTGTTTTAAAATTGTAGGCTTAAAGAACGAGATAAAATTTCGAAAAAAAATCCTCTGCCATAAATTTTGATCCTAAATCAAATGGTGGTACTGAAAAATTATTTGGAAAAGCGGAAAGGGTAGTTTTTGCAAGGGTAGGGGGTTGTTTCGAGAATAACTTTTTTGAGGTTATTTTTTTTGCAACGTGGATTTATTTTTTGAAAACTAGAGTTTACTCTGATGGGTTGCTAACTGGTTAATCAACATAAACCTTTGAATAAGAAGACTAAGGAAGGAGCATATCAAAAATCTTAGGTACACCGCGATGGGCCTCAAATATGGCCGACTTAAATTCCGGTTTATCAGTGTCGTTCTAATTTTATTTAAAAAATGTAAAACTATGATGTAGGGTAGACATGGGGTAGACTCAATAATTTGTTGTTTTATTTTTACGTTGTGAATAAATGTTGGTAGTTATTAAAATTGTTATAAAAATATATAATTCTAATAAAATAGATAAGTTATAATAAGTATTTATTAACACAAACATCCGATACGCTACTGAAGCAGGTAAGTCAAATTAACGTATCTAAATTCTTTGACATCTAATCTTTGACAAGTAATAAATAAAAGCTAAAAAGCAAGAAAAATATATAATTTAGTTAATTTAAGTGAATTTCATAAATGATCGGTTTACTACACGTATGTATATTATATAGTCACTTATTAGCGAAAAGTTGTTCCATTATTTCACTCAATTTTTGCCGAGATCTACCGCACGCTACACAACCAACTATTTTAGAGTCTTTTTCGATAAATCGCGATAGTGTCACTGTTAATTTAAGTGCTGCAACAATTTCCACCTAGATTTACTACCTTTATACAACTATCAGTAGTAGAATAAATAATAAATAACATAAAATAAGCTCCGTAAAGACTGACAAATCCACAAAATTTCAAATCAAATTCAAATGTGCCAAATGAATCGTCAAACAGAACTGTCAAGGATCCCCACCCTAGAGTGCTTTTATGGCGCTTTTTCCGCCCACCATGCATGAATACATGGATATGTATTATTAATACATATCCATGATATAAATTTTAATAACGCCAAAATTATAATGAAAGAAGCGATAGCCTCTAAAAGAAAAATAAAAGAGGCTTTTTTAATTCAATCTAATAAAAATAAATGTATTGCTCATGCATCTGTAGATGTTAGTAATGTATGGCAATCGCTTCTTTGATTTTAAAGAACGTTACATAAATAAACATAACATACGTAAAATTTAAAAATAATCATACAGAAAGTTTGGGCTTTTTGGTTTTACCTTATTAAGTAATTATCAGGTAGTAATTGTTAATTTTGAAGTTTAACTTAATATAATGTCATTTTAACAGAACGTCAACGATTTCTTGTAGACGTATCTGTTTTAAAAAGTAAAGTGTTGTCGAATAGTTCAATTTAAATATTTTAAATAGTTTTTTTTTTCTTGATTCTTTATATTTTTTTGCTTCCGACGACGGAAAGAGAAAACTTTGCGAAACGTTAAGCATTTTTTTCTTTGTTAGGCAAATTTTTATTACTGTAAACACAACTTCTGACAAGCAGCGTCCGTTTAGGTTTAACGCCAGAAGTGTTTACAAAAAATAACTATTTTATTTTGTAGATTTTTCTTGCAGTGCAGTGGCGAAAAACCCATAAGGATTTTTTTGGATAAAAAAGATTATTTCGTTTTTAAAGCAATAAGATGTTTTAAAAATCATGAAATTTTGATTTTCCAATTAATTATTTAATAACTACTTGGTTACTTTTGAACCGCCATAACTTTCATAAGTTTATGATGATTAACCAGTTAGCAACCCGTCACGGCAAACCCTTTGCCTTCAATTTTCTCGAAAACCATCGCTCTGGGCGATGTACAACAAGAGTACCTTTTTTGTAGATAAAAGTATGTAGTTTTCAAAGAATGAACCCACGTTGCAAAAAAAATAACCTCAAAAAAGTTATTCATGAAACAACCCCCTACCCTTGCAAAAACTACCCTTTCCGCTTTTCCAAACAATTTTTCAGTATCACCATTTGATTTAGAGTCAAAATTTATGGCAGAGGATTTTTTTTCGAAATTTTATCTCGTTCTTTAAGCCTACAATTTCAAAACAACCGTTTTTTAAATTCACCCTTTCAGTGCCCCTAACTCCCTTAATATGCATTTTCCGTCCTATACTTATAGGAACTTTTTTTTACTATTTTTGGGAGTACTATCACCCGCTGATTTTTTTAACACCATTTCAATGATACCCTGTATACCCATTTCGGTTACTTTAAAAATATATACCTTAATCTTTACTATATACATTTATTCATATTTACATTTTCATTTCTTCATACTTAAAACTTATTTAATTCGTTGAAATCGAACCCCGGCACTTCGTCGAACTGGTTAGGTTGGCCAGCCTGAGGGTTTGGCATCTGTTGCTGACCCATCTGACCTCTGCTATTGTTGCCACCCATCTGCTGCATGCTTATCAACTGCTGCCGGTACTGAGGTTGCTAAAATAAAGTAAATTGATCGTTTTAATGCACGGAGTGGTTCAAAAATAGATATATCGAATTTGGGGAAAATAATATTTAAATGTATCAACCTAAAAAAATTGCTGTAAATTATTTTCAAGTCTGAAAGATTATCTAGCAATGTACAGGGTGTCCCACTAAGAATAGCTCTCGGCCTTTGAATAAGAAGACTAAGGAAGGAGCATATCAAAAATCTTAGGTACGCCGCGATGGGCCTCAAATATGGCCGACTTAAATTCCGGTTTATCAGTGTCGTTCTAATTTTATTTAAAAAATGTAAAACTATGATGTAGGGTAGACGTGGGGTAGACTCAATAATTTGTTGTTTTATTTTACGTGGTGAATAAATGTTGGTAGTTATTAAAATTGTTATAAAAATATATAATTCTAATAAAAATAGATAAGTTATAATAAGTATTTATTAACACAAACATCCGATACGCTACTGAAGCATGTAAGTCAAATTAACGTATCTAAATTCTTTGACATCTAATCTTTGACAAGTAATAAATAAAAGCTAAAATGCAAGAAAAATATATAATTTAGTTAATTTAAGTGAATTTCATAAATGATCGGTTTACTACACGTATGTATATTATATAGTCACTTACTAGCGAAAAGCTGTTCCATTATTTCACTCAATTTTTGCCGAGATCTACTGCACGCTACACAACCAACTATTTTAGAGTCTTTTTCGATAAATCGCGATAGTGTCACTGTTAATTTAAGTTCTGCCACAATTTCCAATAAATAACATAAAATAAACTCTGTAAAGACTGACAAATTCACAAAATTTCAAATCAAATTCAAATGTGTCAAATGAATCGTCAAACAGAACTGTTAAAGATCCCCACCCTAGAGTCCTTTTTCCGCCCACCATGCATGAATACATGGATAGCGTTATGCTCCTTCCTTAGTCTTCTTATTCAAAGCTCTCGGCTGTACAAAGCGCCCCCTAGCGCCTGCGTTCGAAACATTATTATTATTTTTATGGTATAATATAGAGTAAGAAACGCTCTTTTAAACGAGCCCTCGTTTGTTGGATTCTGATCATCCAGTCCGGAGTTATTAATATTTAAATAAAGACAGATCTAACCTTCCCCCACCACTTTATTTTAGCAGGTAGGGAAAAATGGTTCTAACAAAAAAAAATCCAAAATTTACCGAAGATTATGAAGCTATTATTTATAGTACTCATTATCTAGGCAAAATTCTGTAAAAATTCTATTTTATTATTTTCCATAGCAGTTGCGCCCTCTAGCGGCCGTTTAACAAACTTGAAAATAATTTCCAGCAATTTCTCATATCTCCTTCAGCTATAAATAAATACTTTTTTCCGTAGGCCCTACGGCTAGTACTTACGGGACACCCTGTGTAGGTCACAACCAAAACAAACAACATAAAAGTGAATAAGTGGGTTTTGCATTAAATTTCTATAACTGAGATGTGATAAAAATACAGGATGTTTCAAAAAACATGTGCCATCTCTCGTGGGGAGATTCCTTACATAGAAATAAGATTTATTTTTTATAGGTTTGAATCTGTTTTGATTCACAGCTGCAAGGGGTTGAAATCTTCATTTTTTTTTAGATTTATTATAATTTTCTTCCAAGTGGGCTACGCTGTTCCGGTCAAGCTTAATCAATTGGCGAAAAGTTCATTTGAATTAAGAAAATTTAAAGAAAAGATTTAAATTAAGAAATGTTGAACTGGAAATTAATTTTGACCAACATTTCAGGTTGGAACCTGTCTGTGGCGATACAACAGCAAAATAAAATATTAGTTCACCGCTATATACCAACAGATTATTTTTAATACTGAACGCCCGTTTTGCTAACCATATTAGTATCGTCAAGGGGTGGTTAAAACTGAATTATAACTAGTTTTAAACACCTGTTGTAACACACAACACAGATGAAGTTTGCGACTAAAATTCACTTACTGTTACCTGTTGCAATAAATGACGCAGTCCGGGGTTGTTAGTCATCACCGGCCTCATCATTCTTTGTTGTTGGGGATTGGTCGGCTGAGGAACTTGTGGATTATTTTGCGCGCTCATCCTTTGCTATAAAAGAATTGATAAATTAACAATGTACAATTTTAGCAACAAATTGAAGAGTGGAAATACCAAAGGGAGTAAGTGCCAAAATTATTTTTACAAGATAAATCAGAAAGACACAGTAGAACTCAAAAAAAAAATTTTTAAATATCATTTAAAATACATATAATATACATAAATAAAAAATCGGTAAAAAAACTTTTAAGTTAAACGGTTTTATCTTATGTGCACTGAAAACTAGAAAATAATAATAAAAATTAGGTATTTTGAACTTCTAGTTCAGAAATATTTTAGTACTAGGCAGAATAGCTTTTAGGCATATTAGACTAAAATAAAAACGTGGGGCCCCTCTGAAATCCTACCTATGGCAAAGCATATCTTTATACTTTGGTAGATCATGAGCTCGGCGTTCGCTGGTGAAGCCGCCACGGCTGGTTATTGATTGTCAAAATCTCCAGTTACGATTATAGTAAGTCGATGCAATCCACACTTAGTATAGAAGAAAGTATTACAGCAATAGTTAATGGGCCCCACGTTTTTATTTTAGTCTAATATGCCTAAAAGCTATTCTGCCTAGTACTAAAATATTTCTGAACTAGAAGTTCAAAATACCTAATTGTTATTATTATTTTCTAGTTTTCAGTGCACATAAGATAAAACCGTTTAACTTAAAAGTTTTTTTTACCGATTTTTTATTTTTGTTTGTTTTTTTATTTGTTGTTTCCATGTTGTTCCCACGAGTAATGGACATTTTAACGGTCGACCCCCCCAGAGGTTCAGCAGAGGGGCAAGGCTATAATATACAACAAGAGGCGCCCAATCCTCAGGGGAAAACGCTTGCGACATTATATTTTTAGCCACCCTAATGCCATACAGTCCTCAGCACGTTTTAACCTATTACCTTAACTTGGGTGGTAAAGCTACCGCTAACTACGTAGGTACATCTAATCACCTATTTTTTTTTTATCTGTCCTTCTAACGTCACACAATCTTGGACACAACTGTTCTGGACACGACTACTCATGCCCTCACCTAATACGCCATTTTGTAACGACGTCCAAATGTTGGTAGTTATTAAAATTGTTATAAAAATATATAATTCTAATAAAAATAGATAAGTTATAATAAGTATTTATTAACACAAACATCCGATACGCTACTGAAGCAGGTAAGTCAAATTAACGTATCTAAATTCTTTGACATCTAATCTTTGACAAGTAGTGAATAAAAGCTAAAATGCAAGAAAATATATAATTTAGTTAATTTAAGTGAATTTCATAAATGATCGGTTTACTACATGTATGTATATTATATAGTCACTTACTAGCGAAAAGTTGTTCCATTATTTCACTCAATTTTTTCCGAGATCTACCGCACGCTACACAACCAACTATTTTAGAGTTTTTTTCGATAAATCGCGATAATGTCACTGTTAATTTAAGTTCTGCCACAATTTCCATCTACATTTACTACCTTTATACAACTATCAGTAGTAGAATAAATAATAAGTAACATAAAATAAGCTCCGTAAAGACTGATAAATCCACGAAATTTCAAATCAAATTCAAATGTGTCAAATGAATCGTAAAACAGAACTGTCAAGGATCCCCACCCTAGAGAGCTTTTATGGTGGCTTTTCCGCCCACCATGCATGAATACATGGATAGCATTATGCTCCTTCCTTAGTCTTCTTATTCAAAGATATTTATAACCAAATATATGTTTTGACAAGACTTTGACAGTTAAACCAACAAACTACAACAGATTATATATTGATTATTATATGACTTGAAACACCACGGCACTGGAATTAAGTTTTATGTGACCTTGAAGAGATTAGTTCACATGGTAGCGACCGATGAATCACTCCCAAACATTCGTGGCGTTTACTATATAAATATCGTTATTAAGAGAAGCATTCTGCATCCGAGTTTCTTACCTCTAAAATTTTATACTGCATTTCCGTGTGCTGAGCGGCTTGCAACGCCTCTTGTAAGTGCGACGTCTTCATGTGACTTATTCTCTCCAGTTGACTCTTATACTGTTGTTCTTGCTGTTGTGCCGCTTCCAGAGTTTGTTTCAATTTATTGATTTTCTCCAGGTTTTGTTGTCTTTCCGCTTGAAGCTGGTTCTCGAAGGGCGCTCTCTGAACCGGTTGGCCCATCATTCCGCCTTGCATATTACCTTGGTTTGGACCTATAATTATATTTTTCTTGTATAATATTGAAATTATATGCATAAAAATACAAAATTTAGTCGATAAAATGAATAACTTTGAATTTTGACCGTTATTTTTTACCAACATGGCAAATATAAAATCTCTCTATCCAAAAAGTTACTGATATTCTTTAAAATGAGTGCCTGAACGAATTAGATAGGTAACTCTTTTTACTTTCGTGAAATAGAAAAAGAAAATAATAAAACAAGTGACAGTTCTTCCTCTTCTTGCAAAAATCAACGCGAAATGTCATGACTGACAAAAGTAAAATGTCATCAGCCTTTGACATTTCTAAATATCAGACCAATGGCGTCTCTAATAGAACAGCCTCGGAGCGAGATTTATGACGTCACGCTAGTTAGATACCACGGTTTAATAAATATGTTGTAAAATACATGGAAAATATAATTATTCTTCGTATTTTTGGTTTGTATTTTAAAAATGATATAGTTTACATGAAATATACATAATATACAGTTAATAAATACAATATATATACCTATTTATACGGTGTAAATAAACTATGAACCATACAAATGCAGCAAATGTTTTACAATATACAAATAATGAATAGGTACATATGATAATGGGTAAAATGTAAAATATATTTTAAATTTTGGGGTTTGAAAATCAATCTAATTTAACAGAAAACATTCAATATCTACTAAAAGTGATATAATATTATGTCCATTCACAAAATTTATATGTATATTTTGCAAGCATCAATGTTCGAAAAATTATATTTGCAAATAATACAATATCATAGAAAAAAAGCGTCAGCGATGGCTATAAAATAAAGATCGTTGTATATATATATATATGTAAAATTATTCTAAAATTTTTGATTTTCTTGGGATTTAGGTTTGATTAGGATTAAGTTTTCATTTGGTTTTTCATTATTTTTTTTTTGCTTTAAAAAAACGTTATAGCTAAGGTTTATAGCCTTTATCAGTGTTGTGTCAGCAAAAAAAATAGTGTCGAATATATTCCAAAAAATTACATATACGAGGGACAATTATGTTTTCCATGTATTCTACAACATAATTAATCCGTAGTATCTAACTAGCGTGACGTCATAATCTCGCTCGGAGGCTGTTCTATTAGAGACGGCATTGCATCAGCATGGCCGCAAGTTGCTAACCTAATAAAATTTACACTAGAAAAGCCCGCGGGAACTGTCAAATTCAAAGTTATTCGTTTCACAGACTATACTACCATACAACTACCATCGAAAAAAAAACGGCGTCAGTGATGGCTATGAAATAAAGATCGCTGGCATTTTATTTGTAAAATTATAAGGAGAATGTCATCGATGACCATTTCCAAGCCAACGGGACGCCGCTTTTTTTTCGATCAATGGTAGGGAATTTAAACCCTTATATATACCGGGTGCGTCTCAAAAGTGGCTCACCCCTATAACTTTTTTTATTTTTTCAGTTAAAAAAACGAGATTTGTTTTGTTAGTATATGATATAAATTAGGATTGATTGACGTATTCAATTGTTTTCGGAAATGACTACAGCTTTTTTATTTTTAAACGGCACCCTCGGTATTTTTGTACTTTATTCGATTGAAAATAACACTCTGAATAGAATGACATATAATATGTCAACTTTTGACATTTTCTCATATGGTTTATTTGAAATTATAACTTGCGGTTCGTAACGACAATTTGCCTCGAAATACCAAGTGTGTGTTATCAAATTATTCGAAAAAAAATGCTTTTTCCAAATATGCTAACGAGCCACCCTCGTTCCCTTTGAAAAAATTGAGATATGATTAAAAATACGATTTGAGCATTTTCTAACTGTTCAGACAATCTGATCTAGACAATTTTACTATATTTTTATAACTTTGCAAACAAATAACTTTTGATAATAGCTTATTTTGCCAAAATGAAGCCAAATTTGCTGACAACTATATAATACGGAGTTACATCACCTTTCGCCTTAACAACTGCCTGAACTCTTAATGGCATTGTATTTACCAAAGATTGGCATATTTGAGGAGAGAAAATTATCCCAAATTTCCTGCAGTTTTGTCCGCAAATCAAAAAAATTGTTCGTTGAAGGTGGTTTCTTAAATATTGCTTCATTTTATGCCACACAGTTTCTATAACATTGAGGTCCGGACTACTTGCAGGATGGGATAGAACTTTTATATTATTATTACCGAACCAATTTTTAGTTGATTTTGCTGAATGGCACGATGCTCCATCTTGTTGAAAAATATAGTCTTCGTTTGGAAACAATTTTTGAGCACTAGGCAAAAGTGAGGTCTCAAGTATATAGTGCCATCTATAAAATTTAATTTGCCCAAACCTCTTGCTGACATGCAACCCCAAACCATAATCCCCTTAGGAAATTTAACAACCCTCTTTAAGCAATATTTATGAAAGGCTTCTGCTTTATTTCGTATTATTCTTTTTCGATGATCTCCAACGCAAACATCAAATTTAGACTCATCGCTAAATATGACCTTATTCCAATCATTTTGTGTCCACGATAATTTAGATTTTGCCCAATTGTAGCAATTTTTCTTTTGAATTTCTGTCAGTAGCGGTTTTTCTTTGGCCTAAATAAGAATTTGTATCAATAATCTTCAGGTAATTGATTATCCCCACAAAATAAAGTTTACCTTGTAAAACCCCAGACCGCATTTATGGATATATTTTCGGCAACATTCTCTTGATATATTTAATACAGTTACAGTATTCCATTTAACTGTTACTTCGCGAAGAGTACTTCTTCTCGCAGACTTGCAAATTTTTACTAAATTTCGTAAATCTCTCTGAGATACAACTGTTGGCCTTCCCGAACTTTTACCTCTAATGCCTACATTGGCAGATTCGCCGTATTTTTTTATTATATTAAAGACCGTGGTTTTTGGAATACTTAAATCATCGAATCGTAACCTCGAATTTGTAGCACCCTGTATACACCCAAGTATAATATATTTAATATATTTTTATGAATATTAAAATGAAAATGAAATTATTTAGGCTGTAAAATATAAACGTTTTTTATATTAAGGAATTTTATCTATGCTAGTTTTTGTACCTATATATTGTTGTATCGATATATTTTAAACCAGAATAAAGCACTTCTCAATTGGCGTTCATTGTATTAATACATATACAACTGAATTAATAAATAACTTAATTATTTTTAATAAATGGTTACACTGGCGCAGTTGGTAAACGATCAAGTCAATTAATTATTAAGTGAAAATTAAGTTTGTAAGAAGAAAATGTCATCCATTAGAAAATTAGAACAATTCAGAGTTGAAATTCAGAAAATTTGTCAATATTTTATAGTGAATCAAGTGGAAGAAAATCTTAAAAACAGCAATTTCAATAACTGTAGTCGGTGATGAAGCTTTCGAGTTGACGGTTGAATTGTCTAGTCTTGTATTACCAGAAGAAATGGCTTTCAGCGATTTAATTAAATTAATGGAGAATCATTTACAACCCAGACCGCAAGAAATAGCAGAAAGGCATAAATTCAGACAGAGGAATCACGAAAATGGTGAGACAATTGCTACATACATTTCTGCATTTCAATTTCAATTTATTTTTTGAATAAATTATTATTGAAGAAATTATCCAAGTATTCAGCTACAGGATCAATTGGTATTTCAAAGCTTTGCAAAATGATTATTATTATTAAATTTCGATTTAGTTGCACTTGGAAATGTTCTGAAAATATCAGATATAAAAAATCCACAGCTGAATTCAGCAGAAATAGGCGCGAAAAAGCCCAAAACAACGGTTTTTCCAAGGGATGAAGAAGCAAGTGCTGTCACTGTTGGAAAAACTATCACTGCCACTATCACTGCCAATCAGCCTGTTTTTTCAAGAATGCATTATGTCAGTGTAAACAAAATGGTCACGCTAGCACAGTATACACTATGGTATACACTAAGAAGAATGAACACTATGAACAGGTACCGAATAAACAATCAAAAAGCAAGTCTAATCATTTTTAACTCCTGAAAATGAACATAATTTTTCCGATTCAGATATTTTAGGAATGTATAATGCAAAGAGAAAAAAAAACGAAAAATCAATAAAGATTGAATTTTGATTGATTTTTTTGATTAAATTTTGTATTAGAATAATTATATTACATGTAATTGTTAACTTAAGAAAATCAATATTTTAGTGTATAATTTAAGGTGAGAAAAGTATAATATATTTCAATATATTTTTATAATTATTAAATGAAATTATTTAGTTTGTAAAATATAAATGTTTTTTTATATTAAGGAATGTCATCTATGCTAGTTTTTGTATGTATATCGTCGGTGAAACAGGTTTCACTGGTGATATATTCTTGTATTTTTTTTTGGATAATAGTTTTCTAACTCTAACAATAAAAAAAATATGAGTTAGTCGAACAACCAAAGAAATATATTAATTTGCCAGTCTATACCTTTGTTTGATTTGTATTGAAAATGTAACTATACAGAGAGAGTTTTATTCCCCCTTTTGACGTTCAAGGTTATACGCGAGATTTTAAATCTATACTAATATATCGTCCCATTGCTGCCAAAAGTCACTAACATACTTTTTATTACTTCCGAGATAAATGCGTGTAAAGATGAATTGCATTGTATAAAGATGTTATAGTTAGTAACTATTCGGTATTAAAATAAAACATAAATAACCAAAAATCGTAGTTAATGGCTCTTGCAATCGATTCTCCGCTTCAAAACATAGTTAGTGATTGAATTTGGTTGTTCGGAAAAATGTTAGTTAATGACTTTTGGCAGCAATAGGACGATATTATGAATATATTACGTTTTTTAACTAAAAATTCCGAATTTTTCAGTTCCAAAAAAAGTTAGTGACTTCTGGCAGCAATAGGACGATATAAAATCTTTAAGTGACTGACATACTGATTAATCACGATCCTGCTCAAACCACTCAACGTAAGAAGCTCAATTTTGGCATACAGGTTGATTCTAGGGTGTAGAGGGAGGTTCGATAAGAAGGGATTTTTTGAAATTCCAGTTCCAAGAGGGTGAAACCACCCCTCAAATATTACAATATTTTTTATTTAAAAAAACGGTCAAGTTTCCGAAAAAAAAACGCTTAAACACGTATATTTTATTTTGTTTTTTACATATTTTAAGATTTTTTAAAAATGTATACAGGGTGTTTAAAAAAATCTGGCCATTGATTAATCACGATCCTGCTTAAAGCGTTTGAAGTAAAAAGCTGATTTTTGGAAAACATTTTAACTATAGGGTGTACAGGTTCGATAAGAAGGGATTTTTCGAAACTCGAATTCTAAGGGGGTGAAACCATCTCTCAAATATTAAAATATTTTTTATTTAAAAACCGTTTTTCGGAAAAACTCTTAAACACGTATATTTTATTTTGTTATTTTACATATTCTAAGATTTTTATAAATTTATACAGAGTGTTTCAAAAAATATGACCATTGAGTAATCACGATTCTGCTTAAACTGCTTGACGTTTAAAGCTGATTTTTGGCAAACGGATTGACTGTGGGGTGTAGAGGTTCGATAAGGAGGGGTTTCAAGAATCTCAAATTCCAAGAGGGTGAAGACCACCCTCAAATATTACAATATTTGTTATTTAAAAAACGGTTAGTCTTTCGGGAAAACGCTTGGACAAGCATAATTTATTTGTTTTTTTTACATATTTTGAAATTTTTTAAAAAATCATACAGGGTGTTCCAAAAAGTTGGGTAATTTCTTAACCACGATTCTGCTTAAACTGTTTGACGTAAAAAGCTTATTTTCGGCAAACGGATTTTTCGAAAGTTAAATTCCAACGAGATGAAACTACCCCTCAAATATTACCAAGTAGAGATGAGCAAAACTGCGATTGTGATTTATAAATCGCTGCGACTGTAACCTGCGATTGCGATTTTGATATTTTTAAATTGGTACGCTGTAATCTGGGAAGCTCAATCCCAAAATTTCTAATAAAAAACAGAATAAATAGCGGAATAATTTTTTTTTTAATAAGAAACTGTTGGGTGTTTCGATGCTATGTGCCTTTTAAAATTTGTAGTGCGTGTTTTTTATGATATTTTTGCTGCACACATATTGCACTTAAAATTTTCATCAATTACCTACCAAAAAAAAATCCACAAATAACTTAGTTTCTTTTTTTAAACATTTTTGATTAGAACAGACCGAATAAATTTAAAAGGGAAATTAAAAATACATAAAATGTTCAAAATATTCGAATGTGCTTTTAGACAGTAGGTATACTAACGAAAGATTTATTATAAATAGGTTGCCGCCAATCTTAATTCAGATAACTAGAAAAAAACCTGTTTATTTTATCTTGTTTTCTTTTAAAAACATTTTCTTTATATGTAACTCAAAAGAAGCCGACACCGACGGCTTTGATACGGCCCGTCCAGTGCAAGTGCAAACTTTCGAACTTTTAGATAAATAAAAGGACAATATCACATTTTATTATATTTACAATTTCTCTAAAATGAAAAAACTGATTGTAAAGGATGTATTTAAATTAACATAGCAGCCGATCCACAACTGTTAGTATATTCAGAATATTATATTATATTATGGATTGTTATAAAAATGTTTATAATAATATAATATATAACAAAATATAATAAATAAAAAGGGCTGTTTCTTTTCCGTGTTCTATATCTTCTAGTCAATAAAGGATAAAATAGATAATTTTTATAATTTGAATCCAAAACTGTCCTTATGAATCATTTTACCTGAATCATTACCTGGGAGCAACTGTAACTATAATTAGTCATAACCGAAAACAAGAATTTTTTAACCTTCTCAATCCATAATTATATTATAAATCTGAAACTATTATCAAAATTTAAAACTAATAAATTATATATATTATGCGGTATATAAACATATATAAGCCTATTTTCCATCGCTTCATAAAAATTACGGGGCCCTGATTGCGAATGTGATTTTGCGATCTAGTCTAGGCCGATGTGTTGGGAGCTGCGAACGAAAATCGCAATCGCCGCTCTTCGTTGGCGTGCTCCTGATGCCGCGCCGGTGCCAACGAAAATCGCAATCGCAATGCTGGGATGAGCTGCGATTTTCGTTCAGCTCCTCGTTCGCCTGTCCACTGCCGTGTTGAAGACGCGCCGCCGCCGGCCGGGGCGTACGAGAATCGCAATATTGCGATTTTCGTTCGCAGCTCATCGTTCGGCTTCTCAGTGCCGTGTCGATGCAACGCCGGTGCGAACGAAAATCGCAATGCTGTGATTTTCGTTCGCAGCTCTTCGTTCGCGTGCCCACTGCGATTGCAAATCGCAACTCATGTAATATTGGTTGCCTAAAAATCCAAAATCGGCAGATATATGTTTCAATCGCAAGTCGCAGTTTGCTATGGAAAGGAATCACAGGTTGCGATTGCGAATTTACAATCGCTGCGATTAAATCGCAGTTTGCGATTTTCTGCTCATCTCTATTACCAAGTTATATAATAATATCGCCATATTGTTTTTTCTCATGCTGGCATAAATGTGAGAAAATTTTATCCAGTTTGTATGTTAATGGAATTCTTGCTTTGCTTTATCATCACCATTACAAATGATTAATTAAACCGCAAATTTTAATTTCAAATAAACCATATGCGAAAATGTCAAAAGTTGACATATGATATGTCATTTTATTCAGAGTGTTATTTTCTGTCGAATAAAGTAAAAAAAAAATACCGAGGGTGCCATTTAAAAATCAAAAAGTTGTAGTCATCTACGGTGAAACAGGAAGTAACCGGTAATAATAATGTATAACCGGAAAGCATAAGATCCCTCCCAATAAATCAATTTCCGAAAAAAATAAAACAAATATTGTTTAGTGGATAATTTTATTCATGCAGTGAGTTTGTAAACGTCAAATTTTAAAATGTTTTGTTTGCTAATTTGTAATGTAATTATAGTGTTGTATCTTTTTACATTTAGTGAATTTATTATTGTTTTTTTTTCTAAAGATAAAGATAAAGGCTAACCTTTATTTTGGCGTGTGCAAATACTGTTTGTAATTGACACGAAATATATTGAGAATGAGTATTGCGCTTTTGTTATAAATCGAAACTTCATAATCTGGTTTAATAAAATTAAACTATAGTCTGTGTGGCGAGAAAATGCACGATCTCGAAAGGTGATATTCAAAAAGTACAGAAAAACCGTCACTTTTGAGCTGAAATGACAGATAACAAATAATGCCATACTCATATTATACTCTTTCACTGATATGATCACAAAGTAACATAATACAATCACAATACATAAAAGAAATCACAGTCGCTTTTTTTTAATTGTAGAAGTTTTAAGACGACACGATGGAAAAACTTTTTTTCCTTACAAGTGATTACATTTTATAAATTTTTACAGAAAGTGTAGTTTTAAGTGTTATAAATGTTTTACCTTGTTGTCCGACATTTTGTCCCATTATTCCGGCAATATTGGGTCCACCGGGTTGACCGATCGGATTACCCGGTTGTCCTATGTTCCCGCCCGGTTGACCTATACCGGATCCGCCCTGGCCAATGGCAGATCCGGATTGAACGATGCCAGTTTGACCCATTGTTTGTCCTATTCCAGGACCGGGTTGTCCTAGAGGTGCTCCCGGCTGGCCTAAATATTAGTTGGCATTCAGTTGGCATCGATATTTATTGAATAATTTTCAGCTAAACCGCAACAAACTAAAATGCGTGATATGTATGTTGCATTTTTTATGAAGCATTTGTACTCTGTAATCTCTTTGTAATCTCTCGCCAGGTCGAGCACAGCCGTACCATCCTTTTTTCGAAGGTATTAGCGGCACTTTTGACCACCCTGTAACTTCGTTGTCAAAAATCTCGAAATATCCTTATATGGATTAAATAAAAGTTAGCTGTCTAGCCGCTACCGGTAACTGGATTTCCAGTCGAGAAAAAGATGGAAAACTAGAATTAATCGGAGCGGTCTCTTCTGATTTTATTTATACAGAGTATTGTAGCTAAACGATGAGATTTTTACAAATTGTAAGTTTTGGGTTCGATGAAGGACTATTAGAGGTACAATTTAAAAATAATTTTACAAGATACAGAGTGTCCCAAATAAGTAAAAAATATCAAAGTTGTATTTTTTTAAATGGAACACCCTGTATATTATTTCATTTTTAGTTTCTACGATTAAAATAAAGGTAAATTTGATTAAGGTTTATTATACTTAAACCTTACCGTTTTTGAAATATTTTCAATTTTGTGAAATTGCAGTAAAAATTTTAAGGCTTCATTTCTCCAAGGGTATCAAAGTTTTTAATACTAAATATTTACTGAAGTTTATTTATTGATCAGTTATTTTGTTGCAATAATAAAAATAATACTACCTTATACAGAGTGCCTAAAAATTAATTTTAAATAATTATTAGCTTCAAACGGCAATAACTTGTTTAATTTAAACGGAACACCTTGTATATTTTACGAGAATCAGATGCACAATTTAATTGTCTATCAAATTATATTATACCATTTTTTACCTATCTCTTTAAGTTTCCATAGAAAATGCATTTTCTTGTAATTTAGAACTTATTTATCAATATACCCATGGAATATTGACATTTTAGATTATTTTTAAAGATGTACCAAATTTTTAAAGAGTACAGATACTAAAATTGTCGATATAATTTGTTTATTTTATTAAAAAATAAAAAAAAAATGTTTAAATATTTGTTAAAGGGGACCAATTAATATGATTCCAGTATTCAAACTACATTAACTGACTGTTTGCGTTGATTAATAATAATTGCTCCAAATACTAAAAAACTGAATTTTGTATGGGTATTAGACAGTCTGATAAAAAGAAACACCTTAAAAATGACATTTCATTTTTTAATAAATACTTATTTATAACAACAGAGACTTTATTTTGATAACTTATTATTATATTGATTTCTGACTCAAATCCACATTTATTTAGAATAATTTATTAACGAACACAATTAAGTATGTAATTAATTAGTATATTGGCGGAAATAATGGTGTTATATTTAATTAATGGTATACTCTTTATAAAGATTTAAATAGTTTTCTTTTTGCATACATAATGGGCTAGTAATATTATCGTTTTGCTAAAAACGATAATATTACTAGCCTGTACATTTTGTACATTTGCTGCTTTAAAAAACAATCTAAAATGTCAATATTCCATGGGTCTATTGATAAATAGGGTCTAAATTATAAGAAAATGCATTTTCTACGAAAACTTGAAGGGATAGGTAAAAAATGGTATAATACAATTTGATAGACAATTAAATTGTTCATCTGATTCTCCTAAAATATTCAGGGCGTTCCATTTAAATTAAAGAAGTTATTGGCGTTTAAAGCTAGAAATTATTTAAAATAAATTTTTAGACACTCTGTATAAGGTAGTATTATTTTTATTATTGCAACACAATAACTGATCAATAAATAAACTTCAGTAAATATTTAGTATTAAAAACTTTGATACCCTTGGAGAAATGAAGTCTTGAAATTTTTACTGCAATTTCCCAAAATTGAAAATATTTCAAAAACGGTAAGGTTTAAGTATAATAAACCTTAATCAAATTTACCTTTATTTTAATCGTAGAAACTAAAAATGTAATAATATACAGGGTGTTCCATTTAAAAAAATGCAACTTTGATATTTTTTACTTATTTGGGACACTCTGTATCTTGTCAAATTATTTTTAAATTGTACCTCTAATAGTCCTTCATCGAACCCAAAACTTGAAATTTGTAAAAATATAATCGTTTAGCTACAATACTCCGTGTCGTATGTGGTGAACAACCCTGTATACCAATGTACCAACAATAATTCAAGGATTATGGATTTTTTCTAGCCAGACTTTAACTTGTAATGAAGAGTCCCTATTTATTTTTTTAGTTTAATATGTTAAATGCTAGGCTTGAACATATTTCGACCAAAGTATATTCGACTAAAGTATTCCGCTAGTTCGGAAGGCCGAACTCGGGAGGCCCGAGTTCGAGGCTGCATCGGGGCATAATTTTTTTTATTTTATTTTCGTTAATATTCTAATTGTAAAATATTAAATGCATATCTTAAACAATAATTCAAGGATTTATCTTTTATAGTTTTCGAGAAAAAAACCTCATAGGTTCCTCATAAAAAAATAATTTTGAATAAGAAACATTTTTAAAGTTGATATTTGAGTTATAACGAAAGTCGGAAACACAAGTCGTTAGAAAACTAGAATTAATTCTGACTTAATTAATTATACGATAATTCAAAGTTTATGAATTATAGTCAAACTTCTTTATAGTCAAATAACTGTAATAAGTTTTAAAGAAAAATATAAGCTCTTACCAGTCCCAGATACATTTTGCGTGATTTGACCGCCACCCATAGACATGGTATTTGTTTGTGATATCATCAGTCCTTGACCGCTTTGGGAAGTGACAGGATTCGCCCCGCTCATTTGCTGGGTGTTCCCCATTGGTAGTTGACCGCCGCCTTGGGGGTTCATTGGTTGACCATTTCCGCCCTAAAAACATTAATTTGCGTAAAATAACTATCTTTATTTAGCTATTGACAGGAAAACCTAAGGCTGTATTCCATTTCGTGTTAGTTTTGGTTTTCTGTTCCATTTCTATGTTTTGGCTGAAATTTTTATTATTACGGAACACGGTTCCTGAGAAATATCTGTTCCTATTGTCAGTATAAATCAGCGCAAAAAGGCTAGTTTTTCTGACCTGTTTGTTAGTGATATGGCAGTCGATGTCTTTTTTGTAGCAAAAAATACTTGAAATAGTTTTAACAGCTCATTCACAAACTTTGAATAAGAAGACTAAGGAAGGAGCATATTAAAAATCTTAGGGCCACCGCGACGGGCCTCAAATATGGCCGCCTTAAATTCCCGTTTATCAGTGCCGTTCTAATTTTATTTAAAAAATGTAAAACTATGATGTAGGGTAGACGTGGGGTAGACTCAATCATTTTTTTTTTAATTTTACGTTGTGAATAAATGTTGCTAGTTATTAAAATTATCTAATAAAAATGGATAAGTTATAATAATTATTTATAACCATAAACGTAGCGTATCGGATGTTGAAGCAGGTAAGTCAAATTGACGTATCTAAATTCTTTGACATCTAATCTTTGACAAGTAGTAAATAAAAGCAAAAATGCAAGAAAAAATATATAATTAGTTAATCTAGGTGAATTTCATAAATGATCGGTTTACTACACGTATGTATATTATATAGTCACTTACTAGGGAAAAGTTGTTCCATTATTTCACTCGATTTTTGCCGAGATCTACCGCACGCTACACAACCAACTATTTTAGAGCCTTTTTCGATAAATCGCGATAGTGTCACTGTTAATTTAAGTTCTGCCACGATTTCCATCTAGATTTACTACCTTTATACAACTATCAGTAGTAGAATAAATAATAAATAACATTCGTAAGCTCCGTAAAGACTGACAAATCCACAAAATTTCAAATCAAATTCAAATGTCTAAAATAAATCATCAAACAGAACTGTCAGGGATCACCACCCTAGAGTGCTTTTTCCGCCCACCATGCTGAAAGTGAGACCATTTGTCACCAAGCGAAATTCCCCAATGGCGTAACATCAGAAATTAGCTTGTACCTAAACGATACAAAATATTTATTAAAACGTAAACTAATATATCGTTCATTTTAGAGTAATGCATAAATATACAATTTTGTATTTTATAGTCTCACCTTTATAGTATTAGAATATCTAAGTCGATAATGCAAAATTTATTTAACAGTCACAGTGGACTGATCATCAAGACAATTGTTTATTTATTAACGTGTATATAATGTATAATTAAATAAAAAATATTGTAAATATATATGTTTTAAACGTGTATGTATATATATATATATATATATATATAGATTTATTAAACCGCTTATACGAGCCCAAAAACTACGTTGCTTCATTGGGCTCAGACCCGATTTCGACATTTCAGGCCCGGGGTCGGGTCTGAGTACGATTTCAGTGGTTATCGTCTAGAACGGTTTCCCCACTTCCCCTGACCAAATTTCAGCTGGGCCTGAAAAAATACGGCGTCAGCGATGGCTATGAAATCATCGATCGTCATTTACAAGCCAACTGGACGCTGTTTTTTTCGATCATACGGTATAATAATGAATCTAGCCAATCCCCTTCACACACGCTTACCGATTCAATGAATAATGTAATTTTTAATATTTGTTACCTTCAATCATAAGAATATCCTAATTTTCCACAAAAAAATAAACAATTCTAGAAGCTTTGTGTTATTTTATTTATTTTTAAATTTTTATTAATTACTCACTGAAACTATTATTATACACCAAATTTACCAAATATTTTGAAAGGATATTTAAAAAAATATAGTAACAAGTAGCCCACCACAAGTTTGTCCACCCCCAGCAAACCTTGGCAGGTAAATGTAAGTTTTATGTAACAACTATACATATAGAATTTTTATAACCAAAGTTTTTCATGTTTTTTTTTATAGTTTACAATTATTATTTTACATATTTGATAACAATACTGTATACATTTTTTTACATGTAAAATATATAAGAAAATGTTTATTGCAGAAATTGTATTTCTCTGATTATAATTCCCTACGTCACTGGAGAAATCCATGCTGAGTAGCATTATTTAAAGTTTTAAACATTAATTATAATACAGGATATTGAAAATACTACTTGGAATTATTAAAAATAGTTTAGTTTGTATGCGGTACAAGACATATTAAAAGCATTTTACATATTTTTACTGCTATAATGAAAAAAAATGTACATTTTATGAGTACATAACAAAAGTTGTGTATGGATTTTTACATGTGAAATGTAATTCCAGCCACTTTTTTCTCGCTTCGGCCTTTGCAGCCATACGCTGAACATCTCACCATACTAAACAACACAGTATATAAATTTAAAACAAAACAGTAGTCACAAAAAACATAAAAATTCGCTTAGTGTCACCTCGACATCTTGTCACCAAAGTATGGCCGCCAACCGAATTTTGGCCTCCAAAACAGATCACTGGAGACTTTGAATAAGAAGACTAAGGAAGGATTACAGTTGAGGATTACAGTTGAGTTTATAATCATCTGCTGATGATGCTAACATGGTTAGCGAAACGCGCGTCCAGTGTAAAAGTAAAAGTGTTTTGGTGTATTGTGGTAATTTAGTGTTTTTATTTTGTTAAGGAAGGAGCATAATGCTATCCATGTATTCATGCATGGTGGGCGAAAAAGCACTCTAGGGTGAGGATCCTTGACAGTTCTGTTTGACGATTCATTTGACACATTTGAATTTGATTTGAAATTTTGTGGATTTGTCAGTCTTTACGGAGCTTATTTTATGTTATTTATTATTTATTCTACTACTGATGGATTTGTATAAAGGTAGTAAAATCTAGATGGAAATGTGCAACGGCAAATTAACAGTGACACTATCGCGATTATCGAAAAGACTAATAGTTAGTTGTGTAGCGTGCGGCAGATCTCGGCAAAAAGTAGTGAAATAATGGAACAACTTTTCGCTAATGAAATTATTCTCATAATATACATACGTTAGTAGTAAACCGACCATTGAAATTCACTTAATTAACTTCTGATTATATATTTTTTCTTGCATTTAGCTTTATTTATTACTTGTCAAAAGATTTAGATACGTTAATTTGACTTACTTGCTTCAGTAGCGTATCGGATGTTTGTGTTAATAAAACTTATTATAACTTATCAATTTTATTAGAATTATATATTTTATAACAATTTTAATAACTACCAACATTTATTCACAACGTAAAATAAAACAACAAATTATTGAGTCTACCCCACGTCTACCCTACATCATAGTTTTACATTTTTTAAATAAAATTAGAATGACACTGATAAACCGGAATTTAAGTCGGCCATATTTGAGGCCCATCGCGGTGTACCTAAGATTTTTTATATGCTCCTTCCTTAGTCTTCTTATTCAAAGACTGGAGAATATGCGTGTTACCCGTCCCCTCTCTTTCCTTGTCTAAGATTTATCATCATTAAATTTAAAACGTTCTATAATAAGAATTTTGAAATTTGTTATATTAGTTTTACAAACTGTTCTTAGGAACCGAACCGTAATTTTCAGCATGCATTAAAAAAGTATCATGACATACATAAATTGAAACATCATGACAATACAGACACTTAAATAAAAAAAAAAGAAGTATAATACTATACCTGTCGCATTTGCGTTGATTTTTGTTGTTGAATAACTTTTCTCAGTCTATCCACAAACGCTACTTGGTCATTTGGTATAAAACCCAGATATGCCCTCTTATCTGCAGTGTACAGAAGAATAAGTACTTTGATATCACATGATGGGGGATTTTGGGTGTTTGTAAAATGCACACAACCAGCCTAAAAATTGCATGATAAAAATTAGTTAAAATTATGTTTAAAAATAACCAGTGTGTACCAAAAATTTTAATAAGTTGTGAATAATTTGGCTGACACTGTATACCAAGAAAGATTCTCTGCATTTATTTGTATTTATTTCATTTGTTACTTACAAAGCCAGAATTCATGACTCTCGTTAATGATTCTAGCGCCTCACAATGCGTGGGATGGAACAAGACCGATTTGGAATTCTTTAGATAAGACCCGCCAATATTACCAATCAATTGCTTTGGCATTAACTGCATAATAAGCTTTTGAGGCCATCCATCTGCTTTCCTAAGAAATCGATTTAAAATTAAATCAAAATTAAACACTTTAAAAACATAGTCTGCCTACATTTCGGGTTCGCCATCTTTGGAACTGGATGAAACTTGACAAGGAACGTGCCTAGTGACTTTTTGTTGATCTGTAGGATTTTTAGGTTTCTCAATCCATTCAAGCACACCCTGCCAAATAGTATGACGTTCCCTGCTGCTCTGTGGAGGAGCCGCTTGCGTATTCTAAAACAAAGTTGATAATAAAATCATCTGTAGTAAGGTTCCCTAACCGGGATCCCGGTGTATGTTTATCCCCGAAATCCCGATATTAAATAGTTAAAAACCCAAACTAAAAATTTTCGAAAGAAATCAGTACATGTATAATATTATTTCATATATTTTTCATTTTATTGATTTTATGGAAAGCACTGTTCATTAAAATGTTGTATCCTATGTTATAGGGCTTGTTTCTCTCTACAATTTCCTGTCTCACAATGTACCGTTTGTGTCCGGGAAGGGATCACAGTTTCAGAGTTGTCAATTTTCGAAAGAAATCAGTACATGTATAATATTATTTCATACATTTTACATTATATTAATTTTATGGAAAGCACTGTTCATTAAAATGTTGTATCCTATGTTATAGGGCTTGTTTCTCTCTACAATTTCCTGTCTCACAATGTACCGTTTGTGTCCGGGAAGGGATCATAGTTTCAGAGTTGTCGATTTTCGAAGAAATCGAGCACATGTATAATATTATTTCATATATTTTACATTATATTAATTTTATGGAAAGCACTGTTCTATTAAAATGTTGTATCCCATGTTATAGGGCTTGTTTCTCTCTACAATTTCCTGTCTCACAATGTACCGTTTGTGTCCGGAAGGGATCATAGTTTCAGAGTTGTCGATTTTCGAAAGAAATCAGTACATGTATAATATTATTTCATATATTTTACATTATATTAATTTTATGGAAAGCACTGTTCATTAAAATGTTGTATCCCATGTTATAGGGCTTGTTTCTCTCTACAATTTCCTGTCTCACAATGTACCGTTTGTGTCCGGGAAGGGATCATAGTTTCAGAGTTGTCGATTTTCGAAAGAAATCAGTACATGTATAATATTATTTCATATATTTTACATTATATTAATTTTATGGAATAGTGATGGGCAAAACTGTTATTTTTAGATAACAGTTGAAACTGTTATAGTTATTTATAAAAAACAGCTTAAAATAACAGCTTAAAAATAACAGGTTTCTTTATTTTATTGCTAAATATCTGAAAGAGTATGAAGCGGTCGCCGCCAGGCGTATTAACGCAGTTGCAAGTTGCTACAATGACATGCTCGGTGGTAGTATTTCCAGGGTGTCTAAAATTTCTAAATATCGATTGTTATCTAAATACCTCTCTAAAAACGGTCGTTGTTTACAAATAAGCGCTGTTTACAAATTGCGATATAAAAAAAGCCAAAATTCCGCCACTCGTCTATACGTATACATTCCGATCTACCTACGCCTTGCCCCTCGATCGGCGTAGATCACAATTGCGTAGCAGTGTACAGGGTGCATCTCACTCGACGGACAAGAAGCTCTTAGTTATAATTTTACCATTTGTGGTCAAAAATAGCAATATAAGAAAATGTGTAATTACATATTCTTCATAAGTAAACCAACTATACACTAGAGTTCAGTTAATTTTACACTTAAACTAGCGTGTACCCGCGACTTCGTTCGCGTCGAATTAATAATTTGTAATGGTGATGATAAAGCAAAGCAAAAATTTCTATTGACATACAAACTGGATAAAATTTTCTCACATTTGCCAAAAATAAGCTTTAAACGTCGAGCAGTTTAAGCAGATCATTGGTTAATCAATTACTCAACTTTTGGAACACCCTGTATTATTTTTTAAAAAATTTCAAAATATGTAAAAAACAAAATAAATTATGCGTGTCAAGCGTTTCCCGAAAGACTAACCGTTTTTAAATAACAAATATTGTAATATTTGAGGGGCGTTTTCACCCTCTTGGAATTTAAGATTCGAGAAACCCCTCCTTATCAACCTCAACCCCACAGTCAATCCGTTTGCCAAAATCAGCTTTAAACGTTAAGCAGAATCGTGATTACTCAATGGTCACATTTTATGAAACACCCTGTATATATTTTTAAAATCTTAAAATATGTAAAACAACAGAAAATAAAATATACGTGTTTAAAGAGTTTTCAGGAAAACTCACCGGTTTTTAAAATAAAAATATTCTAATATTTGAGGTGGTTTCACTTCCTTTAATTCGAGTTTCGAAAAATCCTTCTTATCGAACCTCTACACCCTAAAGTCAATCCGTTTTCCAAAAATCAGCTTTTTTACGTCCAAGGGCTTTAAGCAGGATCGTGATTAATCAATGACCAGATTTTCAAAACACCCTGTATATATTTTTAAAAAATCTTAAAATATTATTCTGAAAATTTTCAGAATAAATAAATACCTAAATATTGAAACTTAATAACGTACTGAAACATACAGCGCCATAATATCTCGACCTCCGCCCGTTATGCTCGTAACGGGTTGAAAAACAATATATCTAAAACAACTGATGCGTTATTCTCCAACCTGTTTCGAACTTCCATCGACAATCGACCGATGCAGCAGCCTTCCTTTCCCACTCCTGTTATCTCGACCGCCAGGCGTTATGCCCGCAACTGTTTCAAAAACCTGCTTCTTTTATATCCTATTATTTTTAAGCTGTTATAAGCGCAATACGACCGTCGACGGGATCGACCGAAGCAGCTACGTTCGCCGCGCATTCCCCCACTCCGTTGTCCGTTGTCTCGCCGCCTGTATCGATGGTTGACGATATAACAGGTTTTCCATCCATACTAGTTGTTTTTTGGAATTGCTTTGAGCAGCATAGAATTTCGGGGCGGTGCAGAGCGCCGACTTCGTTTTCGTTTCACGGCGGCCGATCTCCACGGTATTAATTTACATTTTATATCTGTTATTTTTTAGAAGTAGTAACGGTTGCGTTATGTTATTTCTAAATAATTGTTATAAAATAACAGATAGTTAAATAACAACCCATCACTATTATGGAAAGCACTGTTCATTAAAATGTTGTATCCCATGTTATAGGGCTTGTTTCTCTCTACAATTTCCTGTCTCACAATGTACCGTTTGTGTCCGGGAAGGGATCATAGTTTCAGAGTTGTCGATTTTCGAAAGAAATCAGTACATGTATAATATTATTTCATATATTTTACATTATATTAATTTTATGGAAAAGCACTGTTCATTAAAATGTTGTATCCCATGTTATAGGGCTTGTTTCTCTCTACAATTTCCTGTCTCACAATGTACCGTTTGTGTCCGGGAAGGGATCATAGTTTCAAGTTGTCGATTTTTCAGAAAGAAATCAGTACATATAATATTATTTCATATATTTTACATTATATTAATTTTATGGAAAGCACTGTTCATTAAAATGTTGTATCCCATGTTATAGGGCTTGTTTCTCTCTACAATTTCACCAATCTCACAATGTACCGTTTGTGTCAGGAAGGGATCATAGTTTCAAGTTGTCGATTTTCGAAAGAAATCAGTACATGTATAATATTATTTCATATATTTTTACATTATATTAATTTTATGGAAAGCACTGTTCATTAAAATGTTGTATCCCATGTTATAGGGCTTGTTTCTCTCTACAATTTCCTGTCTCACAATGTACCGTTTGTGTCCGGGAAGGGATCATAGTTTCAGAGTTGTCGATTTTCGAAAGAAATCAGTACATGTATAATATTATTTCATATATTTTACATTATATTAATTTTATGGAAAGCACTGTTCATTAAAATGTTGTATCCCATGTTATAGGGCTTGTTTCTCTCTACAATTTCCTGTCTCACAATGTACGTTTGTGTCAGGGAGGGATCATAGTTTCAGAGTTGTCGATTTTCGAAAAGAAATCAGTACATGTATAATATTATTTCATATATTTTACATTATATTAATTTTTATGGAAAGCACTGTTCATTAAAATGTTGTATCCCATGTTATAGGGCTTGTTTCTCTCTAATTTCCTGTCTCACAATGTACCGTTTGTGTCCGGGAAGGGATCATAGTTTCAAGTTGTCGATTTTCGAAAAGAAATCAGTACATGTATAATATTATTTCATATATTTTACATTATATTAATTTTATGAAAGCACTGTTCATTAAAATGTTGTATCCCATGTTATAGGGCTTGTTTCTCTCTACAATTTCCTGTCTCACAATGTACCGTTTGTGTCCAGGAAGGGATCATAGTTTCAGAGTTGTCGATTTTCGAAAGAAATCAATTGCATGTATATTATTTCATATATTTTACATTATATTAATTTATGGAAAGCACTGTTCATTAAAATGTTGTATCCCATGTTATAGGGCTTGTGTTCTCTCAATTTCCTGTCTCACAATGTACCGTTTGTGTCCAAGGAAGGGATCGCGGTTTCAGAGTTGTCGATTTTTCCGAAGAAATCAGTACATGTATAATATTATTTCATATATTTTACATTATATTAATTTTATGGAAGCACTGTTCATTAAAATGTTGTATCCCATGTTATAGGGCTTGTTTCTCTCTACAATTTCCTGTCTCACAATGTACCGTTTGTGTCAGGGAAGGGATCATAGTTTCAGAGTTGTCGATTTTCAGAAAGAAATCAGGTATGTATAATATTATTCATATATTTTACATTATATTAATTTTATGAAGGACACTGTTCATTAAAATGTTGTATCCCATGTTATAGGGCTTGTTTCTCTCTACAATTTCCTGTCTCACAATGTACCGTTTATTGTCCGGGAAGGGATCATAGTTTCAGAGTTGTCGATTTTCGAAAAGAAATCAGTACATGTATAATATTATTTCATATATTTTACATTATATTAATTTTATAATAGCACTTTGTTCATTAAAATGTTGTATCCCATGTTATAGGGCTTGTTTCTCTCTACAATTTCCTGTCTCACAATGTACCGTTTGTGTCCGGGAAGGGATCATAGTTTCAGAGTTGTCGATTTTCGAAAGAAATCAGTACATGTATAATATTATTTCATATATTTTACATTATATTAATTTTATGGAAAGCACTGTTCATTAAAATGTTGTATCCCATGTTATAGGGCTTGTTTCTCTCTACAATTTCCTGTCTTACAATGTACCGTTTGTGTCCGGGAAGGGATCATAGTTTCATAGTTGTCGATTTTCGAAAGAAATCAGTACATGTATAATATTATTTCATATATTTTACATTATATTAATTTTATGGAAAGCACTGTTCATTAAAATGTCGTATCCTATGTTATAGAGGCTTGTTTCTCTCTACAATTTCACAATCTTACAATGTACCGTTTGTGTCCGGGAAGGGATCATAGTTTCATAGTTGTCCCATTTTCGAAAGAAATGGTACATGTATAATATTATTTCATATATTTTATTATATTAATTTTATGGAAAGCACTGTTCATTAAAATGTTGTATCCCATGTTATAGGGCTTGTTTCTCTCTACAATTTCTGTCTTACAATGTACCGTTTGTGTCCGGGAAGGGATCATAGTTTCATAGTTGTCGATTTTCGAAAAGAAATCCAGTACATGTATAATATTATTTCATATATTTTACATTATATTAATTTTATGGAAAGCACTGTTCATTAAAATGTCATTATCCTATGTTATAGGGCTTGTTTCTCTCTACAATTTCCTGTCTTACAATGTACCGTTTGTGTCAGGAAGAGGATCATAGTTTCATAGTTGTCGATTTTCGAAAGAAATCAGTACATATATAATATTATTTCATATATTTTACATTATATTGAATTTTATGGAAAGCTACTGTTCATTAAAATGTTTATCCCATGTTATAGGGCTTGTTTCTCTCTACAATTTCCTGTCTCACAATGTACCGTTTGTGTCCGGGAAGGGATCATAGTTTCAAGAGTTGTCGATTTTCGAAAGAAATCAGTACATGTATAATATTATTTCATATATTTTACATTATATTAATTTTATGGAAAGCACTGTTCATTAAAATGTTGTATCCCCATGTTATAGGGCTTGTTTCTCTCTACAATTTCTGTCTCACAATGTACCGTTTGTGTCCGGGAAGGGATCATAGTTTCAGAGTTGTCGATTTTCGAAAGAAATCAGTACATGTATAATATTATTTCATATATTTTACATTATATTAATTTTATGGAAAGCACTGTTCATTAAAATGTTGTATCATATTATAGGGCTTGTTTCTCTCTACAATTTCCTGTCTCACAATGTACCGTTTGTGTCCGGGAAGGGATCATAGTTTCAGAGTTGTCGATTTTCGAAAATCAGTACATTGTATAATATTATTTCATATATTTTTACATTATATTAATTTATGGAAAGCACTGTTCATTAAAATGTTGTATCCCATGTTATAGGACTTGTTTCTCTCTGTTTCCTGTCTCATACAATGTACCGTTTGTGTCCGGGAAGGATCATAGTTTCAGAGTTGTCGATTTTCGAAAGAAATCAGTACATGTATAATATTATTTCATATATTTTTACATTATATTAATTTTATGGAAAGCACTGTTCATTAAAATGTTGTATCCATGTTATAGGGCTTGTTTCTCTCTACAATTTCCTGTCTCACAATGTACCGTTTGTTGTCCGGGAAGGGATCATAGTTTCAGAGTTGTCGATTTTCGAAAGAAATCAAGTACATATAATATTATTTCTATATATTTTACATTATATTAATTTTATGGAAAGCACTGTTCATTAAAATGTTGTATCCCATGTTATAGGAAGCTTGTTTCTCTCTACAATTTCCTGTCACAATGTACCGTTTGTGTGTGTCCGGGAAGGGATCATAGTTTCAGAGTTGTCGATTTTCGAAAGAAATCAGTACATGTATAATATTATTTCATATATTTTACATTATATTAATTTTATGGAAAGCACTGTTCATTAAAATGTTGTATCCCATGTTATAGGGCTTGTTTCTCTCTACAATTTCCTGTCTCACAATGTACCGTTTGTGTCCGGGAAGGGATCATAGTTTCAGAGTTGTCGATTTTCGAAATCAGTACATCATAATATTATTTCCATATATTTTTACATTATATTAATTTTATGGAAAGCACTGTTCATTAAAATATCGTATCCTATATGTTATAGGGCTTGTTTCTCTCTACAATTTCCTGTCTTACAATGTACCGTTTGTGTCCGGGAAGGGATCATAGTTTCATAGTTGTCGATTTTCGAAAGAAATCAGTACATGTATAATATTATTTCATATATATTTACATTATATTAATTTTATGGAAAGCACTGTTCATTAAAATGTCGTATCCTATCATTATAGAGGCTTGTTTCTCTCTACAATTTCCTGTCTTACAATGTACCGTTTGTGTCCAGGAAGGGATCATAGTTTCATAGTTGTCGATCGAAAAAATCAGTATATGCTTATAATATTATTTCATATATTTTACATTATATTAATTTTATGGAAAGCACTGTTCATTAAAATGTCGTATCCTATGTTATAGGGCTTGTTTCTCTCTACAATTTCCTGTCTTACAATGTACCGTTTGTGTCCGGGAAGGGATCATAGTTTCATAGTTGTCGATTTTCGAAAGAAATCAGTACATGTATAATATTATTTCATATATTTTACATTATATTAATTTTATGGAAAGCACTGTTCATTAAAATGTCGTATCCTATGTTATAGGGCTTGTTTCTCTCTACAATTTCCTGTCTTACAATGTACCGTTTGTGTCCGGGAAGGGATCATAGTTTCATAGTTGTCGATTTTCGAAAGAAATCAGTACATGTATAATATTATTTCATATAATACATTATATTAATTTTATGGAAAGCACTGTTCATTAAAATGTCCGTATCCTATGTTATAGGGCTTGTTTCTCTCTACAATTTCCTGTCTTACAATGTACCGTTTGTGTCCGGGAAGGGATCCATAGTTTTTCATAGTTGTCGATTTTCGAAAGAAATCAGTACATGTATAATATTATTTCATATATTTTACATTATATTAATTTTATGGAAAGCACTGTTCATTAAAATGTTGTATCCTATGTTATAGGGCTTGTTTCTCTCTACAATTTCCTGTCTCACAATGTACCGTTTGTGTCCGGGAAGGGATCATAGTTTCATAGTTGTCGATTTTCGAAAGAAATCAGTACATGTATAATATTATTTCATATATTTTTCATTTTATTAATTTTATAGAAAGCACTGTTCATTAAAATGTTGTATCCCATGTTATAGGGCTTGTTTCTCTCTACAATTTCCTGTCTCACAATGTACCGTTTGTGTGTCCGGGAAGGGATCACATAGTTTCATAGTTGTCGATTTTCGAAAGAAATCAGTACATGTATAATATTATTTCATATATTTTACATTATATTAATTTTATGGAAAGCACTGTTCATTAAAATGTTGTATCTATGTTAGGGCTTGTTTCTCTCTACAATTTCCTGTCTCACAATGTACCGTTTGTGTCCGAGGAAGGATCATAGTTTCATAGTTGTCGATTTTCGAAAGAAATCAGTACATGTATAATATTATTTCATATATTTTACATTATATTAATTTTATGGAAAAGCACTGTTCATTAAAATGTTGTATCCTATGTTATAGGGCTTGTTTCTCTCTCTACAATTTCCTGTCTCACAATGTACCGTTTGTGTCCAGGGAAGGGATCATAGTTTCATAGTTGTCGATTTTCGAAAGAAATCAGTACATATATAATATTATTTCATATATTTTACATTATATATTAATTTTATGGAAAGCACTGTTCATTAAATGTTGTATCCTATGTTATAGGGCTTGTTTCTCTCTCTACAATTTCTGTCTCACAATGTACCGTTTGTGTCCGGGAAGGATCATAGTTTCATAGTTGTCGATTTTCAGAAAGAAATCAGTACATGTATAATATTATTTCATATATTTTTCATTTTATTGATTTTATAGGAAGCACTGTTCATTAAAATGTTGTATCCCATGTTATAGGGCTTGTTTCTCTCTACAATTCTGTCTTACAATGTACCGTTTGTGTCCGGGAAGGGATCATAGTTTCATAGTTGTTAAATTTCGAAAGAAATCAAGTACATGTATATATTATTTCATATATTTTACATTATATTAATTTTATGAAACTTTTGTTCATTAAAATGTCGTATCCTATGTTATAGGGCTTGTTTCTCTCTACAATTTCCTGTCTTACAATGTACCGTTTGTGTCCGGGAAGGGATCATAGTTTCATAGTTGTCGATTTTCGAAAAAGAAATCAGTACATGTATAATATTATTTCATATATTTTTACATTATATTAATTTTATGGAAAGCACTGTTCATTAAATATGTCGTATCCTATGTTATAGGGCTTGTTTCTCTCTACAATTTCCTGTCTTACAATGTACCGTTTGTGTGTCCGGGAAGGGATCTAGTTTCATAGTTGTCGATTTTCGAAAGAAATCAGTATATGTATATTATTTCATATTTTACACATTATATTAATTTTATGGAAAGCACTGTTCATTAAAATGTTGTATCCTATGTTATAGGGGCTTGTTTCTCTCTACAGAAATTTCCTGTCTCACAATGTACCGTTTGTGTCCGGGAAGGGATCATAGTTTCATAGTTGTCGATTTTCGAAAGAAATCAGTACATGTATAATATTATTTCATATATTTTTCATTTTATTAATTTTATAGAAAGCACTGTTCATTAAAATGTTGTATCCCATGTTATAGGGCTTGTTTCTCTCTACAATTTCCTGTCTCACAATGTACCGTTTCTGTCCGGGAAGGGATCATAGTTTCATAGTTGTCGATTTTCGAAAGAAATCAGTACATGTATAATATTATTTCATATATTTTACATTATATTAATTTTATGGAAAGCACTGTTCATTAAAATGTTGTATCCTATGTTATAGGGCTTGTTTCTCTCTACAATTTCCTGTCTCACAATGTACCGTTTGTGTTGGGGAAGGGATCATAGTTAATAACTTTTGACAGTTATAGGACAGTAATTGATAGAACCCCATAAAGTTATTGACTGTAAATTATTTTAGTAATGACACAAAACCTTATACTATGCAAAAAAACAAAAAACATTTCTTGTAAGAACATTAATGATAAACTTACCTGTGCTTGTGAAGTAACAACAGGATTGGGCTGAGAAACCTGAGGCATTGGGGAATTTATAGATGGATTCTGAGCCATTGAAGTTTGAACATTAGGCTGTTGTCCCATATTCATTTTATTTATGGGTGAATTCGCGTTAACGTTAACTAGATATTAAAAAAAAATTGAAAAAAAAAATATTAATATAATACCTTAAGAAGGAAAAATTAACGCGTCAGAGTAGCCATTAAAATGAAAATCGATAATTTCTGTCGAGTCAAAAATTTATATTTAGTTAAAAAAAAAATTCCTAGATAATAGTAATGTGCTTTTAATGGGCTCTTTCACAAAAAATTAAATACCCAATTCAAGGATAAAATCTGAAATAGAAGACTATTTTCAGTATATTTATCCAAAAAAAATAGTTCCATGACACTGAATAATTTTTTTATAGGCCCTCAAAATTGCTTTAATTTGAAATAATTTTAAAGCGCCAATTGATGACGTATGAAAAATACGCCCAATCACACTGCAGAACCGTGCTCGTCCCCCAGCCAACAACTGGCAACATTGCGATTTGATTTGACCAGCACCACCTCAACTCAAGGCCAATCAACATGATATGGGCAGGGCAAATATGGCGACGAAGGCAGCGCATTATTAAATTGTTTACCTTTAACCTGACAAGCCGGTAGTGGTTTCTCGTTCCGATTGCATACCAGAAATAATTAATTATCTCTAGTTTGTTGTGCTTCCGCAACACGTTTGTTTAGTTCTTAGTGTTCAGTGCATGGTGTGATCAGAAAATTGTGAAAATAACAGTGTAAAAAATCCAAACAGACATTCCACATAGGGAACTTCAAACTTTTGTGCTTGTCGTACTCCTCTATTATTAATTATTTTAAGGTAAGAACTAGAAGTATTTATCAAGATATTACACCTAAATGAGTAAAAGCCTTCACCTCAGTCTGCATAGTACCTTATAATGGTTACTTACAATAATCAAAAGATAGGTATTAAAGGGTAGGTAGTAACATTTTATTAGCATACCTTTTGCATGCTCTGTTCCCAAATTGTCCACGATCATTATAGAGGGGTCCCAAGGTTTCTGCTTTTATATTCCCCAAAATGACGAGCTTCGTAAAAATGATTGACAGCTATTAAAAGAGATAATTTCACTCCTACTAGTAGTTCTCGGGTAAGAAGTGCATTAAATATGCCTCAAAAGGCCAAGGCCCCAAAGCCTCTGTTACCCTAGTGAGGGATGTAGTTATGGATACAGCCACACTTACCTTACTACAAGTAAAATATTGGGAGAATAGACAAGCTTTTTACATCAAAAGATCACAGAAAGATATTGACAACATTCACATTTGAAAATATAAATGGCCTGGATGTAAGTCTTTTTTAGGTCTCACAATTGCCCCTCACATATGTCCAAATTTATTATTAAATCCATCTTGTTCCAGAATATCCAATATTTTATTGAAGAACTATGCAAAAAAAAAAGAAATGACGTTATAAAAAGGTATTTAGTTTTTTCTATATAAATCTTGAAACACATATTATATTTTTTAGTTATCCTCACCTATTATAGTTTAAATTTATTCCCATTTGTGTAATGCTGCAAAACATAAGAAAATTATTCATATTTTTTACTGACCAGTGTAGTTTCTAATTCCAGAGCATTTACCAAGGCTTTTACTAAGACAAGTAACTTCCTATACTGTCCATAATAGTATATATTTATCAAACGTGCAGTAAATTCTAAACTATGGTACAGGTAAGTGTTTCCAATTGAATATTTAGTTTATATTGCTATTTTCTGTCATATATTTCTGGTTATTTCTTTTCCGATGATTTTGAACACCCTATATATGCTACCTCAAGTTTGAATATTTACACTAGTACACTACCTACTATTTTCTGAGAAAAGCAGACCTTTTTATAAAAAGTAACTAACTGATGTTTCATAAAAGTAATAATACAAAAAATTCCATACTTATGTGGAGAGCTTTAGACTCCCTGTATATTAAAAAAATCAGTGAAATATTACGTAATCTAACGCGACATTTGTGTGAAAAATGTCTATTTGGAAATAAAACAGGTTTTAAAATACGCGCCAAATAAAGCACTTCTAACTCCGCTTCATATTGGAAAAGGTTGAATGGCCTTGTGTGGAGGCAGTGGTGGGTCATGCATGGCCCGGGCGTTGCCGCTTTTCAACATGCCAGGTGTGACGTATTAAAAATAAAGTGCGGATTTTTGTTCTGGGCTTTTTTGTTTTTATTTATTTTCTTAAGAACGACTTCAAATTTTTCGAAAGTGAGATAGCAGAAAATTCTAGAATTAATTGCTTTATTCAATTATGCTAATTCCAAAATATAGTGAAAGAGCCCATTCTATATATAAAATAACCAATTTCCAAGCCATCTCTGTCGCCGTTTTTTTTCGATGGTATGATACATACTTTGTCCAAATTGGTTGACATTTACGTTGCTGGCAGATATAGAAGGAGGTTGGTTGAGTTGAGCTATCAGGGCACTTCCACCAGATGTAGTGTTGACAGGCTGATTCTGAGGCATATATGGTCGCGGTTGCTGAGTGGGTGGCGGCATAGGCCATGTCGGTCTATTTCCTGTTTTTTTAACAAACTATTAGTACATTTATTTTTAAATAAGTGATCATTTGATAATCTAAGTTAATTAAAACATAGCTAATGTAGGATATTCAATTTTCTATAACTACAATCTGTATAACAAAAGAAAAATACACAAATCACTACACAAATAAAAGAAAAATACTCAAATACACAAATTAACCAACAAAAAATCAGAAATATTGATAAATAATAATTGGAACACTTTATTACCTATTTTTTTAGAAGTCATTATTATTTTAAAGTTTTATTGAGATTTTAAATAGCAAATTTCCACATTATCAAGCCTGTCTTAAGTATGTATACAGCGTATGTCCCAGAGGTCTATATAAAATTCCACTGTACGTTCTTAAGGTTAAGATATTTAGTTAACTATTTATTTTGGATTAAAACCTTTCAGGAACATTCTGTATCTAGTATACCTGGTGCCTCTCAAAAGTCTCTCCCCTATAACTTTTTTATTTTTACAGATAAAAAAAAACAGATTTGGTATTTTAGTATATGACATAGATTGACTTATTCAGTTGTTTATGGTCATTTCCTGTTTCACCGGAAATGACTTCAACTGTTGATTTTTAAATGACACCCTCAGTATTATTTACTTTATTCAATAGAAAATGACACTCTGAATACAATGACATATCATATGTCAACTTTTGACATTTTCGCCTATATGGTTTCTTCTTTGAATAAGAAGACTAAGGAAGGAGCATAATGCTATCCATGTATTCATGCATGGTGGGCGGAAAAGCCACCATAAAAGCTCTCTAGGGTGGGGATCCTTGACAGTTCTGTTAGACGATTCATTTGACATATTTGAATTTGATTTGAAATTTTGTGGATTTGTCAGTCTTTACGGAGCTTATTTTATGTTATTTGTTATTTATTCTACTACTGATAGTTGTATAAAGGTAGTAAATCTAGATGGAAATTGTGGCAGAACTTAAATTAACAGTGACACTATCGCGATTTATCGAAAAAGACTCTAAAATAGTTGGTTATTGTAGCGTGCGGTAGATCTCGGCAAAAATTGGTGAAATAATGGAACAACTTTTAAAGCTTCAGTAAGTGACTATATAATATACATACGTGTAGTAAACCGATCATTATGAAATTTACTTAAATTAACTAAATTATATATTTTTCTTGCATTTAGCTTTTATTTATTACTTGTCAAAGATTAGATGTCAAAGAATTTAGATACGTTAATTTGACTTACCTGCTTCAGTAGCGTATCGGATGTTTGTGTTAATAAATACTTATTATAACTTATCTATTTTTATTAGAATTATATATTTTTATAACACTTTTAATAACTACCAACATTTATTTACAACGTAAAATAAAACAACAAATTATTGAGTCTACCCCACGTCTATAGACTACATCATAGTTTTACATTTTTTAAATAAAATTAGAACGACACTGATAAACCGGAATTTAAGTCGGCCATATTTGAGGCCCATCGCGGTGTACCTAAGATTTTTGATATGCTCCTTCCTTAGTCTTCTTATTCAAAGGGTTTCTTTCAAATTTTTTCAATTTGACTCAAAATACCAATTGTGTGGTACCAAATAATTAGTAAAAAAATGATTTTTCCACCGTTGCTCCATTTGAAAAAATTGAGATATAATTATTAAAAATATGATTTGGGCATCTTTTAACCAGACAGGACAAGACACAAAAAACCTTAGACGATCAAATATATTTTTCCAAGGCTCCTTCATTAAATATTAGTGCTTTTAACACAGCCATGGCACTCTAGATTGAAAAAAGTTGACATATGATATGTCGTTCTATTCAGAATGTCATTTTCTATCGAATAAAGTAAAAATATACCAAAGGTGCCGTTTAAAAATCAAAAGTTTTAGTCATTTCCAGTGAAACAGGAAGTGATCAAAAATAATTAAATATGTCAATCAATACTAATTTATGTCATACACTAACACACCGAATTTCATTTTTCTATCAAAAAAAATAAAAAGTTATAGGGGCGAGCCACTTTTGAGATTACACCCGGTATGGCAAAAAACGGCAGCAACCTTTTTATTACATAATATTTAGTTATTGAAACAAGTACATGAAAAACAATAAATACTGGATAATATTTTTTTCTCTATTTGTTGCAAACTTTTTGGTACATACTATATAAAATAAAATTCTTACCTGTAGCAGCATGATAACCAGGTGGGGCAGGCATACCTGCCATTCCCATAGGAGCCATTTGAGTCGTTTGCATTATTCTACCAACTATATTAAGAAAATACAATATAATTATATTCACTATATTAAAGTGTAAACAATAAGACTCCCAACTCCTTGTTAGAAGCCAATTCTTAGTTTAATCAGTATAAAGTGCCAACCTACCTTGAGGATTTGGTGATCGATACACTGGACTTTGTCCAACAGTAGGCGAGTTATTACCCATCATGTTTGGATTCTGAGGTGTACCAATTTGTGAGTTATGTATTGGGCTGTCGTTTCCAGTTAACGGACTGGGCATAGAAGTTATAGGAAGAGGATTTGATGAAAGTTGAGGTTGATTGGTCACTGTGCCTGGAGGTGGACTTACCGGTCTTTCTTTTAAGCTATTTTTTTAAATAAATATATTTTTACTTATAACAATATTTATATTTTATTTGCTACCAACCTAAATCCTTTTAATAGAACTAAATGTCTGGGATCTCTAGCATAATTCTTTGTTTGTGAGGCAATAAGATCTCCACCACTCTTTTCAAACAACTTGTATAAGGGTGGTATTTTTCTAGGTGAAATAATTGACAAATTAACATTTTTCTAAAAAAAAAAAATAACAGATATGATTGGCTATCTTACTATTACAAAACTTACCTCTTGTAATATGGAGGCCAATTGTTCAGCATTTTTTCCAGCATATTGTTGACATTCAAACACCGGTAACAAATAAGGTGGCGAATTGCAAATCAAAATGCAATGCTTCTGAGTTACAATGTTAGGATCACGTTTTAACTGTAGCTCCTCAAAACAACACAGAGCTGTGGCTAGACCTTCAGCTATGTTGGCATGTGATTCTCCTTTTCCACCAATCAGTCTATCAAAATGAAGCTAATTAATAGAAATCTTTTTCATAAATTTTAAAACTTACTCAAGTCTTTCTATAGCGCTTATTACTTTGCTTGGACTTGAAAAAGGCCCAAAAGTATCACTACTTAGGCGCGGTAAACAATCAGCAGCTTGATATGTAACAATGCCGTAGGAAGAATTTGAGTTTTCTGATATATAGCTATTTTCATCTATACTACCTTGATTAAAATATCTTAAATAAAATACATTATAGTTAAAAAAAATATTATTATTCGGACTATAACTTACTCAATAGTAGGAATAATATATTTAAATGTTATATCTTCAATATAGGCTCCATTAACTGCTGTTGCTTCTATAAGAAAAACAACATCGGCCTGAATGCCGTGATCTGGCGTACACACTACCATATTTTAAATTTATAAATCACACTATTTTAAACCCAAAAAAGGATTAATTTTCAAATATTTTTAAATAATTCCGATTCCCATTCGTAATCACTCAAACGGTAAACAAAAAACAGCAGAGAAGAGACAGCAGTAAACAGAAAAACATTTCACAAATGTCCACAACTGAACTTTTCTGTCAATTGTCAATGTAAATTTATTATAAGTCTTTCTCTATGGTCAATTTGATCATATACTTGTACAAATATTTTGCAGACCATGATCATATATAATTAGTAATGTTTATCAAAGTAAGGATTTTCTGGGTTACCACAGATTACAAAAATGTAAATTTTAGTGATGACCATTTGATCACCAACCAGAGTTAGTCCTGGCAGCTTAGGCCGTAAAACTAATCAAGAGAGAAGAAGAAATCAGCTGATCTGAGTAATGACTAATGACGCTGTCTATTGTCAAATCAAAAATAAATAAAAATATAAGAAAAAACAAATACATATATTATATTCTAGAAAAAACGAAAGAAACATACAGCATACAATTTATGCTTAAATTTTGAATCATTTTATAAGTATCAAAAATGGCGTCCGCAATTTCCGATAAAATTAAAGAGCGACGCAATAGGGTTTGTATTAAATGAATATATAGGCGAACAATGAATATTGTAATTGTCTAACTATGTATTATCGTTAATAGGTTTTATTAGGACCTCTGCCTGATGATTTTTTACGTGTTAATATTTCTCCTCAAGAGCAGCAAGAAGCGGCCGACCGACAAGCGGCTATCGCTTTGCAGCAGCAATATAGTAGTGTTGGTGGGATATACTATATACTGTATAGTTCTGGCTTTATTATTATTCTTTCATTATAATTCTTTCCAGGTATGGCACAAGCGCAAAATTCAGCAGGGCGGCTAAGTATTACCATTGCTCAAGCCAAGCTAGCCAAGAACTATGGGATGACTAGAATGGATCCTTATTGTAGGATACGAGTTGGCCACTCTATTTATGAAACACCTACGGACCCTAATGGTGGCAAGAACCCAAGATGGAATAAAGTTATTTATTGGTAAGAGTATATTGTGTTCTGAGTAGTGTACCTAAAATAGGGTTGCCAACCGTCCTCTTTTTGATTGTACTGGTCTCATTTATATGTTTGTTGTTTTTTTATTTGTCAAAATTATTAATAAAATATTTTAACGTAGGTACTGGCATTTATTAGTAAATAATATTATTATCCTCCAATTATCTGAGCTAGTGTACAGCCCATATTAGCTTTGATTATTGCGAGTCTACTGTAGTTGCTAATTTTTTTTGCTTGGATTTCTTTTTGTAGTTGGATTCCTCAAGGTATTTCAACAATGACAATAGAAATATTTGACGAAAGAAACTTTACCATGGACGAATTAATAGCTTGGACACAAATTACAATACCACAACAAGTGTTGCAAGGAGAGACACATGAAGATTGGTATCCACTCAGCGGCAAACAAGGTGAAGGCTTGGAAGGAATGATTAATTTAGTTTTAAGTTATAATGTAAGTAATATTCAGTTTATTGGCTTGTTGGGTTGATTGATTCGAGGCTCTGATAACCAGCTATATTTTACATTTTTTACAGGCTACTGCATCTTACGTTTATCCTCCTCAGTACCCAGTTATGATAGTACCAAGAGCTGATGCAGGAGGTGTCAAACCTTTAAAAGTCTACAGAACGCCAACAGAAACGGAGGAGTCAGCTCCAGAACCCGTACCAGTATTAAATGAAGCAGATTTAAAACAGGTATTTTATCGCACTGAAGATCTCCCCATGCTAGAAATTTCTTTGCCAAAGCGGTATATTCTCGTTGTACAGATCTCAGAAAAAATTACGTTTTTTTTTTAATAAAAATGTTCATTCTTATTCTTCGATGATACATATTTTTTTTAGATACAAGAAATGTTTCCCAACATCGAAAACGAAGTAATCAAAACCGTGTATGAAGCCAACAGAGGCAACAAAGACGGTACCATAAATTCTTTATTACAAATGGCTGATTAGTTTTAAGAATATTCTTCTTTATATTTTAATACAATAATCCCTAGACTTTATTGCAGCTTAGTAATATTTTATTTTTTTTATTTACTATTCTAATAAAATCTTCTAATAAATACATGTATGTGTACTATTGTGCGATAAAGAGTTAAATTAATTATTTATAATGTTATTTTTTATTATCTGTAATAAATACTTGTTATTGTTGTTTTATACTTTCGTGCTCTAGTCTCCCAATTGGTTTTGTGCCAAAGTATATGTACTAAATATATTTACACTCACGAAATATAAGTATTATATAAAATTGGAAATAAAGGCTTTAATGTGAAGATGCGTTGATACCGTTATTTCTCAATACATCGAATTAAAAATTCTTTTTTTTTTATTTTATTTTTTCAACAAATATTTATGACATTTATATGAATGGCTCGATTCAAAAGTATTGTACTATTTGCTCTCGCTGATTGTACCGGGTGTCCAACTAAGGCACTTATTCAACAATTTTGTTATAACTTGTTGAATAAGTTAACGTTGTCCCGATTTTTTAAATACAAAAGGTGGCAACTCTGTTGTGGATATCAAATAAAAAAGTTAACTGAGGTATGTTTAATAAAAAATAGCAATTTGTGACGTTATAATCATTTAATTTGGGAGAAAGTCGGTAATTATTGGCCGGAATAGGTACATGGACCTCTGGTTTGACATATATATCCAAGACTGAGCATACAATTCTGGTCGTTCCATCCAATGGTTTCATTTCGCAAACCAATTTCAATACAGCGTTCGATCCCATTTGTGTTGTCGGGTTGATGTGGAGCCCAATCAAAATAAATAATTTTGTGGCCGGTGGAGAACCAATGGTATTCCGACGTTTCGTTGTGTGCCAGAGCAGTTCCAGATAACCAGTAACCATTTTTCCAACCATCTAAATGATCAAAAGTATGTAAAATCTCGAAAGTAGATATTTTTATATTTAATTTGTATGTTTATTTTACAAAAATTAATGTTATAATCAAAGGTTATAATAATAAAATATATACAGGGTGACCCAGGCTTCTGAAAAAGCTCTATATTAGGTTTTTGGTTTGTGATTTTTATTTCAATTTTTTTAGGTAATATGGGGGAAACGCACATTTGAAAAATAATTTTGTGAACATACAGGGGTGACTCAAGCATATTTTAAAACTAAAGTTGTGTATTTTTAAATGCGGAATACTATACCGGGTGTTGCATCGTCGAGCGGGACATAGGAAATCCCATGTAAATTTTAATGGGGTCAATAATTATTGGCTTCCCTAATTATTTTAGAGAATAATTCTATTTAGGTTTATTGAAGAGTACTGAAACCCACATTCAAAAGAATTACTTTAGATATTTTTGATTAGCCCGTTTACGAGTTATCGTCGATTTCTTTTTAAATATTTCTCCTTTCTTATGGCCCTGTATTTACTTATGAGCACCAGTCAAGGTTAAAGATAACTGTCAAATGAAGTTGTCATTTCAGAAATGTATCTATTTAGTGCTTTATTATTATTATTAAAAACTCATACCTACATCGAAAATATTAGCCATGAATTACACTACCGAAGAAAAAGTATTGATGATTAAATGGTATTATAAAGGAAATAGTTATCAAAAGGTGTCGGACATGTTTGCTGCTCTGTATCCGAATATTATTGGCCTAAATCATACAGTAAATTGGCCAGCAAGGTCTCCTGATATTTCGCCAAATGATTTCTTTCTCTGGGACCATTTAAAAAACAGGATATACAAGGATAAAAAATACCCAAATCTAAACGAGTTAAAAAATGCTATTTCTGCCGAATGCAATAGAATTTCAGTTTACCAACTAGCGAATGTAAGAAGAGAATTTTATGATCGCCTGGGTTATTGTCTAGCAGTCGATGGAATAATAATTGAACATCTTCTTAAATCCTTAAGTTCTAACAATTTAATAGTACCTAAATTAATAAGTTATTGAATATTGTAATAATACTATAATTAACCTTGTAATTGATTACTTTATTTTACGTTAATTTAATTTGTATTTATAAATACATCTTTAAGATTTCCGATGTAGGAATGAGTTTTCAATAATAATAAAGCACCAAATCTTTCACTAAATAGATAAATTTCTGAAATGACAACTTTATTTGACAGTTATCTTTTACCTTGACTGGTGCTCATAAGTAAATACAGGGCCATAAGAAAGGAGAAATATTTAAAAAGAAATCGGCGATAACTCGTAAACGGGCTAATCAAAAATATCTAAAGTAATTCTTTTGAATGTGGGTTTTAGTGCTCTTCAATAAACCTAAATAGAATTATTCTCTAAAATAATCAGGGAAGCCAATAATTGACCCCATTACAATTTACATTCCCTATGTCCCGTCGGTATATTTTTTAGCTCGCAGTGGGTTTGCCATTGAATTTCAATTCCAAAAATACCATAATATATCATGTACTATACCGAGTGGTTTTTGAAATATATCCGTTTTTAACTAAATTTCCTACTTATTTAAAGCCTTCTCAAAATTCTGAATTCGAAGAATGTATTTATATTTTTAACAGTTGGAAGAAAATTACAATAAATCGAAAAAAAATATTAAGACTATAACACCCCGTAGCTACGAAACAAAGCAAAATCGGACCTATGTTGATATGAAAAATAAATCTTATTTTTACGTGAGGAATCTTTTTGAAACACCCTGTATGTGTCTGTAGACTTAGTCAGTGTTAGTATTTTTTTATTGTAGATACATTTTGGCTATTGTCCATTGTAAGCAAGCTTAAATTCTTAGCTTGAGTAAAATGTTAGTCTACGTTTAATACACTTATTAGGTCGTATTTATTCGATCACGCCATATTTGTTGATAATAATTTGGTAACGCAAACCTGTTATATTAGTTGATAATAGTAATGTCTTCACTGTGGCTGATTCTTCTTTGCTTTCTATGGTAGCGAGCTCCATTCCAGCTGATAAACAGTTCAAGAACGCTAAGAAGAAGTTCCCTTTGTCAGGAGATAAGTAGTAGGTTTTGTTGGACCTTCCATCTGCAGAATAACTCATTTCTAGGATAACAAATAAAAATGTTTTTAAAAAGGAAGTTACCTAAAACAAACTAAATATTTTACCTCCTTTTTTGTTTAATGGAGTTCAAAATAAAATAGTATACAAACTTCGGAGGAAAGTTTTCATTATTGTTTCGAGATTTAATTAACGTTTCGACAGTAATGTAACGCTTTATTGTGACCCATCTATATTTTACCATTTATGTTATTTTTATTAGTTCTTTGGGAACTTTGTTTAAATGCAAACGTAAAGTATGTTCTAGGATGATTTTTTTTAAATTGAACACCCTGTATATTGTTGCATTTTTGGCTTTCTTTACATAATTCTAAGATACGAGTAAATATTTTTTTCAGATTTTTTATGTTTCAGAGATATCAATAAATAAATAAAAAATATATTTTCAGCCTTTTTTTAAAAAAAATATTAAAAATACAAGAACTGTCCTTAAGTCATAACTGTATTAGGTATTTAGTTTAGATGGTCTGTACTTGCATTATTATAAATATGGTAATCGTAAAACATACAGGATGTTCAAAATTCTACGCCAAACTTTCTAAAATATAAAATACTTTTTCTTCGTTTTTTTAAATGGAACACCCTGTATATTATTTTTTCAATAGATGGAGAATTAAGAAATGAACATTTTTTGTATTTAGATTATTTCAAAATTTTTAACGGTTTCACAGATATTCGTGATTTTATATTACATATGGCATTTTCCACAGTAACTTTTTATCAAAGCCAGCCAATCATTTTTCTCTCGTATTTTACCGTTGAGAGAGCCAGATAAAATAATACTTTAAATACAAAAAATGTTCATTTTTTAATTCTCCATCTAATACAAAAATAATATAGAGCGCGTTCCATTTAAAAAAAAAAACAAAAAAAAATATTTTATATTTTAGAATTGCTAATTTTTTTATTTTAGGAGCTACAGATGCCCGACGCACTATTGCCGGACCCTGTACAGATGTGTTATTTCTTAATCTTTTCTCTCTTTTTTTGTCTGAAAAGTTTTGTAATATATTATAAAATGTTAATTAGTAATTTTAAAATGTTTCAAAGTTTTATTGAAATGTTTTCAAAATCGCAAACAGGATATCTGTTTTTAGGAACTTTTTAGAATAACGGACCACCCTGTCATATGCAGATACATACCAGATTGAGCGAATTTTCTCGGGACACCATAAACGTCATTTTTACATAGGAACACTAGTAATACAGTTAAAATTATTGTTGTCTTCATGTTGGCTAAATCGTGGTTAGTAAAACCATCTTAGTTTTTTATTTTATCTTTTTATATCGTTTTTCATTCTCCAGGATAGGTTTAAAGTACAGATATTTTTTTTAACTAATTTTAATCTATTGTTACTATTGTTATGTATTAATATAATTGCTATCGATGTTTTATATGAGTATAAAAATTGCATAGTATTTATAAAAACTAAAAAGAAAATATAAGGTAAATAATATTTGTACAGCACTTCAATTTTATCTATTTAATTGGTATTGGAAAACTAATTAAAATTGCTCAGAATTTAATTAGAATCACACTTTAAATAAGCATAAACATTTTACACAACATTTTGTGGCTTTCACACAAACTTTAAGCATTAAAGTACACACACGCCGAGGCGACCCGAGCCCGAGACAAGGCGAGTGTGTACTTGAAGCTCTCGTCTTGTCTCGGAGCCTCTCGCCTCGTCTTGGGAGCGCTCGGTCTAGAGGCGGTCTCCAGCACGAGGCAAAGGAGGCGAGAGCCATGGAGAAACTAAATAAAAGAGAAACACATTAAATTTTATATTCCTCTATGGCGAAAGTGGGTAGGAGGTCTCGCGAAAATATACACGGTGCTCTTGGGAGTTCGTCTTCTCAACTGCCTTTGATTTGAAGCCTATTTTAGGTGTTTTAGTTATTTAATACAGTGGATAAACGATTTTAGCCAAATTACCGGAAAATCAGTAAAAGAACTGCAGAAAAAAAATAAGATTCTTTAGCGGCACTTTCCGGGCCGTTTAAGAAAGAAAAACACGTCTATTAAAAGCTATGCGCGAGGTTTTCATTTAGTTTGATGGAAAGTATTCTTCACAGAATATACTAACGAAAAAGAAGCCCAAGTTCCTTGTAATAAATCGGTTCCATTTTCGTAACGCCATCTCTCGACATAGCTGACATTATAGGTTAGCCAAAGGGGTGCGGGGCCGGGGGGAATTGTAAAATACACTTTTTTATTTTAATTATTTTTATTCGCTATTTGCAATTTTATTTTTAAAACATATTATGTGAAACAATCACATAATATGTCTTAAAAATAAAATTACAAACGGAAACAAAAGGAATTAAATAATCTGAAAATTTACAAAGTTTATTGATAAAAAAGTTAGGTTATGCAAATTGATAAGTATATTAAGTATAATCTCTTTGGTATACCATTGTTAAACAAACATTAACAAATCATAACATAGAAACAATCATAGAACTAAAAAAAGTACTATTACATAAAAACAGCTGATACAATACTTCAAAATTAATTTTAACATAATATCAAAACCGAAAAATCAAACTGCAAACACAACCACACTTATCACAACAGAAATTAACACACACGTCCGCGGCAAATGTCCAAGAAAGACTGATCATTCTGATTGGTCCTGGTCCGGTCGTAGCTCACGTCGTATTGTCGGTAAGCAAAATCCCTGTCCAAAAATTTGACGATCAGCGCCATCATCCGTCATAATTGGGAAACTTTTGCTGGAACCATTTTTAATATTTCACTTACATGGCCCTGTTCTAAACTGAAAAATGTATGAAAAACAAAATGCACAAAATGACATTGACACATTTCCGAAGGAATTTTTTTTTGTATTTCTATTCTCGTAAAGGCTCGTATAAAACAAATATAAGTTCATTTTTCATGTAACTGATTTCGGTTATTCTAAAGTTAAAGCGTTTTTTTATGTAAAATAAAAATAAAAAATTTCCGCAGACACTTTTTTGTGTTTTTATGTTTAGAAAAATGTCTAAAACACACCCCGAAGACTAGTTTTGATGTAACAGATTTCGGCTATACTAAAGTCCGAAAAATGAAAATGACGCATTTCCGCAGGGAAATATTTGTATATTTGTACTCCTAACGCCTTCTAGAACGCATATGTAAAGTGTAAAGTAATTTTTTGTATAACAGATTACAGCTAAACGAAAGTTGAACCGTGATGCCACGCTACGCCGCGCCGCTGTTAAGAAGAAGGTCTCAATTTAAATCTTTAATTAATATGATACGTTGATCGCCTTTTTTGCTCAGTTCACTTCGTGAAGATTGCTTTTACACTGTATGTAATGTTGCAGGTTGCATGTTTTTACCTTCCCAATATCGCAATCGATAAATTATTAATGCAGTGATATAACCTGATGCTACTTCATCTTATAAGATATCTGAAAACCTTTTTATAGTGAAAAACTTGTTCTTGATTCTGGAACATCTAGACAGGATTCACAGGATTATTGAATGCATTCTAAATGACTTGAGAAATATTTTACATATTAAAATTCTATTTTATATACAGGGCGATTCTACTAAATGTTCTCGTTTTTGCCTTATTATGGTAAAAAGATGGTTTGACAAGAGATTAGCGATAACAGATACATATTGTGGTTGTGTGAAATGAGTTCTGAAAGCCGAAAATTGAAGTAGGTATATGATTTTTTAATTCTGAGTTGTGTTATGAGTTATTGATACATACCTATACGAAAAAAAATACATAAAGCTTATTTTTAAATGTATTAGTCTCATCTTTTTGATCAGAGAGTAGGTACACGAAAAAACAAGGGCGTGAGGTTTTTTCGTCAACACATAATGTTTTACTTAAAAACAAAACAAAATTGTACCTATATTTATGGTTTAACTTTCATTTGTAAAGACGCAGTAATCTGTAAACAATTTTGTAAAATTACATTGATTTTTAAAACTATGCAAAACTATTAAAATTTAAAAGGCTCTTACTAAAGATGCTATAATACACCACCGTGAAGTGGGGTGACTTTGCCCAATTCTGAATTTTAAATCGTGTTTATTTCAAAAATTGTTGTATTTTCTCAAATGCGCATGGTCTATGCTATAAGTGGTAATAAGCACAACACAACAATAATACGTTTTTTTGTTTATTAAACAAATATATATATATATATATATATATATATATATATATATATATATATATATATATATATATATATATATATATATATACAGAGTGACCCACTCAAGACCGGGCACCCTCCATAAAATCTGTGTTTATAGTCCGATTTTGATGATTTTTTTTCAAATATAAAGTTTCAAAAAAATGTACTTTAGGGCTCAATGTCATGTTATTTCACAAAAAAACAAGGCCTACTTAATAAAGTTTTTGTGGTGAAAAATTTGCAAAATCATATTAGCGATTTTTTTTCAAAAATTTGAGTACACCCCTACATTCGGCATCCCCCAAAACAGTTCTGTACCAAATTTCGTTTAAAAATATTAATTATTAATAATTCTGCAGTTAAATTAAATAATTCCCTATTTTGCCAATTTAACGATGAGTTATCAAGTAACCAAAAAAAAAACAATCCACGACAACGAGTTTTATTACAAACAATGATAAAAATACTACAAGCAACACAATAACCGAATAATAAGTTAAACATATTCAAATAATTCTAGTTGCTTCTACCAGCCCTCCATTCAGTTCAATACATTTGTCGCATCTTTTCTTAGATTAACAGTTACATTCCTAAGCTGCTGTGGTGTAATATTTGCAGACTCTGTAATTCTAATACGTAATTCATCTACAGATTGAGGTCTAGACTTGTAAACTTGTTGCTTTAAGAAACCAAAGAAAGAAATCAAGGGGTGTTAGGTCCGGGGATCTCGGTGGCCACTCAATTAGCGGGCTATTTCGACCTATCCACTTATTTTCAAAATTTTCATTTAACCATTCCCTGACAACTGCCGCGTTATGCACAGGTGATCCGTCCAATTGAAATTTTAAATTCAAACGGGTTTGGCATGGTAAATTATGTATTGCATCCCAAAAGTCATTAATCAGAAAATTCGAAAACGTTGGACTATTCAAATTTCTCTCAAAAAAATATGGACCAATGATTCTATGATCAAGTATGCCACACTACACATTTAATTTCTGAGAATACTGTCTTCTTGTATTGATCACCCATTCAGGGTTTTCGACTGCCCAGAATCGCGAATTTTGAGAGGATACTACTCCGTTTGTACTAAATGTTGCCTCATCACTAAATAAATTATTTAAATACTCTGCTTGAGCCCATAAGCAGAATTCTAATCGTCTAACATCATCTCCGTTTTCCAAAGTGTGTAAAATCTTTGGTTTAAAGGGTTTAACTTTATTAGTTCGCAAACATCTCCTAATATTTTCCCTTGGTATATCCAAATCAACACTGGCGCCTCTAATGCTTGCACGAGGATTGTTACGAAAATATTCTAATATTTCCTCATTCCGCCTATTTATTCGATGTTTCGGCCTTCTGTTTTTTAGTAAGTATTTTGACACACAACCAGTTTCATTAAAAACTCTATTTATTCGTTGAACCGTGCTTCTACTTACTGCAGGTCTGTCGGGATGTCTGTTGTTAAATTGTCTGGCAGCTTCTCGTGCTTGAAGATAGTTATCACCCACTAAACGAATAATTTCAATTTTATCCCTAATATTTAATTGTTCCATAATGCAAATAATATTTCTTGATACAACACTTTTCTGCGTGCTATTAAATTAATATTCAATTCTACGCTGCAAGAATTGACAGCTAATAAAACCCATTGTTGTGGATTGTTTTTTCAAGGGTTACGTGATAACTCATCGTTAAATTGGCAAAAATAGGGAATTATTTAATTTAACTGCAAAATTATTAATAATTAATAATTTTAAACGAAATTTGGTACAGAACTGTTTTGGGGATGCCGAATGTAGGGGTGTACTAAAATTTTTGAAAAAAATCGCTAATATGATTTTGCAAATTTTTCACCACAAAAACTTTATTAAGTAGGCCTTGTTTTTTGTGAAATAACATGACATTCAGCCCTAAAGTACATTTTTTGAAACTTCATATTTGAAAAAAAAATCATCAAAATCGGACTATAAACACAGATTTTATGGAGGGTGCCCGGTCTTGAGTGGGTCACACTGTATATAAAAAAGTAAAAAACTGGATGGGCAAAGTTAGTTGCTTATATGGGGTGTCTTTGCCCTCTTCCTTATTCTTATTGATAGACCAAAGCCACCCCATTTAAAAGCATAATTACGTAAAATA